TTATCCTTTTATTACCCTTTTTCACTATTTTTTCTACATATGCTTCCACAAGAGTCATCCGTGTGGCTCAATGCACCAACCCCGTTTCTTCACCTTTGACCCCAATTTTCCTGGTTTCAGCTCCAAACGCATTTTTTCCGTGCAAATGTGACTCCCCTTCAGCTCAGATCCCGACATGGACAAGTATCGCAAGGTCTTAAAGCCCAAGGCCCTTGATGCTCAGCTTTCGGTCTGGGGCGGAGTTTTAGCCACCAAAAACCTAAGAGGATTTCATCCATGAGCCTGTGGCAAATTTGGTGATCTTATCCACAAAAGGGGGGCCCTATAGCCGCTAGATCTTTTGGATGAATTGGTGCCATATGGTCCTAAGTCATTGCCATCTTAAGAAAAAATCCAAAAACTGTCTTGCTTGGTGAAATGATATGTGTGTAATCTCTTCCCCCTAATATTAAACATCCCCCGAATTGTCCCAATCATGTGTAAATCCCCTACTAAACCATTTTCTGCGGGGATGTTTAATATTGGAAGGATGGGATTAGTGTACAACATTACATTCCCTTAAAGGTGGCTTCTTTGCCGCCTGATTTAAGGTCAACACTTGAAGCGGTCACTTACTAATCCCCAAATGGTCGCTTTGAACTGCCTGGTATAGGCTTCTCTCCACTTACATGTTTTTTGCTTGCACCTTTTTTTCCTATACTATAACCATGAACTTTGGGTTCACACATGCACATGTTCAAAAATAATTTTTGGATAAGCCCCACCCAACGTCATGGGGAAAACACACACATATACTTTCCTAGATTTTCCACAATATCCTCGGACCCCGGTGCGACGTTGCCTGCCTAGATTCCCAGGCCTGTGCTGGATCTGTCGATTTCTGGACCTCGCCACAGACCTTTAGCGAGTTGACGAGTTGACGCGCACCGAACACCAACGCGAAGTTTGAAAAACACAAATCATGGGTTTGCTGCTGGGGCTCGCGCTTGACATGATGGCTTATAGGGTCAAGTATCCATCATCCGATGAGAATTTTTGGGTCATATCTTCCCAAGTTTGAGTAGAACTGCTGCAGATCTTTCATTCCATGATTTGTTTGGAAGGTTCACCAAAAAAAAGCACAAGAGACAAGGTGCTGCACATGAGGAGATGGGGTATCCCCTGCACTCAATTTGCAATCTCCCACAAAACGGGGCCAGAGTTCATGGTCTCATGTTGAGGGGTGGTCATCCCCCAATCACCAAGGATTTATATACTGTATGATTTTATAATATCCTCCGGAATCCAGCCGGTCAAAAGGATTTGCATTGGATGGATGACCATAACTTACCATAGCCCATTCATCTCATGGAACTTGACCATGGAACCGTGATCGTTTTCCACATGAAATGGCTGGCCTTTTGGCTCAACAGGGCGCTAACTCGCGAGCCACGGACGGGTGGCAGACACACCGCAGTTCCGCTCGGCCTGATCGAGCACTTTGGCAGCGGGAGGAGTCCCAGAAATCCCCAGTGATGGTTGTTACTTTGGGGCTACAGTTCCACGAATTTTTGTGGGTGAGATTTCACCATATGGAGGTTAGAATCCCATACCTGTAGTATCTTGTAGTTATAGTGATTAATAACCCCAACTGCACCCCTGAGTATGTGCTGATGTGCTGGAACTGCGCAGAATTATATAGTCCCGTGCGAAGGGTTTCAGGATGTTTCAGGCTGGTTACATCATGTTACATCCATAGTGTTTTTTTTTTCCCGGGGTTCACCTTGCATTACCCAATGCTTTGTTGGCTAGCATCAGGCACCGTCATCAAATCACCGAAAACGCTTCGTATATCAAACAGCTCGATCATTCCTAACATTTTATGTGTATCTTAGTTATGTCCCAGACAGTGGTTGGTAATATATCATTAATATATCATAATATATCCACATGTTTGCTGCTTGCAATGTGTCCAAATGATGTCTCAATTTCGACCTTTCCCCTGTGAGTCTTGGCTCGGTCATGCTCGGTCTAGGATGTTCTCATTGCAAGCATATTGCAGGAGACATATCACCAAGATTCACCAAGAAACCAGGGAATGGCATATATAATCATTCACACACACATATATATATATTATGATATATATATATATATAATGTTGATTTCTATCAGTTTATGATGTGATATTACATGGAATCGTATTAACTTATGTAATCAGTCAGCACCATCAAACCTATACACAAGGACTGGAGTTGCCCCAGGATAGACAGGGCCTGCCTCACGACTTGAGATCACTATTGACTTTTCATTTCCTTATATAATATACAATCATTTTTGAAAAAAATCCTCAACAACAAAGGGGCGCATGACCAGCCGGGACGTTTCCTGGCCGCCTAAGTGCTGCTTTGGGCCATGGGAGCCAGCGCATGCAGCCGGGCCCGTGTCGAAACCGTGAACAGCAAGGATGTGGAGATCAAGGATGGGCAGGGCAAGGTTCTTCGATGCATCAGTCTCGCGACAAAAAGGCCTGACTTCCTGGCAGATGCAATCCCCTGTGCCACCAGGAGCTTGCAGGGTTCCGACCCAACCCAATGGGCTATGACAAATGTCCAGCTGCTCGAATTGTTCAACTACATGCAATCCACAGAAGAATATAAAGCTGCCAAGGACCCGAGGACATGTTTGCCTCTATGACGTGAACAGCCTTTTCGTGATCCCTTGGTCCAGAGGCTTCGGCTGTGGTGTGGCGCTCCTTATGAATGCCCATGCTCCCCTAAAAGCTCAAGTGATGATCTCCCATGCTTGGGCCGAAGATGTAGAGGAGTTAGTCAGCTCTTTGTCCTCTTGGGCATCCCGAATTCAACCGCTCTGGGATTGCGATGGGGTGGCGCTTTGGTGCTGCACCTTTGCCCAATATCAGCCAGAGGATGGCGCCGGACCCTCTCTCCAACACCATCTGAGTTTGGATCCCTTCAAGAGTGTTATTCACTCCAAGCCCGAGCATGGCATGCTGGTGGTCCACACTACCAAGGCCGATCCTTACGATCGATTGTGGTGTGTGCATGAAGTTGACGAAGCTCTGGAATCGAAGTTGTTTGTCACAGCGATCGGCACCTACTCTCTGGGTGGACGAACTGTATGCACTCGCAGGGCGAAGTGCGGACATGCGGCTGATGAGGCGCGGATCCGAGCTGTCATCGAAAGCAAAGATGGGGGCTATGAGCGTTTGGACAGGACCATCAAGGCTTTCCGAAACACACTGTTGAAGAGTGGTGCCTCAGTGATTGCAGAGATTCAAGTACCACGGCGCCTCTATTTCGGTCTGACCAACCGCTTGATACTGAACTGCAAGGGCCTTGGACTGGATCAGGTCTGCTCCGAGCTCATGGAGTTCGGCGTGGAGTGGAAGGACTTGTTTGGCCTGTTTACCTTGACAGATAGCCGTGGCCACCAGATTCCAGTTGAGCTGTCTGAGATCGACGAAGACTCTTGGACATGCATTCCCAAGCAGCATCTGGCGCGGCAGCAGTTCCCTCTCAAGTTGGCATGTGCATTAGATGTGCGTTATCGACGCCAAAGATCCCAAAATGAAGTTGCGTCCAGCAGCAGCAGCTACACCATTGACTGGAAGAGATATGGGGTGAATGAGAAAATTGAACGGAGATGGAATGAGATGAAGCTGCAGCATCCGATTCTGTGTGGACAGTGGACATCACGCACTCTTGTAGGATTTGCACCAAACCGGGTCCCAAAAGAAATCCTTAATATTCTCAGCAATGCCACTGAGAATGCTGACTTGTTCCGCTGTGATTTTCGCCAAAGGGACTTGTCACGTTTCGGCGCATTCCTGAGGGGCCCAGAGGGCACACCCTACGAGAGTGGTTGGTTTGCAGCTGGAATTGACATTCCATATGACTACCCATGCCGTCCGCCCAAGTTCAAGATCTTCACCAAAATCCTTCATCCAAATATTGGAGCGGAAAGTGGGGAGGTGTGCCTTGATATTTTGTCCACCCACGCGACCCCCGCGCTGCACCTTCACAAGCTGGTGCTGTCGGTCGTGGCCTTGCTTGCGGCACCGGAGCCCCATGATCCCATGAACGTTGAAGCTGCTGCTCTTCAATTGCGCCACCCAGAGCTCTTCGCAGAAAAGGCGCGACTCTGGACTCGGACATATGCCTTGCCAGAGCCACCGAGCTTTCGGGACTTAGGCATTTGCACATTGTTGCCGTTGTGATCCAGAGCTACAGTAAGTTTTAGAGAAAGGCCTTAGAAGGTCCAGATATATCCAGAAATTATATGTAAAGATGCAAAGAATTTTCTGGAATGTATAGAATGTTCTGGAACGTATAGAATTTTCCGGAATTTCCTCGCCAGCTGCTTAGAGGTCCTTGTAGAGGTCACAAGAACCAAGGCGTACCTTAAGCGGCTCTTTGAAAACCATCAGGCTTCAATAGAGAGTTGAGTCTTGGAGCCAGAAGAAACCGAGCACAGAGCCATTCAATGCCTGAACTGGAAAAATTGCCATTGAGATTAATTCCAAAGCTGAACCTTAATGTTCTGCCACAAGTTCGGAAAGTTGGTCTAAAAGACATAGATTAGTGCCTAAGATTGCGGGAATTATATATAGGGAACGAAGAGCAACACTTTGGAAATCACATGGGTGACTCTCACAAGCTTTCGTTGGGAGGAACTGCTGACCTGCGAAGCGATCTTAGATACCATGAAATTGAACATCCACAGCCGCATATTTGCACTGTGCTTCTGTCGCGAACAAATTCTTTCCAGTGTTCTTGTCATTACCTTCAATCTATCCCTGGGTCCACGCACTCATATGTCTGGGCAAAATCCGATGCGATCCTTTGTCCAGCTGATCTGTGGATACACATTGCCACCAAAAGTCACCCACCCGTGTGGCTCAATGCACCAACTCTGCTTCTGCACCTATGACCCCCATTTAACTGGTTTCAACTTTAAACGCATTTTTTCCGTGCAAATGTGACCCCCCTTCAGCTCAGATCCCGACATGGACAAGTATCGCAAGGTCTTTAAGCCCAAGGCCCCTGATGCTCAGCTTGCAGTCTGGGGCAACAAGGAGTTTGACCAATAAAATTAAGCGGATTTCATCCATAAGATTCGGATCAACATGGTGAGCTTCATCCACAAAAATGGGGGCGAAATGGCCCGAATCTTTTGGATGCGTTGGTGGAAACCATGGTCCTAAATCATTGTAATTCATCTTAAGAGAAAAATTAACATGGTATATGTATAGTGCATACCATTCCTTTTAAAGTGGCCTCTTTGCCCCCTGATTCAAGGCCAACATACTACGAGTGGTCGCTTACTAGTCCCAAAATGGTCGCTTTGAACTGCTGGGTCGGTCTAGGTATGTCATGGTATGTCTAGGTCTAGGTTTTGTTCCATGTGTTTTGCATCCTTTTTTGCTTATCCATTACCATGATTTCAGGGTTTAAACCTCATTTTTGGACAACCCCTCTCTCTCTCTCTATTATATATATATATCTTGTCATAGGGAAAACACACGCTCACACAATTTATAGACTTTAACATGATTTCAAGATAGCTTCAGTTTTTACCTGTATCGTCCCGTATGGACCAACAGTTTCCCAGTTTTTGGTGCTCCCCAGCGGGGACCCGGGTGGTCTTTCGCAGGAAGAGACTGCTAAGTCGGACGAGGAGATTCGGGTGACGGCGGCAGGCAGCGTGTCAGCGCGGCGACACAGCGAGATTTTTGGGTATTCCTGGCCACCTCGGAAACCCCCAAAACTGGGTGTAACTCGGTTGGGTATACTAATCCGCAGCCACAGGTAGAAAATACCTTAGAAAATCTTAGAAAACTGGAAAATATGGGGAATCATCATCGAACTACCATCCTAGTTCGACACTGTTCCAATTTTTTTTTGGGGTTGCTATATTGCTATCGGGGATAGTTTCCCAGTTTCAATCGTAATAAAAAAGCGAATGAATAATAATAATAATAATAATAGTAATAATAGGATATTTAATGTTATATTTAGAATGCAAATGGATGGTAATTCTGCTTCTCAGTGCCACCCAGAGAGCCGAACAGCGCAGCGCCGTTGCGAGCGCTCTGAGGCGTACGTTTCTCGTGCGGCCACTGTGTTCAATGAGCTCAAGAAGCCCTATGTCCACAGACTCAGCACAGGGGAAGAAGAGGGTTATTACCAATTACGATGGAGCCTCAGGACCCTGAAAGAGTGAATGGGTTTGAAAATTGGGTGGTTTGCCCATGAAAAATGGCTCTTTGAATAGGGAAACTTGTGATAAACGATGGTTCCCCTATTTTCAAACAAACAGATCAAACCGGTTCAATCACATTCTCCCCAACTCTGGGATGCGATTTTTCTAAAGTGAGTCTGCACCGTACCTTGGAGACGAGGGGCTGACCGGCCACCGAGGTGATCGTGCAAGCCACTGGGAACGCCTTGACCAAAGCAGTAACGGCTGCCGAGGTGCTGGTGCTGGTGGGATGAATGATGGGAATTGGCCCAAGGTAGCTCTCCCAAGAAGTCAAACTACCAGGTGAAATATGATTACATTTACCCAGATTGATGAAATTGCATGGAACTCGCACAGATTTTATTGTACTTTATTTTTTTGTCGGAGATACTATACTGACAGTTTCAAGGTTGGTAGAATTTGATGGTTCCAACATGTGATGATTACAAGTGTCGGACAGGGTTTCCGAAGTTGGAGCGACCTTCTCTGAAGCTCAGGTTATCAAATTCAGTGTTCGCCTGATTTCTAGGCCACTCCAGTCAGGACAGAGGACATTCCCTCCGGCAAAAAACAGCCAGTGCTGGTGCCGGTGCATTTAACTTTTTATGTCAAGTCCCAAGTACTTGTAGTCGGACTTGGACAGGGAAGTGTAGTACTGTGGATGCTGATAAGCCAACCATGTCAAACCAAGCAGCCCAGCGAGGAATATCGTTGATCCCGAGCATAATAAGTGAGCAATCACATGTAGCAACCATAAGCCACCACCATAACATGACATCCCACACACACACACATATATACACATCAGATACATATATGCATATTAGAGATACATGATATACAGTAAAAAGTATATACATATATAAAACTATATATATATATATTACATATTATGGGTCAGTCCCTCGCTTAGGCCTACGTTTTTTCTCGCTTAGGACTACGTCGGTGATATATGGCTACAATCTCAATAGAAAGATTAATCGATGTATTTGAACATGATTTCAAGAGGCTTGTACATGTGTATTAGAGATGATCATAAGGACATTGTCATTGAATCAAATGCTGACGAAGATGTTACAACGTATCAGGAACGTCTTGCAAGTTACTTGAAGAAGATGTGACAACGTGTCAGGAATGTCTTGCAAGTTACTTGAAGAAGATGTTACAACGTATCAGAAACATCTTCAAGTTACTTGAATAATTATTTACAACTTATCAGGAACGTCTTGCAAGTTACTGGCAGAAGATGTTACAACGCATCAGGAACATCTGGCAAGTTACTTGAATGTAATGTTACAACGTATCAGAAACGTCTTGAAAGTGACTTGAGGAATATGTTACAACGCATCAGGATCCACCATGCTTGTCCCAGCCCAGTGTCCCCACTTGTCCCCTAAATCCACCCCATGTCCCATCCCCGTGCTGGTCCCCTAAACCCACCCCATGTCCCAGCCCCGTGTCCCCAAGTGTTAACCTAAAGGTCTGTATCCAATGGAGTTAACCTTGAAGGTTGAAGTCCACATTTAAAAATGTCGTCCCAAGTGAGTGAAAAGTCGTCCTAAGTGAGCCTTTGACCCATATTATGTATCTGTATATGTCCGTATGTATAGGCCATGGAAGACCACTTTCTGGCTCGGTCCCAGCCATCCTTCAGAAAGCAGGTCATCAAGCGTCGCTTCAAGGGCCTGCACCAAATCACAGAGCTAAAGACGGTGCCATCTGGCTGGGGGCTATGGGAGATGTGGGAAAGAGATGGTTAGAGTATACAGTATACATAATATGTCTAAGATATATTTTTAAGAAGGAACACCAACAAAAGATAAAAACATGGAATTCCAACTCTAGTTGATGGATCTTGCTTTTCTATCTTGTTTTGGGGTTGCTATATATATAATATGTATATATATATATTTCCAGAGATACATAGTATGCCAATTTTTTACCTGGCAAAACTATTTGTGTTACAAATCCAACCTGAGAAACACCATAATCTTGGTACCCTATGATTTAAGTTCAGTAAAGCATCATGTAAACCATGTTTATAATCTATTTCTATGGGCCATCTATACCATAGCTATATGTTAAATAACCAGAGGGTATACCTTAGACCAACATGCCAGCGAAGATTATCGCCCATCGAGACCTGCAGCAAGCGTGCATGGCACACGTCTCTTTTGGTCATCCAACCTCGCACAGGGACAGTCTCATGTTCCATGGAAAAAATGGAAGATCATATGCCTATGAGTCAAAACCCTGGCGCCCTAGGTGCCTTTAAAGTAGCTGGTTAATGGATGTTTATTCCCACAAATATATAGTAATAATTGATAGGTTTGGACCCATTCCCATATCTATCCAAGCTGGATTACATATGATAAATATGAATAGGTATGGACGAAAAATGTTAACTATCAATTATGGATACGTATGATAATATGGTAAGATGGTGTACCTTGCCAACTTAGATGAAGCGGTTCCGGTGTTTTTTATCCGCCGAGTCTTCGGGTTTGGGTGGAATCCTCTGACAGTCGCGAAATATCGCAGGTCGAGATCGTCGACGAGTACGAACCAATGGAAGAAGGATTGGATAAGGCGGGGCACAACATGGGAGGCATCAACAGACTTTCTGGTGACTGGTTGGTGGTTTCAAACATGGCTGGATTATTTTCCATTGCATATATGGGATGTCATCCTTCCCATTGACGAACTCCATCATTTTTCAAGATGGGCACATTGCACCAGCAACCAGGTGAGAATTCATTTTGGGATGGGTCAAAACCTATTAAATACCAGAATTTGACAAGGATGAACTTCTATTTACCCATATTTACCCGTAAGCTCCGTAAGCTTCCTGTGCCAACCATGATACTTAAATGGTTTGGGAAGTGTTTGGGAAGCTCATGAGAATGGGTGTCCTATTAATTGCAGGTCCCTACAAATGCGAGTGACCCGTAAAGATTATGTATATTATATGGAATCTTCATTGATGATCTTTCTGCCCTGTCCAGCTGTGAGAAATGCTTCGCAAAAAGTGGTGTTTCAACGTTTCAACCCTTGCATAGTTCCACTTACAAATATGACAGACTGGTGGTATAACAATGATAGGCGGCTTTGCAAGGGTACCCTCTGGTAAACTGTCACATAACTATGGAAAATCACCATGTTTCATGGGAAAATTCACTATAAATGGTGAGTTTCCATAGGTATGTGACAGTTTCCCAGAGGCTAATTGTACCAAGTATACCTCGTGCACGGTATGAATCCTGCACGGGTAGCTGGTCGAATCATCCGACAGCAGCCACGGTAGCTAAAAAGACATTCGTCAGCGGAATGGGCTATGGCCTTATGGGTTCAAAACCCTGGTGCCTTGGGTGTTTTTGGAGCAGCAAATCAAGCTGCAAAGCCTTGCAAGGATCATCTTGGATCCCAGAATTCGACCCAATTTTTGGTGGTAAAAACCCCATGGGCTTTCCTGTAGATGTTCCCTTCAACCGACCCCCCGACCCGGCACTTCCAAGTGGGGTGACCTTTGAAGGTCACAGACACTCGAAATGTCTCGGTGATTGAGATCAGACTGTCCAAGGCGGACGAGATGTGGGGCCGGCAGGGGGTAGCGACAAGCCCCATATGGGGATAGTGGGGGAGACCTTGAGCCTGTACTGGTTGGTGTTTTGGAACATTTATTATTTTCCATAATATATGGGATAATCCTTCCCATTGACTAATATTTTTCAGAGGGGTGGAAACCACCAACCAGTGTATGTTTTCTTCGAAAAAAATAATATATATATATATAAATATAAATATGATATGTAAGTTTTTAAATCAGGATATCCAGGATATCCCAGGATATACATTACTCTCATTACACAAAGCAGCAGAACGAAAAACATGGGATGCCGTCTGGTTATTCAACGTAGCTATGGAACATTACCATGTTTAATAGCTAAAACACATCTATTTCTATGGCCCAGTTAATGCCATTTATACTATTTATACCATAGCTATGTGAAATAACTAGAGGCTTTCCAGCCAGCTGAAAGTTCGTCCAGCAGGGTGCCCCAGGAGGAATTGGACAGCAGCAACAAGGGCTACCAACCCCCTCTGGACGAGTCATTGGTGAAGGAATTCGACCCTGAGGCTCCCTGGGAAGTGGATGGCGCACCGGTGGAGCTGTCGAAAAATGCATGGTATGTTGATAGAAAAAACAATAGAAAAAATCATATAGAAAAAAAACATATGGTTCCAACCAGCTTTTGAAAAAGTGGATCTGATGTTGTTTGGTTTCAGTTTTTTGTTTGAATCACCAATATCATTGGTGAAAAACCACCATTGTTGCATACAACAACTAGCCAAAACGTGCCCCAGAAAGTGGGGAACTCTCAAACTACCCTCCGGTCATCGGAAGACCTATGGTGGTTTAATTGTGATTTAATGGGGATAATGGGATAAGTGAAGGTTTAATGAAATATGAATAGGATATATATTATATATATATACCAGCCGATTTGATCAAACATGGCATGCCGGAAAATCTCCCATTTATGGGGCGATTTTCCCAGCGAACTAAACCTCAGCTCGGGGAATTTCCAGCCGTTTCAGGCCGGGTTTCAGGACGCCATCCATTTTGGTAGCGGGTTTTGGCTGACAGACTCAGACCTCATGACATATCCTCTGGTAAACTGTCACATAACTATGGAAAATCACCATTTTTTATGGGAAAATCCACTATTTCTATGGTCATTTTCAATAGCTATGTTAAATTACCAGAGGGTATCCTCTCCATACCATGCAGGAAATATTTACCAGCATGTATCCTCAAATAAGCAGCTAAGTGTTGGAACATACGACTCATGGCCAGGGCATTGCGCAAATGTCAGTCACTTTTGCATAATATACTCTATCATGGCTAATTTGATTTTACATCAGCATCCAAAGATATTCTTCCAGACCATATTGGCTCCAAATTCTACCCTCTGGTTATGAAACATAGTTATGGGGAAAAAACACATTTCTAGATGATTAACACAATGATTTACCCATTAAAGATGGTGATGTTCCAGTTCGCAAACCGTTAGATTGAGGATATTCCCAGTGTATCCTCATTGTATCCTAATTAAATCACCATTATAATCCATAGAATCACCATTAAATCCCCATGAAATCACTATTTTTGTTGATGAAATCACCATTAAATCACCATTTTCGTGGGTATCCAAGCCATTTTTGAGCCCATGACCGTTACAAATTTTCATCAAGGAACTGGCACGTGGCCGTGGACGAGGTGGCGGCACCGGAAAAGGCCAGCCCGCAGACGGCGTGTTTTTTTTTTTCCCCCAAGGCCATTTGGAGAGTGAACATCACCAAAATAGGTGTTTTATGAGAGCAACGGCCTTTTGTTATGAACAGATATGAGAGTCAGAGCTACTTTGTTTTTAGAGCAATGACTCTCATAAAACACCTTATGAAAACTAGCAGCACTTTTTACCCTCGAAATTCATGTTCATTTTGGGTGTAAGAGCCATACTCCATTTTGGAGAGTGCGATTTTGTGTTTTTTTTGGTTTGGGAGGGTAATTGTTGAATTACCTCACAGAATGCAGACAAAGCATGTTTTTTTCTAAATTGCTTTCTGACTACTAGGCTAAGGTAGATATATATATAATACAGTGGGATGGGGTTACAAACCCAACTTAAGACTTGGGGCACGGTTTATGTGTTTTCTACTGTTGATTGTTCCAAACATCATTTCCAGCCTTTGTTGTTCACATCTTTCGAAAAGTCTCTGTTTTCAACAGGTGGTGTATGGTCAGAGTGACTCACAGGCTCACAGGTGATGTTTTCTGATCATGGGATATCATGGGTCAAGAGTTGGCTCCCCAACTTATTGGTTCCTATTGGATGGTTCACATCTCAATGTGGGTACCGAGGGCAGGGCCTTTTTCATGGCTGCTCTTGCAGGACCACCCCAGTGAGTCATTGGTATCTGGGGATAGAACCGGATAGAACCCAGTTATGAAGTATTTTATTTAAAGAGTTATAAATCGATCATTGATGTTAATCATGTTATAAATAGTTAACCCAGCTATTTTAGAACTTAAAATTGTTATAAAACGGTTATATTCTCATTGTTAACCCACTTAAGAGAACTCATCAACTTCTGCTTACTATTGACGGTCCCGCTTCCGGCAAAACATCCAGTGAGATGATCCAGGCCGCGGAAAAGGAAAGGGTCGTGGCCGTGGGTCTACGTGCCATGCCTTTGAAAAGCTGGGGCAGGACGGGCTTGTCTCAGTAGGAGTGTACAGTCCTTTATAGCAACCAAAAAAAACCAGGTGGTCCCCAAAGTTAAACATCAATTCTAAAACAATTTAGCAAAATGGGGTACCACCTTGCAAAGCAGTTATTTTCATACCACTAGTCACTAGTTCAAGATATTTACCGTTCTCTCTTTTTTGGGGGATAATCTTTGGTGTCCAGTTTGGGAATCGCCTGTATTTTGAGATGGACTTTTCCACCCTTCCGTTGGTAAGGCGGTTTTCTATCGCCCACCAAAGTACTAAACCTAGATCATAGGAAAACCATGGGAAAACCACAGGAAAACCATAGGAAACCACTAAAAACAGAGAGCAAGTTCACATTGCATCTTGAGTGACTGTCCCAGAAGGGCAATAGATCAGAGGGGTAACCCAGACAAGAGGGAACTTACCAACCACTTTCGGTGAAAGCTGCCGCTGCCGAGGAAAGGCAAAGGCCACGGCAAGGCAGGTGTACATGGTGGAGGGGCTGCATCTGGAAAAACTGCTCAGCTTCCAAGTTCACTTTTTGGGCTTACGACTGTCAAAAGGGAATTTTGAAGAGGATTTCCGAATGTGTGGCTGATGTTCTCTAGAAAAACCCGAGGATGGCTGGGCAGAGGGCATGCACCATGCCCTTCACAGCAACCTGGCAGGGAAAAGGCAAGTCCTCAGAAGGGGCGAAGGGCAAAGGGTCTGGCAAGTCTGCTGGAAAATCTGGCAAAGGCGGCAAAGGCCCAATCTGTCGTGGATGATTTTTTTTGGGGGTCAAACCGATCACTTCAGGTGAACACTCTGGCTGCAAGAGCCCGATTTGGTGACCATTATCAACATATTTTGGGAATGCAACCCACGTTCTCAGGCCAAGAATTGGGAAAAAACCAACACAACTGAACTCTAGACTTCCAACTTCTTACTGTACCTAGATTCCAGGTTTTTGTTTGGGTGGAAAGCCTGTAGGGTACCATAGGGAAGACAGAAGATATTTGAGGAGGTTGCGCCGCAAATATCGTGACATTGGCTGAGAATGAGTTGTACACATAATCCCAACCCACCTTAGATAGTTTGATATTGTCCATATCATACTATCATTTGACCAGATTTTGACAATGGCTCTGAATAATCAAAGAATTGACCAGATAGTGGTCCCTGATCCAAACCCTTTGCTCCATGGACCGCGAGGCAAAGGAAAGAGTTCCAAGGTGAAAAAGAACAGGGCAGTTGGTGGGAATCAAAAACATGACCTTTTCGTCATTAAATGTTCATGAATCCCCTAGTTAAAGGTCGTAAAAGAATCCCAAACCTTGAAATTGCACCTTGCCAATTAAAATAAAAGTCAAGTTGATTGATTTGAACTGCCAGGTAGACGCTCCAAATGGCACATGCAATGACTGCTGTCCCCAGGGTCAGATCAAAACACCTTAGTCACAGATACAGTGACTGGAGATTTGGGGAGATTTCTTAGGATTTTGAGTTCTGGGGAATTCCACTGAGGAAGGGATTCATTAGTAGCTCTTTGTGCAGCTGTACTTGGTAATCTTGATTTTGGTATGGTTCAAAATTAGGTACCCCAATAATTGGATGGTTAATACTAAACTAGACTAACATCTGTGGTCCCCTAGGTCCCTAGGTCTTCCATTTTGACCCTAATCTTGATTTGGGCATTGACCAGCCCACAGTCGCTGAACAGCTGTTGACAGGGAAAGTATGAAGATGACTCTGCCCCCAAGGGTAAGGGAAAAGGCAAGAGCAAGGGCAAGAGCAAGAGCAAGTGGCTTGGCAAAAGCTTGACACGTCCCTTGGGGGATGACGTATGGGTTCACCATGGTACCAACGAAAGTTCATAAATCTAACCAACAATTGTGGGCAAGTATGTCCAAAAGAGGGCCAAGACAATGAACATTTCAGCAGAATTCATCATTTGTGGATAGCAGATAGAACTCCTACTGAATCGCTTTTGATTGACCCAGACAGTTGCCACAGACTGGAATTTCTAGCCCCGGAAGCGGTCATTGGGGTCGCACGTGACCTGTTCAACACGCGCCTGGCATGGCCGGGTGATAGAAACCAGCAAATGGTTCAACGAATCACAGCCCTGGCTTGGGCTATCTCCGACTGAGTCGAAGAAGCAGCAGACTTTTTTAATATCTGGTTGGTGGTTTCAGACATTTTTTATTTTCCATACTATATGGGATAGTCCTTCCCATTGGCTTTCTTTTTTCAAGATGGTTAAAACCACCAACCAGTTATAAGATCTTTTCATGTGCAGCAAACTGCAGAGTCTCAGACTGGTGGAAAACATCACCAAAAAACATCCCACCGAGTTTCAGGCAAAGGGCACCCCAAAATCCATAGGTTTGTCACCATGATCCCTGCTGAACCCAGGTAAAACAACCCCCAATATCTTCCTGTTGGTTAATGGCCGTTTTTCTGGCCCCAATTACCTATACCACAGTTTTTCCCCATGAGTGTTGGTTCAACCACCATTTATTGTTGGTTAAATCACGATTTTCAGACACAACCCATTATTGCTTCATCACCATTTCTATATGATTTTGTCATATTTAGTCCCATTAAGTTACCATAAATTGCCATTGTTGTTGGTGGAATCCTATTTTTCAGCAACATGTTTGTTGGTTAAATCCCCATGAGATCACTGACAGGTATGACGAGGAGCCAAAGGCGGGATCGATTTGGAGCTTGCGCTCCATGGGGTGCTCTCCAGCCAACCATGGGGGGTTCCATAAATTGAGGTACCCCAACATTTTAATCGCTGGATGGTTAGGTTGATTTCATGGAACATCCATTTATAAAGCGGATGAGTTCGGGGTACCCAAACTTATGGAACCCCCCGGATCCATTTGGGCCGAGATAGAAATAGATCGATATGCAGATCCTGGATCCATCTTCAAAATTCAGATCCGAAATTTCCGAGATGAATGGATCTGCATAGAAATGTACTGATATAATTGATTATAATTGATATTAATTGATATAGATATAGAAAATTATAGAAATCAATCGATACCTTTGCAGTGAATCGACCAGATGAGACCAGATGTGTCTCAAATGTTGCGGACTTTTCAGGGCAAAGGCAAGAGCAGCAAAGGCAGCAAGGGCAGCAAGGGCAAAGGCAAGTCCAAGAGCAGCGGTTACGAGGCCGGAAAGCGCAGCTGAGAAGGGTGCGATCCAATGTTGACCCATGTTCATGGCTTCTGTCACAGGCACAAAGGGGACCCGAATTAGGTGCCGATCATGATGGTTGCCAGTTGCCAAATGGCATGGTCACTCAAGAATATGGAGGCCAACTGATAGCTATAGATAACTATATATCTATAAATGACTATAAATGCTATTATTGTTGGAGCTAATTTGGCCAGTCATGCATGACTATGAATTATCAAGAATGGGTACGATGAGGCATTGACAGGTGGATCAAATCGAAACCACGTCTACTAGCAACATACATAGTTATACTTAGGTAGATCTTGGCGAATGCTGGGTAAATGGATGTCATGGTTCGCCACCCATGGAAGGGGATTTGGATCTACTTTTGATCCGCGAAACTTGTTGCAGGGCATCTAGGGTTATACATTCATAAGATGTGTTCGTACTTTATTGTTGGTGAATATGGGTGTTGTCTCTGAAAATAAATAGGGAACCATAGGGAACCATAGGGAACCATTATCATACACTGCCAAAAAACATCATCATTTCCATCATGGTCCTTGCTGAACTGACCATTTTGGGGTTGATGTTTAAGCATCGATGGCAAGAAAAACCACCGGCCCTGGCCCATGCTCCGAGAAAACTCCAGATTGGTGAACTCGCAAACACTTTGCTCGGTTAGTCAGTAGGCTGATCCTCCAATGGCTAAAGATACTTTGGCCAACCATAAAAATCCATTGGTAAAATGGATGGTTAGCCAGAAAGTATATAACTATTATCTGGTTGGTGGTTTGGAACATGTTTTATTTTTCCATATATTGGGAATTTCATCATCCGAACTGACTCAACTGACTTTCATATTTTTCAGAGGGGTAGGTCAACCACCAACAACCAGTTCTGAATTTCCATAGAGATACTATAGTTGCTATTAGTATTTACATCATGTTACGTCATATTAAAAGCTTGAATCCCATGCAACACGCTTTGAACTACTGGTTGCTACAACGGTATCCCGTGAAGTATGGGTCATAGTCTCCGATGATGTTAATAAGAGGCTATGATAATTAAATCAAGCAATATCAAACATCATATTTATTAGTTATATGTACCTATCCACATTTGTTTATACTTAAAGCTCCATGAACCCGCAAAATTGAGGGTTAAATCATGTTAAATCCCTTTGAAATCCCATTGGGCTGTATCACCAAATGTTTAATCCTTAAGAGCTTGTATTAATGCTTGTTAAATCCATGTCTTTTATACCGCGGAAAAAATCACGGGGTATAATCTCCCGCAAAGCAACATATATACGGAAAATCCACCATTTGTGTTTTTTTTTCATAGGCCGGGAAACCATTGGTATTGCACATCTATATGGCTATGTCTGAAAATGTGTACCCCCGAAATGGTTAGTTGAATACGGAAAATGATGGAACACCATGAAATTTGGGGTAACATATTTTCAGACAAACCCCATATGGAGGTGTCCTAAAATGGGGGATCGCCAAGATTATGGGTTTCAATACCAAATGTAGTCAATTTTGGATGATTTAGGAGGTAACATATTTTCAGACAGACTTTCATACTGATGGCTGTATTCCAACTTATCTAATCAAATACTATATACATATATAATTATGTATATATATATTGTTGGGTAAGGTATCTCAATCTATCCCAAATTGAATATATAATTATATAGTATTGAAACCCATTGCTTGTTAATAATTGATGGTGACTTCCCCTTGTTATGAGCTGGGCGCACTCGAGTCAGGCCTCCTATTCCTATGCCCCACCCAGCAGGGGCGCCTCAGGCAGCCAGTTATGGTGGGGGTGGACCAAAGAATGGGTGAGTTCTCTCGAAAAAAATGGTGGTCTTATGGGATTTCACCAATCAATGGATTGGTTTAAGGGAAAATTTACAGGAAACCTTCTGGTTTTTACCATTAAATATGGGGTTTTCCTGTAAGTTTTCCCCTAAACCAATCCATTGAACCAATAGACATGAGCAGAAATTTGGCATTTTGACCGGGACAATGATGATTTGACCCTCCAACATGTGGATACCCATGGTAAACTAACAGTTTGCTATTATTGAGGTTGCCATTTATAGTTGATACGTTGATTTTCCCATTGAAAATTGTGATTTTCCATAATTATGTTAGTTTACCAGAGGGTATAGCATGATTTCACTGACAAAAAGTCAGAATCAATCGGGGGCTAGGAAACCACTTATGACGGGGAGAATCGGATCAATGTATGATATGACATGTGTGGGTCATCGTGTGTCAAATGGAGCATTCCCCCCAAGGGTGAAATTTATATAATGGGGAATAATGACAATGATTTACCAGCGGATTTAGGTTTGGACAAACTCATAATATGTTCTTCAGTGCTTATTGGTGAAGCTCCACAGATGGTACGTGATTGTGTAAAAATTCTTCTGGGCCAAGCTTCGCGCATGAGACATCTCTACCAACATCTGCCCAAACATGATCGGGTATGACCCAAATGCAAGCAAATATAGCATACAATATACATGGAGCATCTCCTGATACGTTGATGGTCCGAAACAACAAGCTCCAAGACCCTGGAAGGGAGTTCAACAGGAGGTCGTACGGGTTGGATGTTAGCACTGGATGGATGATACAGGGTGGGGAAAAAGGTCGTTTGCAAACCGGGTTGGTTTGCAACTCCACAATTTGTATCGTTTATGGTACATATATGGTATAATTAACTGTTTTTTAATGGGATAAACCAACAAGCAGCTACTTGAGGCTGAAGTTGAAGGTAAAAAACATGGTTAATCATTACGGTATAACCGGTATGTTTTTGACATTTCCAGGTTTGTTGGGATGGCCGGGGCCTCCAAAAAACCTCGAATCCAGGTAAGGGCCGGTCCTCTGATTGGTCTTATGAGGTGCCGGCAGAGACTCCCCAGCCGTGGTTTTTGGGGGTAAACCCATTGTGTTGATGATCGTTTGATGGTGGTTTTATGGTGGTTTAAGATGGTTTAATATGGTTCAATGGCTGGTTGGTGGTTTGGAACATTTGGATTATATTTTTCCATTCAGTTGGGAATGTTATCATCCCAACTGACTTTGATTGAACCAGCATGGGGCTAGTAATTGGAAATTCCCTCTGGTCATTCAACAGTTCGCGACATGGACAATCGCCATGTTGCATAGGTAAATCAAAGTACTGTAAATCATCTATGTCTACAAACGGGCCATTTTCCATAGCTGTGTTGGATTGCCATTCTGGCAATGAACTGGTTATTTTTGTTTCGTGGTTTGATTTGAAACATGAAGGTTAACCCATAAAGACTTAGAATTATGTTTTTAATGGGGGACATATAAGCAACAGTGAATGAGGCTATACTAAATCACATCTGGCCTGGTGTTTTTTTTTCAATCTTAGGGATGAGAATCCCACAAACCTTCAGGGGTTGAGCCAACCCAGTAGAGAAGATCTGTTTAAGTGAGATTCAAGACCTACCCGGCCTGGTAAACGTTTACATAGCAATGGAAAATAATCATTTTAATGAGAAAATCCACTATAAATGGCCATTTTCAATAGCTATGTTAAATAAGCAGAGGGTAAATCCACTATAAATGACCTATTTGGTTTTGTCTGAACATAGGGTATATTCCCAATTATAGCCATTTAATAGGGATAATGATCAGCAAAACCATTGGGTTTAGGGGTGCACTATTTTCAGACACACCTATTTGAATCTATTTGACCTTTTGACATCAATGTCAAGATTGTTTGCAACAACTTCACCAAACGCGGGACTAATTTGAGCTAATATGCTTTGGCAATTTGCTGGATTAAAACATCAAACAAATGTGGCACTAATGATTTAGCTTTATCAATCCTGGCCCCTGATCCACATAGGTTCCTAGAAACATGGAGAGATTATCAGCCGCAAGGTACGGAATTGGTGTTGTGTCACATCTTTTACCAGCCGTGTCTATTTGACCCAACTTCTACCCGTTGAGCGGGAAGCACGACTTAAAAAAAATGGAGTTGACATCAAACAAAAATGGAGGGGCATTCAATATTCAATCCATGAACCCATACGTTGATGGTTCCCGATAATTGTTCTTTCCGTCAGTCCGATGTTGCTCTTTCCCTTCTTCCTTCATTGACAGTCGAAAAATGAGTTGGGAACCAGAAAAAAACTGTGAATATTTCCAAAAATAGGCCAGTATGATCCAATATGTTTGTTTCCCCATATGGAGGTTTCCTAAAATGGGGGCACCACCAAATCATCCTAGTTTCTAGATTCTAGACCATTTTAGTTTTAAGTCACCTTTGGTGACTTGGGGATCCTTGGTTTTTTGAAAATTTTGGGATCCACCATTTTAGGGTTTCCTCCATAGAACGATGTCCTCCTCCATGTCAAATCCTTGAAAATCTGCGGAACTTTCAGCGGTTCCACTGCTGCCAGGATAAGAGCTACGGCAAGTCCCAGAGCTGGGGAAGGAGCTATGATGACTATGGCAGCTACTTGGACCGAAAAACCTGTGGAGACAACGAGATTCATATGATATGTGGTTATATATATAATATACGTATATGATATTATAATATATATATATATGTATAATGTATATAAATATACAATATTATTAATTATATATAACCACATATATATATATATATTATACACATACATACACAATATATGTAGAGTAGCTAGATATGGAGGTTCGTCTATACATTTGCAGAAAACCAGTACGTTTCAACGACCATGTTCGACAATGCGGAAGGTATCACCAACTACATGTACAGTTGCAAACCAAAGCGACATTTCTTTATCGGTAGGGTAGTTCAATTCAATTCGGGAACTGCTTGGTCCATGATTCAATGATTAGCGCATTCCATGTTGGAACCACCAACCCGCATGTTTCCCTTGTCCATCCTTCCTGTCACTGAGTCATGGTGATCCCAATTGATTTGCGGCACATGGACATGGAATACAATCATATCATATCCATTCATATCCCATATATCCCATCACATCCCATCATATCCTACTAGAATCCACTACTATCCCACTGTCATCCCACTATTATCCCCACTATTTGCCTGCCACTATTATTGTTACTTCCACTAGTATTTCCTCACTATCCTAATCCTATAGTATCCATATGTATCCATATTATTTCCTCAGACCTTACTGCCAGTGACTGCCAGTGTCATTTTTTTTCTGCATCAAAAACCCTCCTCTCTGAGGCAAAGGGAAGAGCGGTGGAAAGTCGGGCAAGGGAAAAGGCAGCGGCCCTAAAAAGGGCGTCCTCTGCCACGTGGAGTACAAGCTGTCCGCAAGTAGGGCTTACTGTACCCTCTGGTAAACTAACGTAGCGAACTGGAAAATCCCCATGTTTGAAAGCTAAATCAACAATGGCCATGTTCAATAGCTATGTTAAATTACCAGAGGGTGTTCACTAAGTAGAATTTTGGATTGAAGTGCATAGATAGCTTCACTAGGTAGTTATTTTCTCGGTAAAAATGATACAATTCGCAAACGTAAGGACAGTAAGCATTGTAACCTCCAGACAATTGGATGTCAGATAGGATAGGCGACAGCCTTCAAGAATAGATACTACTGAGCAAAACATGGGGTCTTTCAAGAGTTTCATAGATTTTCCAGATGTTTACGATAGCCAACTGCGGCATCCGGGATGAACAAGACGTCACGAGACGTCGCGAGCCAATCCCGGCTGTTTGGCGTCGTCGTTTTGGTCAAAGCCAAACACCGAATATTGGAGTATCATTCATTTAGCCTAAACAATGCCATAAACCACTCATGTCTGGGAATGGTAAGTTTATACCACCTGTAAAATGATGATGACTGGGGGATGGTTTATTACATTTTATTACATTCGATGGTTTTTTTCTAGGAAAATGATCTACACATGTTTACCCCAGGCTAGTTCTTTTTGTGTTTGTCATGGTACTCTGTTGATCTTTAACGGCAATCATCTTGAGTCACCAGGTGTCTCTCAGGACGTCAAAGACAGCTGTTTGTCTTAGTTCTAAGAACCTGCCAGAACTTGCTTTTCTCCAAGTTCCATTGTCTGCCACACCAGGCAAGAGCAGCAAAGGTGGCAGCTACAGCTACAGCAGCTACAACAACTACTACTGAGGTTCGCGTGGCTGTGTGGAACAGCTGGATTCTGCCGGCATTTTTTGATTGTGGATTTATCACGACGACCTCCGGGTGAGTTCAAAATGCTCCCAAGTTTACCTGAGATGATGATTCGCAAAATCCGTGAGGGAGAGGAGATGCACAGAAATCCACCCTATAAACTGTATACTGTAGTATTGTGTGTCTGTTTGGTGATATTGCTGTTATACATGGGCCCAATCACGCATAGCACATGAAAATCTCCGGAGGCTTTCGCCACATCGCACCTGACTGAACCCCTCTGACCAGTGCTTCTTGCTCTGAGAAAGGAGTGGGCATTGGGAATCATTGATGCACATTGAAGCGTATAATACCAAGCCATCCCAATTCCGGCGAATAGTCAGGCAACACCGGCTCTGCCACTATTTTCATCATTCACCAACATCATAGTAGCTACATCCCCATGACTGTACAGAAAAGACGAGGTCTCACAGTTGTGACATCCACCTAAATCCTCTGATATTCATTATGTACAGCTTCAAACCTTTGCTCAAACTGCTGTGCATTGGTCTTGTTTCACGCCCCAGCTTTTAAGACCCCCAAATCATGCATGATAAGAATGATTGTTAGAAAACCATCGCTTTCTTGGTCCCATTTGAACCCCCTAAAGTTTGGAAATGTTTAGAGTACACCATACATTCTTTCGTAATTCAGCTCGAAACCTACGTTCCTAGAATTGGCTTAAGGCTTAAGGGAAAAGCATGCAGGAAACACCCATATTTGGTTGCAAAACCCGTGCTTTACCATATTTGATGGCAGAATCCATCGTTTATAGCAGATTTTCCCAACAAAACCAATCCAGTGATGATAACTTGAACCATCACAGTGAGGTTTACTCCGCAGCACAGACGCCAAGTGAGTGGGGCGCGCAGATCAGCCCAGGGGCCCTGGCTGCTGATTGAAAAGCTGTCGAAACTTGAAGCGCCAGAGGATTGATTGCATCAACGTCACACACAGTATGATCATGATGTGGATGTTAGCCCAAAAATTCACTGGGTTTTGGTGAAGTCTCCATAGTTTTTTTTTGTGAAACGAACCGTTCATCTCTGTGCCAGTCAAGCGCCAGTTTCATGAGTTCACAGAACGCCCAAAGAGCCCGAAAAAGCGTGCTGCGCCCAACGAAGTCGAACATGGAAGCCTACTCCTCAGCATCTTGGTTGACAGAACAAATCTGAGTATGTCTGAAAATGGGGTATACCCCCAATTATAGCCATTTAGTAGGGATAATGATCATTAACCATTGGGTGTAGGGGTACACTATTTTCAGACAAACCCATCTATCTTTTCTAAGTGGGTTTCAAATGTGATATTAATTTCAGGGGGATTGGGCTAACAGTGAAGCTCGGGATACCCGTGTTTGAACCACCAACTTGGTCAATGTTGGTCTCGAAACATTGGTTTTTGGAGGGATGTATAAATGATAATTGTGCCTATCATGTTTGAGCCATGTTTTTTTTTCTGCGTTCCAGATTGTTTTTTGGGTGTCGATGTTTGGATCCGGCAGCAGAAAAGATCATAATCAATCTCTTCATTGATTTCATTGTCAGTATCAACATTGGACCAACATTCGTTTCTTCACCCTACGTTTCCGGCGAAATCGCCGGGGTGGATGGGCCCCAGCCGGGTTCCATGCCCCGCTCGCAGGTAGCCCGGTGGTGATCGTGGTGGAACCACAGGATCTGGAGGGATCTGGTCATGTCCTGGACTCAACTCATTCCTTTTCTATGATAAATGATTGTGAAGCATGTGCCATAGGCGGATATAGGATTATATATATAGAGGTATGTACAGTAATTCAAAACTGAACAAAGGCAAGTGAATGACGTGTAGATTTCGTTTTTTTTGCTTTGGAATGTTCGTAGTATACCATGGTCTTTGCATGACACACAGGGTGGCTTCACTAGGGGTCTGTTTTGCCAAGAATTTAGGCTAAGGAATTCCCATGTGTTTCCCATGATGGGATTGAAGCATCCATTGGATAAGTTTCCCAAGATCACCACTCCGGGGCATCCGAAGGCTCCGAAGGATCGTGAAAAGTTGAGCAAAAAAAATACCCTCCAGTAATCAAGCATGGCAATTGAACATCCACCAGAATTGATAATATAATACAATATATATATATTTATACGTATATACTATATCTATTTATATCATTATTTATATATATATATTTATCCCATTGAAACCTCCATTCATAAGGGATTTCAATTGCCATGTTCCATGACATATCAGCCACCGAGATTTTGAAGCGCCAAATCTTCCGAGATTCACCAGAATTTGTGCTAAAGTCTTTCACCATGTTTCATAGGGGAAGGGCAAGGGTTGGTGTCTACCCGTCCTCCACATACCGATCGACCGGCACATGCTCGAATCCTCCCAGTCCTCCCAGCAAAGGTGTTTTTGGACTGGAAAAGCACGGAGCAGCACCGGTTGAAGGGAAAATCGAAACCGGAAACCATGGTTTTTCCCAGCAAGTATGGGGTTGTCCTCTGGATTTTCCCTTAAGCCAATCCAATGATATCCCCTGAACTGGGCTGAAACAGTTGCCGAATCACAGGAGGAAGCCATCTACAGGTCTGGGACTTTGGGGCTTTGCTTCTTTCTGGATGGATGTGATATATTACCCAGCCTGGTAATGACTAACAGTTCGCTATTGAACATTGCCCATAGAAATGGTTGATTTTCCGATTAAAGATGGTGGTTATTTTCCATAGTTATGTAAACGTTCACCAGAGGGTATATGATTCATATGATATGTTTGTTGACTTGGGGGATGACCATCCGCTTACCTGCCACTTCAAATATTTTTTTCAGTTAAATGTTTTCCAGATTCTTGACCCATAGCATTCCATAGCCAATTTGTTCTATGAAAAAATTGAAGAGCGCCTATCTGACTATCTCATTTTCTTTTTCTCAACATGATGGTACCCTGGTGAACACGCACACAAATGTTGCTAGAACAGAACCTTGGGATGTGAAGGAACACCCTTGAGGTTTTACCATTTTTGAAGAAGCACATATTCAAAAAGGATCAAACAGGACCAATCAATACACCAATGGTTGTTTCATAAAGCATGTGTAGTGATCATTCCAATCTCAGCACCCAGCTTCAATCAGCCAAGGTTTTTCAGTGGTGGCTTGACATATTTTTTTCCACAGAATCCGGCATTGGGTATCCGAACAAATTAAAAAAACAGGTCGCACTGGCCTCAAGCTCTTCTGCTGGTGTTGTCAAGGTGCGAAACACTGGGGGCTCTTTGGCGCTCGTAGCAGAAATAGCACTGGCATTGTTTGTGGTCAGATTGTTACTATAACCACAACATCCTCATTTCACTAGCCAGAGAATCCACGTGTCTACACGTATCTAACCAAACATAGAATCTCTACCACATTGAACCATAAAATTCAATTTTCTATACCACATCTACCCTCTGGTTATGACTAACATAGCCATGGTATAGATGGCCCATAGAAATAGATGGTTTACCTATGTTTACCTATTAAACATATTTAAACATGGTGGATCTTTCTATAGCCATCATATTCAATGATTAAGATTTTCCATAAACCAATCCATTGACATATCTAGCCATAGGTATAGATGGCCCATTTATAGATAGTTTACCTATTAAAAATGGTGGATCTTTCCATAGCCGAACCCAAAACGAACCGCCAGGCCTGGTGAAACGGCCATCGGCTATGCTCGTTGGGTGGTGCAGAAGATCTGCACCTCGGGTTTTTCGGGGTAGTTGGTGTAGAGAAGTGATGGGGGTATAGCGCAACCATGAAACATATGGGAAAATATGGGAACATATGCGAAAAATGTACGAAAATATGGGAACATATACGAAAATATAAGAAAATATACGAAAATATGAGAAAATATGGGAACATGATGGGAACATGATGGGAACATGATGATCGACTATGGGATTTGGGGGGTATATACAATCTATTTTCAGACAAACCGTAGTTAAGTAATCCCATCCCCCATTACCCCCATTCTATGGTCCCAATGATGTGGTTTCATTCCCTACTTTTTACCATGGTTTTGTTTGGGTGTTTCGTATGAACGTGGGAAGGGATTATCTAACTATATGGGTTTGTCTGAAAAAAGAGCATATACCCCCAAATCCCATAGTCTATCATAATTTTCCCTATCAAAATAGACACTGTTGGGATATACTCCATGTCCAGACACACCCATATGGTCAATATTGTCATACACCGCCTAGAATCCTAACTTTATCATGGAACCTGAAGCATGGGGTCCCAAAGATGATATAAACCATTTTAAAACACTACTGGACCTGGTTGGGTTAAATGTTACGTACAAAAGGAGACGTATCCCCTGTTGGGTCGGAGATATTGAGATATCAGCCAGCTACAGACATCTACTGACCATCATTTCCCTCTTCAGATATCCTATTTTTGCCGGCAGCCAGGATGCAACTGGGTCAAAATCTGTTGGCTGGCCAGTGGTTTTCATGTTTTTATCCGAATGAGTACAGGTTCACAACAAGTGACTCCCCCAATTCGTAGTTGTTTGGTCATTCTTAGAGGAATCTGATCTCTTTTGGGGGTCAACCAGAGCTACCAGAGAGTCACAGGCAGAGATTTCACTAAAAATCATGGATCGACCGGCCCTTGAAGCGTGCAGTGTGCCACTTAGCGTCTGAAATGAGGGGAGCGGAATGAGCCTTCAGACTTGTGGTCACTTCTAGATCACCCCCAATTGGATTGGGTTTTGTCTGAAAATATGGTGGCTGCCCAGTTTGTCCATTTTTCATCCATTTCATATTGGGAATTGGTGATCATTTTTCTGAAAATCACCCATATAGTCACTGACTTTCATAGGGAACATGATGATCATCAGTTGGAATTGGGCCCTATTGAAACAGCGCTGGAACTGAGGCACGGGCTCCACAAGCTGCTTGTCAGCGATGAAGGGCTTGCACCGTCCAACGGACCTCCTATGCTCCACGTTTTTCGCAATTGAAAACGTTGAACACCTGGAAATTATATGAAATGATAGGGGAAAGCTTTATCATATTGTGTCCTGGAACACTTTTCTATTTTTCCAGTATGTTCTATCTATTACTTGGGACGCCTATTATATTGGTGTATTGTCTTACCCCGTTTTCAGCGGTTTAGCAATGACATTGAGAAACCTTGCTAAGTGCGTAACTATATATGATGCATACTCATACATGGAGCTTAGCATCCTGGGTCTGGGTGAACATTTAATGTGAGGGCAATTTGACGTTTATCGGTTTCGCTGATTCTGACCAATTCACGTGTTGATCGGTATTGGTGCATAGTTATGGCCATGTCCAACGGGTTTTATGAATCTAAGCCCTACCCTACTTAAATTCTTGGTGGTTCCATTTTACCCCGTGCGCAGCATCCAAGCTGAAATGCTCCATTGGTGCAGTTGAGGTCACAAATGGCCTTGTTACAACTATGGTTTTGTTAAGCACAACGAGTTGGGACATAGAATGAATTAAAATGATACCCTCTGGTTATTTAACATAGCTATGGAAGCCATGGGCCATTTACAGATGATTTTCCCAGCTATAAACCTCCATTTATAAGGAATTTTCCATGGCTATGTTAAATAACCAGATGGTATAATATAATATAATATAATATACATAGCCCATCATAACCCCTATAAATCCATTTACAACTTTTTTTGGGGGTTACACATGGCTAGACTATGGTTTTCAAACATCCTGAAGCCCTATGAGTCCGGATAAGGGGTCCCGAGGCGGTGATCGGTACTTCCACTTGCGGCTGCCGTTCATTTGGATGGCCGACGCTCGGCGATCCGGATTGGATTTCTGGCGGAATTTATAAACCAACTTATAACAATTAGGCCCTATGGATCCAGCCGTACCTTCCTAGGAAGTGTGACTGGGGCATGATGACTAGGGGGTTAGCCGTACCTTCTGAGACAGTGGCCATGGATCCATAGGGAGGGGGTAGTCCTCCTGTAGGATGTTGTCAGGTCGATTAATTACTGGGGCACCATGGCTCTTCTTTGGTGGCTTGCACATACTTGATACGAGTGGGAAACTTGGTAGTGATTCCTGAATTTTCTGAAACCCCGAAAGCCACGTTCAAAAACACAGTAGACATCAAAGTATCCGTACTAGAATCGCGTCCTGCACTTAGAAACAGTCTATGAAAGGAATTGAAAGAGATGCTTTGCAGTGTTTGTTTCAATGTAATGCTTGGACGAAATACACCGTTGTGAGTGATGGTAACTGGACCTTTTTTTCCTTGTCTGGTGGTTTTGATAGGCTTCCACATGGTTCCACCAATTCCTCAAACGCGGATTAGTAAGTTGATTTTTTTTGTGCCAACCCACCAAATTAGTCAGCCAATCTTTGGATGGCATCACTTTTTGAAAGGCCCTCCGAAAGAGGGCAAGGCTGAAGGACTTTCCCTAGAATTCCTAAGTCTCGGTTGTAGAAATACCATAAGGTGGTGACAAAAACACAGGTTTACGTTTTTTTTTTTAATTGCCCATCTTAAAGTGTAGTTACAAAAGCCACACACATTAAAGCCGTGGAGGTTTCCAGTTGATTCAACCAACCTTTCGCGATTCCGGCACTGGGGCACCTTGGATCACCTCCTGTCTGAGGATGATTTGCTGGTGAGTTTCTATAGCCACTGAGCTGCAGCTTTGATCGATGGATTGGATAGACTGGGAACATCGATCTACAGGATGACATGGCTTTTACCATGAAATGTATAGAGATTTCCTGTAGATTTTCTCCAACAAAACAAAAAATATTCGAGGATTAGACAGAGTAAATTCATTCTCTCTGCCATTCTTTTTGGAACTGAGAGACACATGAAAAGGAAGCACTTTGCTTGGTGAAAGAACTTCCCGTCATGATCTTACGAATAAAAGGGTCAACGGTTCTCCGGACAGATCTTAGCCTGGAGACATTGGATACTTCACCGAATTTTCACAGTGAATCACATGGGCCATGGCTAAATTTATAGATAAATCCTCCGACTAAATGGGCTAAATGGCTTCCGTAGCAAACTCCCATTTTTTTTTTCTGGAGGACAATGATATTGGAATCATTTAGGATCTCCAAACACAATTCGACGTCCTTGGCGGCTATCCTGCAGAATAGTCGTTTGCCTCCTCAAGGGAACGTGTGGAAGAACAGGAGCAACTTGATCATATTGGAAGTAATTAAACGTGGAGGAACTCCCAAAAACAAATTCTGTTTCATGGGGCAATAAGACCGGTATCCTTCAGGCATCTCAAACCTAAACCAGCTGTCCATAAGTAGCATTGCAATCATGCAACCCTTAAATATTGGAGTGGTTGATTTTCGACAAATATGTTCTCAGTGGGCATTAATCGAAGAGTCATCAAAAATGGCTTACTAGAAAATCTCGGATTTATACAAAGTGGGGCCCCCTAGATGACTAATTAAGTTGGTTTATAACTCCAACAAGTATGGATTATGATACTTATATAGAGCATTTTAGAACTATAGTGTTCATGGATATTCATGGGGTGTATCATTGTCTAATGGTTTGTAAGCCACATTATAACTGGGGGGCCCAGCCATGCTGACCCATCAGGATCTCCTGTTTCCAAGAAGATCACAGCTCCCCAACAGTATCCAGTGTTGCATGAATTCCCACATGAATGTGGCAACGTTGGGGGGTATACCGCTATACCGGTATGCCCCCATATATATATATATTATGTATATACATATTATATATATATCCATCCCGTTGTGTATTTATTTAACGACAAACCCTGAACCCAACTATCATATTGTTGGTGTCTGTCGCTTGATGTTATCTGACTCCCGTTTTGCCCTCAGTCTTTTTGGTTTATCATAGCAGTCACATCTTTTTATAGCCCCATTTTTGCCGTACATAGCATCTCTTTCCAACATTAATTCAACAACAGTCAAGAGTTTCTAATCAACAGCCAAAAAAAACGATTTGTTCAAGTCCTCCGGAAGATAGTTTCATCAATGAACTAATAGCCAACCATAGCCAACAACATCCAACCATAGCCAATCATCTTCCGGATGATTAAAGAGATAATTTCATTATCCAGATGCTCCATGTATACATTTACCCCATAAATGAGCCAGTTTTGTAGGTAAATATTCCATACATGGAGCATCTGGGTTAATGAACTGATCGCCAAACATCGTTTTGGTTTTTTCTCCTCCGGTAACCCGACATGGCTTCCGAAAAATCACCGCCAGGACTTGAGGCGGTGAAACTCTGCGATGGCAGGACAGGGCGAGGTTGGTTGGTACCCGGCCTGGTAAACATACAAAAAACTATGGAAAGATCCACCATCTTATAGCTGAGTAAATCAACTATGTAACGACTGGGCCATTTTCAATAGCGAACTGTTTCTCAGAGGGTATTTTTTCGATGGAACGGTTGATGGGTTGATGGGTTGGAAATTTGTGGGTTGATGGGCTGGAAAGTGAGATTGGAAAAACCGTATCTTCTCAAAGTAAGAATCTCTCAACCTCCTTGAAGATCTCCTTCTGAGATCGAAGTATCTTGTTATATGACCACGACTTTGGATACTTCAAGGAGGTTTCCATGTGATTCTCCACAAAGACGTCAACTTGGGACTGGTCCCAGATTGGCGTCAATGTCGCCAGGCTGAAAGACACCTTGATTTGCTATGATTTGCTAAGTTCAAGGATCATTTCACTAGCAAGCCACAAAAGATTAGATAGAAACACATAATATAGAAAAAAGTAGAATAAACCAGCCTCTTTCCAGTTTATCATTATTTTGAGCAGGATTTTTGTCCAAACTTTCGGGGTTGCTATAGAGTCTTCCCGGAATCACTTGTGTACAGTTGAGCATGCTGTTGGATTTGCCCCTGTTTGAAAACGAGCTGGTATACCTCAAAATGGCATGTCAATGTCATTGGGAATTTTTGATTTTGAGACTGTAACCGGCGGATTTGGCCTATACCGATGCACTTTATTTCGAGACAAATCCATACAGTGACTACATTTAAGTAATTGGAGGGCGGCCAGACCGACTCGCGAGCGACTCGGCCAGTTGTGTGTTCGTCCGAACAGTTGAGAGTCCACTAGTTTTTTGCTGTGTGATCATCAATTTCCTCAATTAATCATCAACCATTAGTCATTACTTAATCACCATTAGTTCCCATTAATGTGGGATATGTGGGTAAAACATGGTAAAACAATAATAAGCCACCCATTTGGGAATAGTTTATACCACCTATTTATGGTGATATGCATTCATCAGCATTCATCACCATGAATCACACTGCCATTTCTGTGATGTGCCCGCCAGCTATGAGGACCCGCATCATGCGAGCGCTCCCCCGGAAGGGCTTTCGAGAGGCGCTCTCGTGACATGGGCTACATCCCTTGGGGCTGCAGGTGAGGGTCTAACCATGGTGAAAATCACACCTATAAGTTGGGATATGGGCCCTATAACATCCTACAACTATGGTGAATGCATGTGAATTATATATCCACTTACTTCACTGGAACTGCACTTCCAAGTCAGTCAGGTAATTCCCCCATTTAAGGAACCCTCAAATGAATTGATCCCATAAACTAATACGCAAATATTTTTTGGGGGGTGATATTGAATGTTGAAATGGGGAATGTATATCACTTATATCACTGAAACTATCATTTTTGCCCACGTACTCAAGTGAAATGGTGAGTAAATGATCTAAGCCCCTTGCTGTGTTGTCCAACTTCCAGAGTTTGTGGTGAAATCCACGAACAGCGTTTCAGAAATTCAGAAATCAAATGAAGCCAGCATGGTACTGGCTACATGCTGCCCTTTTTGTTCAAAGATATTATGAAGATACACGTATTTGTTGTCAGCACCCCGCAACTGCTTTTTTCGGAATCCCATTGCCTTGCTGTGTTTTCCGTTGAGATTGACGGTGGATGCACACTTATCCAATTTTTCTGCTACCAGGGGCCAAGGTTCCATCGTGTGACCCCGTTGTTTTTGATGGATCCCAATGGCTCCTCGCAGCGAGGCCTTTCTTGCAGTACAACAGCGAGAGGACCTGTGAACTCTGGACCATTCACCATCCCAAAATGGCCTTAGAATAAGGACTTGAATAATCCCAAAATGACTCCCCAAGAAAGATAGAAACAAGTGAAATCCTACTAAAATCGTGATGAATGACCAATTTGCCACCCTGTGTACCTGGGGTGTTGGGAGTAATCCTGAATAATGGTAAATGGGATAATATTATGGCAAGCACTTCCCTTAGATTCTCGTGGGCCCAATCCCTCCATATGTGGATATTAAGGCTAGAGGAGGATATGTAACCACATGGCTGACGTTGAGGCAAGAATGATTCGAGGGCACCTTCAGATCAAACTTATTTTTTTCTGACCCAATATGATCCACATCTTTGAAAACATATAATAAGTATCAACATTCTCAATTGCCAATGTATCCTTTCGGCCTTGACCTTTGAAGGATATATGCGACATATCCATTAGCGGTTTTTTGCGGGACCGTGGGGCCTCAGTGCTGGTCGCTTGGCGCTAACACATCCTCTGGGTGTTGACTGAGGTGTTGACCTTTGAAGCCACTGGATTTGGGGCGGTTGACACTTAAAAACATGGAACATGGCCCATAGAAATAGATGGTTTACCTATTAAAAAATGGTGATTTTCCATGGCTATGTTAAACAACCAGATGGTAGGTTTTAAACCTCAGGCAACTTGTAAACCACCGACCTTGGGGCTTGTCCGCAAATGAATAGACTCAGGTATAAAAAAGTATTATTAATATATATAGCCTCCAGATTGCACTATTTTTTTTATAAAATGATGAACAACCCTTGGGCGCTTGGGTTTCTACAGAGGTTTCCCTGTTGGGACAGAGCCATGAGGTCAAAAACGATTGGATGATGGACGGCTCCTTAGCCCTGCAGAAGGCGCCAAAGTTATACCACTGGCAGCCTCTAGTGGCTATGTTGCTGGGCTTATAATCCCATTAACCATCATTAACCAGTTCAATACATAAACTCTGAACCATAGTGAAATTGGAGTTGCAAACCAAGTTCGCTAACGACCTGGGGCCCCACATTGCACCATCCAAATAGTCGGGTTTCCTGTTTTATCCCTCAAAAACAAAGGAATTAGTAACCAAAAATGTGTGGATCAAAACCAACACTGGCATCAGAAACTATCCCAGGAAGTGTGTAGTTGCTTGGTGACACCCCCAAGATAAAAGATAACTGTTGGATTGAACATGATGACTCCAGTTATCATTGCTGACTTCTGCAGTACTTCCATGAGTGTTAAATTAAACTTCTTCGGGCTTGGGGTTTCTTTAAATAGTTATTATATCATTTTTAGGGCGCGCGCACACATATCCTCAAAGTTCCTCAAAGTGCTGACATCCAACCCGTGGCGACCTCCTACTGAATACTGAATTGATATTTCCTCTTGTGCTTACTTTGTGTCAGAAACTGTTCCAGTTTTTTTTTTGCTTGTTGTTTCGGACCATGAAGAACTTTCCGAGATGCTCGCTCCAAGTATGCTATATTTAAGGGTCGATTCTTGTGGAAATCGTATGTTTTTATGGAGGTCATTTCAATGTTGGTTGTTTCAATAGAGGTGGGATTTGTTCCGTTCACCAAAGTCAGATGTTTGTCTGTTTGATTCAGCAAATATGCATGTAATGGGCTCAAAACTGGGGTGCCAATGGAGTGGCTAGTGTATCACACATTGGGAAACACCTTTGACTTTGGGCAATCAAATGGGTCATTGCCCCAGTTGAATAGGTTGCGGAATCGGTTTTGCCACAGAGGAACATGCTAGACAGCAGAAAAAATGCAATGTATTCTAGAATGACCATGTAGACTCACAGACTCATTCAGTTCTTGGAGCACCCCATTTTGACCCACGACCACCATCATCATCATCATCATCATTTTCTTCTTCTTCTTCGTCTTCGTCTTCTTCTTCTTCTTCTTCTTCATTCCCAAATCTACACCCCAAGATACCCAAAGTATCTCACATTTTGATCAGACATCCTTCTCTTCCATCACCTCCCACCTTTCCCCCGTTTTGATTTGTCCAAGGAAACAACCAACATATTTTCCAGCGAAGTCCCCCATCTTTTCTGATCATACCTGTTATCCGTGTCAACCCGAAATGATAATTCTGGAACTACCATATCTATCCATATCTTACATAAATAGATATACATAGGTATGTATGTATGTATGTATGTATGTATGTATGTATGTATGTATATATAATTATATATATATATTATGACCTATATAGCCAGCCAGGATTTTCTAGCAATGTATCTAAGATTGGCCCATATGGAAGTGGCTTAGATTTGAGGATTTTTTTGTTCAGTGCTAGGTCCTGCAGGGATCGTCTGGTTGTGTCTTCCATGAATTGATTGCCGTCCAACGAGTGCATAGCTGGTTAAGCCCAATGGTTGCTGGTTAAACCAACTGTCTTCATCACTTCTTAATTGGTGAAAAAACAAAAAAAACGATACCCAACCTCCCAGCTACCTCTGAGATAGGGCACCAGACTGATTTTGCTGGAGAGCTTGGGGTTGGTTCCCTATCTGATATAGGTAACTGGAAGGTGAGGGTTATATATCTCAGCTAAACAGATTGAACACTTTTATTACTTGCAGGCAAACCAACAATTTTGGGTCTATAAACCTGATCAGCTAAACGCTTACATTACTTGCAGGTAAACCAACAATTTTGGGTCTGTAACAAGAAATCAATACATAATATACATATATAATATATACATATAATACATTATAATATATATATATTAATATATACACACATATATTTCCCTTCTGTACCCACCGCATTCTTTCACATGTTTTTTTGGCCCTTTTTGCCAAAACAGGTGGTTCTGCTGAACCTGGTGCTTCTGCAAGAGCTGCAGATCGCTTATTGCCCCGTGCTGAGGAAGTCAGAAGACTTGGCGATTTGTTGCTGGGCTGATCTCGACTGTGATGTGTTGGTGGTTTGGAACATGAATTTTATGACTTTCCATTCAGTTGGGAAGAATCATCCCAACTGACTTTCATATTTTTCGGAGGGGTTGAAACACGTAGCTGTGATGTGTTCAATCCCTTAATAAATCTTGAAAAAATATACCACCATGAAATTGTTCATAGAATTTCATGGGAGTTAAATGGTTCTCTATGGCCTGGTTCATATTAGATCCCATTAAAATCACCCTTTATGCTGCTACAATAAGCTGAGATATTGCTGAGTCGGTGATTTTGTTCGTTTTTCCGGACAATCCACCGTGACTCCGGCATCTACTTGGATGACCATAGAAATAGTGGATTTACCCAGCTAGAAAATGGTGATTTGGCCCATAGGTTTGTAAACGTTTACCAGAGGGTAAGATTATTTATATAACACTTCTAGGAACATATTGATGATACAATGGGGATATATATAATCAATAATTTTTCGATGATGTTGTAGGCAAATCTTCTTCCCCAGTCCTTTCCATTACGATTATTTTGTTACCCCTAGGGAAGTATATGGGGAAACCATATCTAACAACATATATTTACCGTATGTATCTACGATTTGCCGTGTGGGTTTGTCTTGAGGTTTAAGGGATAACGGGATAACGCCCCAAATCACTGTTTTATCATTATTTTCTCATTCAATTTGCCATGTTGCCATGGTGGTATGCCCAATTTTCAGACAGACCTACCTGGTTGGATGATAACTCAGATAGTTTTAGGTGACGTGTTTCCTTGATGGATTATGGATCATAAAAGATCCCACCTCATCATTTGAATGGATTAGTTTGGAATATGTTGGATTTTAAAGTGTGGATCTTTAAAAATATGCTTGAATTTTGAATGACAGCAACCCGCTGGTCAGTTGAATTATGGTTTGATGTTAGTCTTTCTAGTTGGATAATAGCAATGTTGATAGCGATGGACAGTATGTTTCCAATATGATGTACCCACTATAAACTTAGAATTTAGACCTCTCAAAGTCTCGCTAGTTGATGAAACAAGAGGGCCGATCATTGAAAAGAAAACACGACAACAACACTAAAGGTAAATGGATGTAACTAGTATATTTACCCGTCACCGGCCCAAACCATATTTTTTTCTTGCGGGGATGTGATCAACTGCTGGCATGGAATCATGACTCTGGAATCCACCAGAAAGTATGATCATTTCATGGTTGATAAATTTTGGCATGTTTGTTTCATGGAATTTGATCTGCTACTAATTTCATAGGCGATAAAAAAAACCACGGATGTTCAGAAACTGGATTAGCCCATGATTCTGAGGGATGGGCATACCATTTTTTTTGGTCGTTTTGCCAAAACTTTTCCATGAATTCAGGTTCTTGCCGTCGAAATGGGGGATATGGAGGTGCAATTGTCGCCCTCCCGGGCCACCCGTTCTCTGAGGTTATGAGGTGGCTCAAACGCCGGGAGGTGCCCTAGTTGAACATAATCATGTCTCGAAGTTCCGGAAATCATCCATGGTTTATCATGTTTATCATCTATTTCTATGGGCCATCTATACCATAGCTATCCATAGCTAATGTTAAATAACAACATCATCATTTATGTCATTTATCACCAAGTTTCATGGACATGGCATGACCATGGCTATCCATGGCTTCGCCATGGTTAGATAACCACATCTGAGGTCACCTGCTGAAGTGCCAAAGCTATGCCTATCGGGCGCGACACCTGGATACTCGGCGCCAAGCGGCGTCATGGGGGCCTCAAAGTCAGGCGTTTTTTCCTTGGATCTGGCCGAGTTTTCTTCTTTGACACTGGCATAATGGATGAAAATGGTGTTGAAGTCTGCGAAAGTCATGTTGTTTTTTACTAGCGACTGAAGTAAGAACACTGCATATGTGTTAAGGTGTTCAACCCCTTGTTTGGAATTTGTTTGGTATGCTATTATCCCTAGTTCTGAGTCATTCTGATGGGTGATGAACATGTTGGTTAATGATGCTGAGTGGTATCTGATGTTACGCTAGTGAGTATTGCTTAACGTTGGATGTTGCTCTATGCTATCGATGTTGGTTGTATCCGCACTAGTGATTGAGATTTTCGGCAATCAGACTATCACGACTATAACATTAAAATCCCATTTCTCAGTTTCTGCTGGTGAACTCCTAATCGCATTGGATGAAGGCCCAAAACTTATGGGAAATCCTCAGGTTTCAGAGTAAAAACCCTGGGTTTCCTCTAGATTTCCTCTGAAATCACCCCAGTAACCTGCCGTGGCCGCCGGTTGCGCCGTTGCGTTTCCTCTAGGAACGCGGCGGGGCGGAGGAAGTGCGCCGCGAGTGCCGCACGGCAGCGCGCCTGTTTGGCGGGGCGGCGCTGGCTGACGTGGGACGTTTGGTGCTGGGCGGCGAGGATGCGTTGAGGAAGCTGCCGGAAACGCAGTGACTTTGATCAGATAGGGGTTGGAAGATGAATTTCTAATTGGTGATTTTCTGGGTCTATGTTAATTTAGCAGAGGGTATAGTACTTGGACCTGCTTTATTGAGCATTTAGCTTTTGAAAGTCTTGGTGTTGGCATTTTGTTGGTTTCTTTGTTGGTGTCCTTTGTGTTGCTTGGGTTGTACCTTATTTCGATCAATTTCCGGATAAACCCGAATGAAGGAATCCTGCGTTTTCCTAGCTAAATACACCCAAAATCTCATTGCTGATCATTAGTTTCCTCTTTAATTTGCCATATATTGAGGGTAAATCCACCATTGTTTGAAACAGCCTCACCAGTTTCCCGATTTTCAGAATCTAAAGTCGACCCCTCCCACGTTCTCCACTTATCTCATTGGGGTTCTCATGGGGTTCATCCAGGGGCGGACCCCCCCATAGCTGGTTACCTGGGGTTCTCTCCTTGGATCCGCGTGATGGTAGCTCATCCCCATGGAATTGTGAAGCTCCTGAACCGACGTCTTCTAAGTCCAGATAAATGAAAAAAACACGTAGAAATTTCATTAACTTTATATGTATGTCATTATATTATGTATATATAATATATATATATATTGATATAACTGATAAGGTTGGTTGACTCTGTCTTATCCCTTCCTCCACCTGTGAGGAAGTTGGTGCTGCGTGCGCTCCTGTCCTGGTTGGCTGCCAGCCTCCGCGCCTTCCGCGACGGCGCCGCAGATGGCCACGGGGATTGGGACGACGGTGCGACGCAGCTGGCGATGTTGCCAGGTCTCCTGGGTGGGTTGGGTTGGTTGGTTGGAAATGGCCATTGAAATAGTTGATTTTCCTTGTTGTTTGTTAGTTTACTATAGAGGTTATCTGGGTGCTGGTTTTAAACATCGAGGGGTTTAACCATTTCACCGTTGAACCAACAAACCATGGCGAATGAACTATGAAAAATCGGGGAAGACCTCTGGTGATGGATAGTCAAGCAACTTCATCTGCTTGGGACGCCTTCAGAGTTCACATGGAAATCCTGATGACCATGGGCCCCTGGGCCCACATGTGATGCTTTCTCAAAAACCATTTGTAGGATAACATGAGCTAATCATAGCCGAGCCAAATTGATGGCTACACTGTTGATCTGAGAAAGGCCAAGAAACCATAGGGCACCTTCAGGACAGCCAAAATGATGCTTTCACCATCTTTAACCCAGTTTTTGTTAATGTCATATATGAGTCATAACCAAGAAATCGAGGACTCATTATCACAAGGGTTTTTAAGTCCAATTACTAAGTGGGATGATTCTCCAAGTGGGCTATTTGGGATCCGTGTTTTTTTTTTGGGCAGGTCTCGGTGACCATTATCCATTGATATCTTGGTCTATTCGAATAGGATCAACCGTCCAATGTTTTTTGGATACCTTGGGGTACCTGCAGGGTATTTCTGGGGATATACTGTAATTGTATACATATATAATCATGTACATTTACATACCTACTGAACCTTTTACCTACTTTTTTTTGGGGTAAAAAAAATATAGATATCTATTTCTGGTTCCATCTAAAAATAGTTATCTATTTTTAAAAATAGATATCTATTTTTATAATACCCCATTTTTATATTAATAATATACATATATACAGTATATATATATATACATACAGTATATATATATACAGCAGTATTATTGTTTTACCTATACATATATGTAATTATACATGTGTATACTCTTATTATTAGTCGTATTATTAGTATTACGTGTAATATATTAATATAGCACCTGTTTTATCCATTTCCACATGTTATTGATTGTTATTGTATGTATAGTAGATTGTTGTTGTGAACATCTCGTTTATCATACCTGATCACATACTGTGGATGGAAGAAATCCTGCACCAGTTGATAGGTGGTTTATCCCATTATTTATAGGGTTTCAACCATCCAAGGTGGTGCAGGATTTCTTCCATCCACAGTATGTTTACGTTTTACCCTTGGATATACAAACATGATATCTCGTCCAAGGGTATTTTTGACTATCCGAATCTGTGGATGCGCCGGATCTGCGTGATTTTTTTCATGGCCGAATCTTCCGACCTCGAACTATGTTAATGATGGGTACCCTCTGGTAAACTGTTACATAACTATGGAAAATCACCATGTTTAATGGGAAAATCCACTATAAATCACCATTTTCAATAGCTATGTTAAATTACCAGAGGGTACCAGATTAATTGGGGAAATCATTCACCAAAAAAAAAGCAGTTCAGGGAAATTGTTATAATTGTAATGTGGGATGGTCTCCGTTTACAAACTACTGAGATATCGGAAGTTGAACATGGATCCAGGAATTCTTCGGAGCAGGGGAATGAGGGCAGTTCAAACACGTCGGAGGGACCGGCAGTACGTTTGTTGTTTAAAGACAGCATGATCAACACGGGAGTGTTCAATGCAACGTTGCGAATTCATGTGTTTTTTCAATGAAAATGGAAACAAACAATCCATATATCATATCATTTCAAAGAGATTTCAGATGTTTCGTGTTGGTGTTCCATGTGTAAATCGCCTTCTTGATAAATCTCCCAGCCTTGACTTACAAACTGGTGCCCCCTATAGTTATATAATTATGAGTGTTGGTTTATTTCCCATCTAACGATAGTTCTGATACCCATAAACACCAGTTAAATACCAGTTAACCTGGTCAATTCAAGCACTTTTGCTAATTGATTCTTGCAAATTTGTCTTGTCCTACGCTCCATCTATGGAACATGTACCGCTCCATGTTCCCCCCCAAAGGTCGAAGTGATGCACCGCGCCGTGCCGAAGGTGTTTCAGGTGAAGCTCCGTCAGCTCCGTCCGGGAAAAAACGAGGCTTCATGGAATCTCGGCGCAGGATTCGCAGTGGGATTTTTTTGGTGACTCCGATTGAAATATGGATGTGGCACCTGGAAATGAGGGATAAATTTTCCATATGTTTCCCCAGAAATTGGCCAGTTTGAGAGGAAACTACTGCAAAAACATGGTGCTAAAGCATGGGATTTTGAGGTACCTATGGGTACCTAGTTTCAGACATATGATGCACGTCGAACTGTCAAGAATTGGCGGACAATTTCAGGATGAACTGTGACCTACGCAGGCTTAAATGATCTTAGATATATTTAATACAGCCATAATGAGTGCTGACTGCTAGGTATGGTGCTCCGACTGATCACATAAAACCCAGGCACGGGGACGTTGTGAAGCAAAACTCTTTGCTTGGGATGATATTTCAAGAATTTCAAGGGTCCATGATCTAAGTCAGTCGGAATTTCATTTCAACCCATGGATCATGGATCATGATGGATCATGATGGGAATTCCAGTTTCCGCAGATTCCTGAACTCAAACTTCCGCGTCCAGGATTGGCTCTCGAAGCTTCCCAAGTTGCCCACCGAAGCCGTGGCTTCCAGCGCGGAACAGTGCCCCATGGTGTCTGATGAAACACCGAAGGCTGAACGCCTGGCCACAGCTGTGCCGTTGGAGGAAATGGAGCCCGTGGCGGTGCGGCCCAAGCGCTTCTTGGACTTTCTGGGCCGAAGTCAGCCCCAGAAGCCCCAGAGCAGGTTTCTGGACTTTCTGAAACGGAGTGATCAAGGTGAATGATCTGTGGACCCACCAGACACGACCGAATTTGATCCCCGAGTCCGGTAGAATTAGGATGAATCAGGTCTATTGTTGGGCCACATCAGTTCAAGTTGAGGTTTTCGAACATTCAAGTTGCCCATCCACCTAGGGTCGACCCAAATTGGGGACCCCGAGAACATATATTCTGGTTGGTGAGTTCAAAGCACCATTTGTCAACCAACACATGTTGAATCAATCATTATTCCATCCTCGTGTGGATGAATCATGATGAATCCTCAAGTGTCAGTTTCCTGGCCCATGAGATCTCATTTTTTGGGTATAAAACATGTGCGGTGACTGCACCACCAACCAATTTAAGCTTTGCCTCTTTTACATCTCCGTCGGAAGCCCTGGCCAAAGACGTCAGGGCAAACATTGGTTGAACCGTCAGGTCAGTGCGTGTTCTTCGGGGCTGGAATCACTGGAATCACAAGCGAGCCATTGGTGTATTGGATAGGTCCTGGGATCAATGGAATAAGCAATAAAAATATGGTTGGTGGTTTGGAACATTTGGATTATTTTCCCATACATTGGGAAAAATAATCCCAACTGACTAATCTTACTGGTGCTTATATAGCAGGGAATTTTCGGGACCCAGTCATAGTAATTTCATCATCCCAGCAACCCCCAGCAACCCATCCAGCAACCCTACGTTTCGCACCAGAAATAGATGGTGCTTATAGGTCTCGCGACTGCAGAATGCTGCTGTTTGGTGAACTACCCAAGAAACCCAGGAGTTGGTGGCCGTTTGATCACCGTCAATCGTCAGTAGCTTCGTTTCGGTTTCCAGCCACTTGGAAGTGGATGGGAAGCCACCCACTGGAGGAAACCTTCCATATATCCAACATGAGGGTACTTGGAGGATCATCATCCACGAATCGTAGGTGAACATTTCACCATTTTTTCCCAGCTTGATGTGGGATAAGCCCAGTGAATATGGGACCTGAATAAAGGGATTTTTACCACTTCCTAAGTAGTCTACCCTACCCATTTGGTACCCTCTGGTAATTTAACATAGCTATTGAAAATTGTAATTTCTATTGGATTTACCCATTAAAAATTGTGATTTTCCATAGTTATGTTAGTTTACCAGAGGGTAACCATGTTTTCCCGGTTTTGGCATGCCCTGGCTGCAACAATTTTTCTGATTCGCTCGGTGCTGTGGCGCGGCTGCGGCTCAAACATAGGGCAGGAGCCACGAAAACCCCGGGTGCTTGACACCGACGCTGGCAAGTCACACGTATCGAGTACCTCGCAGGGCATGGTGGGAATATGTGGGAATGTGATGAGAAATCCAAATTTGCCAGTTTCAGAAGTTGCGTATCGCAAGCAAATTGGGATTGATTCTTCGAATACATGCTGGTACAGCACTGGTACAGCACTTGTGTTTTTCTGTACCACTGAAAATGGGTATATCATGGTATATCAGCCAACAAATATAAGAATATAGTCTAGTGATGTCTAGTGAATATAGAATAAGTCACTCGGCTGGTTGGTGAACAACTCCCCAAATAGAAAGCTGCAAACCTTTAAGTGTTGTCAAGAGAATTACCCTTGGGCCGTTTGAAGCTTAATTTGGGAATGCCTCAGCAGCCATTTCACCACCTTCTGAATTTGTTTTTGTTCCTCTTGTTTTACTGAGTTACATCTACAGTAATATGCATGTTTTTGTAGGTTGAGATCCACCGATTGTCCCGGAATTGGTCAAAAAGAATCCGAATGACAACGAACAACATATTTGGACGCATGGTTAGCGCATGGTTTCCTGTAGTTCTCCCTTCAACACCCATAATAATTATATACCTCGACCCTAAATCCTAGAAAAATATAGGTGTTTTCGGAATTTGACCTATATCGACTGATTTTACCCAAAACACCTAGATCTTGGATTTTAGGACTTTGATTGCATGTTTTTGGGTTTGGTGAGACCAAGGCCAAAAAATGTTTGCAGCGCATCAAACGACTGGGGATAAAACCCGCAAAACCCCGCAAAAAAACCCGCAAAAAGCCCGCAAAAAAAAAAAAAACACGCAAACAACCGCAAATCCTGAAATCTCGTTGTTTTAGGTAGTTTTCGGATTTTTGTGGTTGTTCCAAAAATCATCACAGTTTGTGTACCCGGCCGTAGTGCTGAGATTTTCCCAGAAACATGCATGTTTGGAACAAAGTGAATCATTTTTTGGTTTGTTTGACCTATCTTCTTAGAACGACCATTTTTTCCTCGGCAGTGGAGGGTCGAGGTATGTATATATTGATATGCCAATTCTCTCCAATTCTGACTACTTAGGCCTTTAAGACTCATTGCATACCCATGCCAAACTTATTATAAACCCACAGCATACCCATTGTAGCTGGTATATCTCTCATTTAGATTTAGTTGAATGGCCATTCCAGGATCCTAAATTGGAGGTACCTACCATATATAAGGCCTATATAAGACCTATGTAAGGGAATATCCCCAGAAAATATGGCCTTATATGGTACAGTACCTCCATTTTAGGATTCTGAAATTCCCATTTAGATTCAGTTGGTGATTTGTTTTTGCCAATGCGTGCGGGGAGTAGGGAACGCAGGCGTTCACGCGGCTTCAGGTCGTTGCTGATGGACAAGTACCGGAAGGTCATGAAGCCCAAGGAGAGCCTCAGGGCTCGTGGTTCCAAGCTTGCAATTGGGTCTGACCCCAGTCCATCCCATGATTGATCATTGTCCCCACTATGTAAATAAATATATCTATTGTATTATATATATAATATATACAGTAATTGAAACATCTTAAATTGGACACACATGTTTTAGCATCAGTATTCCTCATGAACATGGTCATTTTCGGGCATCACATTTTTTTTGGGGGCAAACCCAAATCAAATGAAAAGGACATCCCCATTTTTCCGAGTTGAATTGTGGTGAATCCCAGTTCTTCTCTCAAGAACCGCCCATTTTTGTGAGGAAAACTGTGGAAACTATCAACAACTATGGAAAACAATGGACATTGTGTCCACTCTTTTGCTGGAAAACGATGGAAGACTCCCCCCACCGCCCCAGGAGGATATCCAGAAGAGTGACGAGGAGATACGGGTGACGGCCGCTGGCAGCGTGTCTGTGGGCGCGCTCAGGGAAGAGCCTGGTGGATCGGCGAATGTTTGGAGACTCATACTGCCCAATTAATTGGGATAATGGTCATGAGCACAACTGTTACTGGCCTAGTGGTTGATAGTGGTTAATAGTAGTTAGTAATATGGTTACTGTAACAATAGTAGGTATACCACCAACCAGAATTGGGATAATGATCATCCATCAAAATAGGATTTTTACCATCAAAGATAGGGATATCATGGGATACAGCCAGAAAAACAAGCAACAGTATACACTTTTATCATTTGGAACATGAATTTTATGACTTTCCATTCAGTTGGGAACAATTATCTCAACTGACGAACTCATATTTTTCAGAGGGGTAGGTCAACCACCGACCAGAATTGGGATAATGATCATCCATCGTATTTTTGATTTTTTTTAATTGGCTCAAATGGCAATGTTCACCGGCAGTGGCAGAGACGCATTTTTCCGTGCATTTCAAGCCAATTGAACATTGAACTAGCAAGGGCAGTTCAACCAATAAAAAAAGTAAACATCTTGGATTTGCCGAAGATGGGTAATTTCCCAATGGGAAATTCACTACTTGGGGAATCTTTAGTTTTTTTTTTGGTTCCTTAAGCAAATCCAAGTCACATATCATTATTGAGCCATTCAAAACGATACTTTCTCCAAGTCACCATGGGCTAACCGATTAACTCAAATGGTCATCCATGTATGCTATATATGGTAACATTTACCATCAATATACCCCCAATGTTGGCATATATACCATACATGGATCCTATGGGTACTCAAATGCTCATCCATGACTTGAATGAGTCAAGTGGTGCTGAGGCGTACGTCTCACGTGCGGCCACGGTGTTCAACGAGCTCAAGAAGCCCTATGCGCCTTGGAGTCAACGCAACGCCGCCGCGGTGTTTTTGGGCTTCACCGACATGGCAATGACATGACGAAATATTGGAGGACCGAGCCAGAACACACATGAAACTCGTGGTTTTCTTAAAGTTTCTGGTCCAAAATAGTCATAACAATCCAATGTTATATACATCTACCAATTTGTTATCCACTTCTAAAGTCAATTGTTACATCTACCAATGATAGCTCCAGAGGAAACCAGATGTTACATCTACCAATTTCTTTGGGTCAAGACTCGTGTGGGGAGATGAAGACCCATGTGAGTGTTCTGCGTAGGGGGATTGGAAAGTCGTTTTTCATGAGATGACCGAAAAAAATAAACTCCCTTAGCTGTTTTTCAATGGCACGAGAATTGGTGGTGAATGTTTCCGTGTTGCATTTAAGCAGGTTAAACAAATTAAACATATGCTTGAAAAATCCAGGGGAGTAGCTCGATCAATTCGCATACCCTCTCGTTTTTTCCAGATGGCTGGAAAATTCAACCGAAATCGTCAATGATTTTCCGACCAGACCGATAGTGAGTTCTGGCAATTGCTGTAAACACATGGCAGAAGACCGTGAAGAATCAAGTGGGTTTTTAACAATTTTAACATACATCATGACTGAACTGAAGCACAGTTTTTAAATGTGTTTAACTACTATTGACTCAAGTTGCAAACAAATGGTTTAGACACACATGGGTTTGTCTGAAAATAGGGTATATTCCCAATTATAGCCATTTAATAGGGATAATGACCATTGGGTTTAGGGGTACACTATTTTCAGACACACCCACATTTTAAACTCATGTTAAACAAATCAATTGGTAAGTTCCAGGATCATCCCAGTATATCATCCCAGCAGTTATATGACTCATAGCTATGGATAGGTTATATTAATTGTAGTTCAGGAATGTTCAGGCTAATCATTCCAATATGCATGCACATATATATATACATATACTATATGTATATATATATATGATATATACCTATATAATCAAACTTACATTTTTGTGTTCCCTGGGGGTCCAAGGGAGTAGGGATAATACATGATAATACATGATAGCGTCATTACAGTACCTCCCAGTGTCTCTCTTCACTTTGGCCATCATGTAACGCGTATTGCGTTTACAGGTATAAGGTATACCTATACATATATATATATATACACTGTTAATATATCCAATTCTATACAAAACTCTCAAGTATTATATTGTACATATGCACATGAATATATAGAAACATATGGATAATATGTAGATATAAGATTGGATATATATATATACATATCATAATATACAATAAATATACATTCTTTCGGGAGTACATTCTGACTGGTTAAGCCCACAGCCTTCATCCTATATATTTACAGGATGATTTTCCCATTTTGTTTTTCATGTTTTTGTTTCATTTTGATTGGCTAAATCCCCTATGTTAATCTACAGCAATGTTTTTTTCGGGAATTTACCATCCGCTAGTCCACCACGGCAATAGTTTTTCAAGATGTTTCCCTATTGATGATCCCAGAAAAAAAACCTTCAGCGAAATGGGGACACATCCAATGGTAGTCCCATTTCATTCCCACTACATGCGAAATGGTTACATGGTCCCTCTTGGAATCCCAGTTTTGCTGAACATCACCATGTCCAGTTGGATTAAAAAACATATCCATTGGACTATGATTTCCATGGGATTATCGGTTATAATAAGTATCATTTGAAACAATAATATTGTTATAATGGTTATTTCTTACATGTCATTGGAAACAACCATTGGAATATAAAAAATGAAACCATTGGCCATTGTTATTTCCAATGAACAAGATAGTGAACAATCATTTCAAGTAAGTATCATTTGAAATATTAGTCTTGTTATACTGTAATGGTTATTTATTACATTTCATTGGACATAACAAGAAACAAAATAAAAATTAGTAGAGTCTACTGTAGACTTATTACTGGACATAAGATGTAAGGTTCATTGGACATTTATAAAAAAACATAACTCAGACCATAGCTCAGGTGATCCCTTATGGATCATAGATCAGGTCTACAAATCCATTTTGTAATAAGTATCACTGATTGGTTGGTGGTTTGGAACATGAATTTTATTTTCCATAATATATGAGAATGTCATCATCCCAACTCAACTGAACTCATATTTTTGGAACATTTGGACTATTTTCCATGTCATATATGGGATGTCATCCGAAACCCATTGACGAAGTCCAGGTTTTTTTTAGATGGGTAGGTCAACCACCAACCAGTCATGTTTGATATTGTTAGACCATGTCACCTTTTTCAGGCACCCAAAGGGCACCCCGAAAATCCATAGGTTTGTCACCACGATCATTAACCATATCAGGATTATCATTAAACAACCAGATTATTATTAACCATCATTAACCATCATTACCATATAATAACCATATAGTAGCCATTAATAAAAATATTGGAGTTGTAGACCTTGAACCGGGATCGTCCCCTGAGGTGATCGTGCAGGCCACAGGCAACGCCTTGACCAAGGCCGTCACGGCCGCTGAGGCGAGTGTTGCCTGTGGGGTTCACGCCATGGGCCATGGGAAAGTCTCGTGTTTTAAACGTTTTAAAGGGGCGATCTATAGATTTCATGGTGAAGTTTTTTTTTTTTTTAAATCATAGGTAAAGTGAAAAATGGTTGATTGGATGTTTGTTAAGCATATATCTATAGATTTCATGGATGAATATATATATATATATATCTAATAACATTCAAAATCGCATTCAAAGTGGTTATTCACGGCTTATTAACCAACCACTAGTTTGTGCCGTATTAACTTGATAACCAACAATTGATGGCTTGTTACAACCTTACACTTTCACAATGCCCTAACCTTCAAATCACCTCTGAGATAGATCACTGGTCAGGGTGATGAGAAGCCTCATGATTCGGGGTTCGTTACCTCTGACAGGTAACTGGAAGGTAAGGGATGGTGATTTATGGCTTATGAACCTTCGAACCTTACTAATGGTTTGTTAACCTTATAGCCAAGAATTAAAAGTTGATTATAGCCTCATAACTAAGAATTCAAAAAATGTTGCTTAAGATTCGCCCTTATCGTGGGTCTTGGTGGTGAATTAGCCATAAAAAAAAAAAAAACAGTCACCGGACTGGGGAGTTCGTTGAATCTTCGTGGTGATTTGGGTTGTGATGAAAAGATGGTCTATGTTTCTTTGGGTCATCCAGGCCATGGTGGAATCCCATGGCCATGGGTACATCAACCTGTGTGAATTGATGACCATGGTTCTATTTTTCTGGGAAAACAAGCCATCTTTGAAGCATGATTTTGGGTTTGTCTGCAAGTCGTGTAGCCCTGATGTGTGTATTTTTTACTGTGGGTGTGATCAAGTCGATAGGAGTTGTGGTTGTTGGTGGTTGATAAGCCATTGATAAACCATGATAAGCCCTTATTGACTGCAGGGTGGTTGAAGACCAAAAAAGGATATACCGTCACAAACCGCCTCGTAACTTATCACAGCTATGGACTATGGCCCCTTTGGTTCGTTGATCTACCGACCTTCAAAATGGTGAATGTTCATAGCGCTATGTTAGTTTACCGGAGGGATACCAGAGGCTAACGATCATTGTCAACCATCATTCATAGAGGTTGTATGGATTTTTACGGGGTTTAACTAACCAGCAATCATATGGGCATCAAGTTGATAAACGATGGTTGGTTGATATTATTTTCTTGTCGCTTGTGCCCTTTGAACAGCCCATCCTTTGGATGCTCATCAAGGGATCAAACATGGCTTGGACATCGCCGATTTTTAGATGAATTTCTCTTTAATTGCCCAGGATTGCCCATTGGCATGTTTAATTCCCAGAGGGGGACTTCTTTTATAACCTGTAGCTGGTGAGCAGCTTGAAGCGCACAGTTCCATCTTTGCCTTGGCACGTCTCCCCAAATGTTTGCTGTTCATGTACAGTATATCTGCGCAAGAGAACGACGCGTAGTTGCACCACAGCTATAACCTCTCCGCCATGTTGAGGTGTCATGCTGCTGTTTGGGTCAAAATTTGAGACGAAACACCTTGGAACAAGGCCATGGCCATGTGTAGTCCTGAGCCATCCAAGAAAAGAAGGTTCGAACTTACCCAACTTTCAACCATCCCCCTTTCTGCAGGCTCATACGTACGGCATCATACGGCGTTTCTTGTATAAATATCTATAATGCACTGTATAATGAGAAGCTGTACTTATTTTTGTGCCGGATCACATCGTATCACCATGACGAATCAGGTCATTAAGAGGCGTTTCAAGGGTCTGCATCAAATCACTGAGCTGAAAACGGTATCTTGGCGCAGGAAGTCTGGCAAGTGGCTGCCCTGTTTCGAAAGTTGTTCCATGGTAATCGTGAGAAACAAACATTGGAGGATACCTGAACAATAATAACATTCAGAACACTAGTTTTTTCTTACTATCACCATTTCCGTGGGTAGATTCGCATGCTTCGCGCTTTTTCATGGGTTGATCGCGTTCCTATCCCCTTCCAGGAGTCCACCGATTGAGATGCCCAGTTGATGATTTGGGATGGTTCTAGCAAGCTCAAAAAAGGTACAACCCATGGTGGTATCAGCTGGTAACACAAAAAAAAGAACTTCATCAGAACCCATCTACGATAGGTTACTATATTGCCTACATTTGCCTACTATCCTACTATGGCCTTAGTAGATCCAAAAAGTTTGTTGCGCAGTGCAGGTTTCTACCCATTTTCAATGGAATGATGGAGTTTTTTCACCCCGAACATCTAGGGTTTTGTTCGGTGCTGCAGCTGTTTTCTCAAGGTGGAGATTGTGGATGAGTACGAACCGTTGGAGGAAGGATTGGACAAGGTGCATGGGGGAATGGTTGAGAACTGGTCAGGATTGTTGTATCCCAGACTTGCTTTGGAATCCATTTCTTACTGGTGCTAAACGCAGGGAATGGATGGGTTGCTGGGGGTTGCTGGGATGATTATTACTAGTGATGACTGGGATCATTCCCGAAAATTCCCTGCTATATAAGCACCAGTAAGATTTACAGGAAAGGACATTTACCCATAAAACAATCCATTGATACAAGTTTTGTTGGGGTGTAAGATCGTGGGATGGATGTCGCCCGGTGCATGTACCGGAAGCTGAGTGGAGAACATGTTGGAAAAGTTTCCATTCTTTCAGGTGTCGGAGTTTGAGATATGACATATTTTATAGTACTAATAGTTGCATAGTTGTAGGATAGAATATGATAATACTGGCAATGATATGCACAAAGAACAATCTAATACAACATGATAATAAAAATAAAAATATTTATGATGATCATAAGAATCATCATGATGCCGTGAACAATGACACTGATAACTAAAGAATAATGATAGTAACAATAACCAATATATATATATATATTATAGCAATAATCATAGTGATAGTTGTCAATAGCTATAGATAGAAATGATAATAATATGATGATGACAATAAATGCACTGCCATTAGATTAGTAATGATTCTATAATCGAAGGAAGTTTAGAAGTCAAACTTCCGACAATATGGACAGATGAAAAGCAGAGATGGAAAGAGTCAGAGAAGAGAAGAGAAGAAGACAGAAGATCACAAAAGAGAAAGTCTCAGAAGAAAGAAGATCCAGGTGCGCGAAAAGGTAGGAAAGTCGCGAAACACTGTGTTTTTCCAATGATTTGTGGCTCCGGAGGGTCGAAAAGTAGGCTCGCTAAAGCGGCAGGCGCGGAGCCAGCTGGCCAGATGAGAGATGAACAATTGCACGCCGTTGTGGCGCGAAGCACATTTGCAAGTGAAAAACCTAAAACACCTCACATTCGGAACACTCCTTGAAGTTGAGATGTCGAAAAAGTGCACGGCGTTGTGGCGCGAAGCACATTTCGAAGTCAAAACGTACGAAACACACCAGGTCCGGACCACTTTTGGAACCGTTGTGGCGCGAAGCACATTTCGAAGTCAAAACGTTAAAAACACCAGTTCGGACCACTTTTGGACGTTCAGATGTCGTTTCGCGTGGCAGGCGCAAGGGATTGTGCACCTTGTCAAAAGCGAGCAAAACGTGAGGGTTTTGTAGCATTTCCAAAAACGATGGCAGGCGTGGGACATTTGAAGAGGATCTGCAAAGATGCATTTTCCGTGGCAGGCGCAGTACCAGAGACATGTTCATCAGAGATGTTCGGAGGTCAGGGCGCTCATTTCCTGAGAGGGGTTGCATTTTGGAGTGTCAGATCTTCAGGTTTGCTGAGATGATTTTGCTTGACAGGTGCAGCACTTCGTATGACCTGGCATCACTTTTTCGTGGCAGGCGCAGTACTTTAGACAGGTGGAGTGGAAAAATCGCAAAACGCAATGGTACGAGGCCGTCAGCTCTGCACTCAACTTTCCATTTTCGAAGGAAGTCTCACAGAATTGTTTCTTTTTTGATGTTGTCAACTTCGGAAAATGAGGAGGTCTCACAGAATTGTTTCGTTTTTGATGTTGTCAAGTGCAAAAATTGAGGAAGTCTTGCTGAATTGCTTCGTTATCACGCTTGCAGATAGACAGTTAGATAGACAGACAGACAGACAGACAGACAGAGATAGAGAGAGAGAGAGAGAGATAGATAGATAGATAGATAGACAGACAGACAGACAGAGAGATAGATAGGTAGATAGATAGATAGACAGACAGACAGACAGATAGATAGATAGATAGGTAGATAGATAGATAGATACATAGATAGATAGGTAGGTAGATAGATAGATACATAGATAGATAGATAGACAGACAGATAGATAGATAGATATAGATAGATAGATCGATAGCTAGATAGATAGATATAGATAGATAGATATAGATAGATAGATCGATAGATAGATAGATAGATACATAGATAGGTAGGTAGATAGATAGATAGATACATAGATAGGTAGGTAGGTAGATAGATAGATAGATACATAGATAGGTAGGTAGGTAGGTATATAGTCAGAGAAAGAGAGAGAAAGAGAGAGAAAGAGAGAGAAAGAGAGAGAAAGAGAGAGAAAGAGAGAGAAAGAGAGAGAAAGAGAGAGAAAGAGAGAGAAAGAGAGAGAAAGAGAGAGAAAGAGAGGAGACCTCAACCACCTTTCGATCCATCAGTGGCTTCGCTCTGCCATCCGTGATTCACAACAACCAACCTCTCCTCTAGGTTTCCTATTTCTGAAACTTCCGCCACCGCCTTGTGCGGTACTACTGGTAGTTACAGGGTACTAGTAGTACCCTCTGGCTATTTGACATAGCTATGAAAACTATCCCAATAATAGACGATTTATGATGATTTACCTTGTAACAATGGTTATGTTCCAGTTCGCTACGTTAAATATCAGATGGTAGCAACCACCAACAAATATAGTACTAATGCTGCAATCATCAACCATCCATTCCAACGTGGATTTTCTCATTTTTTCCCTTGGAAAGCAATAGACCTATGCCATCGTTATCACCATCCGCAGCTCCTCTGCCTCGCAGCTCCCAGAGGTCACAGATGTCCGAAACGTCTCCGTGGTGGAGATCAAGTTGTCGAAGGACGGAGTCCACGGAGCATCGGGTCGTGTTTGTCGTGGACGTTTCCATGTTGATTTCACCAGGATGCATCGCTTTTTGTCCGGTGGAATTTTGTGGATTTCAACATTGGTTGATTTGGGGACTGGATTTCGGAGAAATTGTTGTTTGACTCTCCAAAATGATGATTTCAAGAATTTGGATGCGAAAATGGAGGCTCAAAAACAATTTGTTCATCCTTGGTGACGATGAATCAAGCTGGCACATGTTCTGGGGATGTAGCCTCTGCTCAAAGGTGGCTGGAAAATCCTCCAATTGTAGATGACTCTTCCATACGTAATACATATCTCCATTTTTTTTCAATTGGGGGGAATGTCATCAATCCATTAGTAGTGGTAGATATTATATCTATATACATACGTATATATAGAGACAGAGAGAATTATATATGTATAGAGCTATATGTAATATGTACAATATATCCTGGTTGGTGGTTTGGAACATGAATGTTATGACTTTCCATTCAGTTCGAAACTTTATCATCCCAACTGACGAAATCATATTTTTCACAGGGATAGGTATACCACCAACCAGTCTACATTCCCAGATGGAATTGTTGAATATGCCACTTTATGATAATGACTATCCCCTGACTTGCCATGTCTTGGTGCGGGTGCTGCGGATCTTTGTACCTCATCTTCGGAATCCGTCCTTGAAAACCACAGGGTGTCTCCAAGCGAGATGGTGATAGCCAGCTTGGGACGGAAAAACAACATTGCCTGTTTTCTCTCTCAAGATTATCTATGAAGACAATATAAGACAATGATACAATGATACCCGTAGAATAATGAACATAGTTTCTCCAACCACTAGGTGAAAGATAGCCACAAGGGAAACAAAAACATAGGTCACCTTATTGTATATACTGTATATATATAAATATACATATATATAGACAATATATTATATACATATTATCTCGTCTTTATCTGTCAATTTTCCTCACGAAACCGATCTGGAGTGGCCCGGGAGCAGCCCCTGTTCGATCTTTAAGGAACAATATGGAAACTCCTGGATGCACATGTACTGCAGTCCCTTGAAATAATAGTAGGTTTTGATCGGGATTAGCCAGCTCACGGATTATGGTAATTTGAAATATCTTGACTAATTAATCAAAACCAATTATCAACCAAGTAATTAGTACACCAACCAACCGTGGACTAACCAAATCCAAATCTATCTAAATCAGTCCCAATTTAATTCCAAACTTATCCATATTTCCTTTCAAACTATGTATTTCTTTCATTTTTGATGATCATTCCAACCCCAAGTCCCTGTCATCGAGCCCCAGGAGCCCCTGGATTCCAGCGACAAGGGCTACCAGCCTCCCATCGATGAATCCTTGGTGAAAGAGTTTGATCCCGAGGACACGTCCAGACTGTCCAGATTCGACCGACCTGTTTTTGAAAGAACCAATAGGGATTTTACCGTTGCCATGATTGCCATGATTTTTCAGGTGATTACCTGAAGGATATGCATATCATATATATATATACTGTATATATATATACACAGGCACGCACACAGACACGCACACACAAACACGCCACACTGGTTTGTATTTTTGGTATAATGCGCATCTGCCGAAGACTGGGTTTATCATTTGGTTTTCTGTGTTTATAGCTTTAACATTTGCTGAGTGACAAGGTATCGCCTCCCTCATTTTTGCAGGACATGATGAGAGGCAGGGGCCGAGGAGGAGGCACTTCGAAAGGCACTTGGGTTCCACCTGGGAAAGAGGTGGATGATTGATGATGATTGGAAGGTTTTTTATCAATTCACCCAGCAAAAAAAGATGGGTGGTGGTTCACTATGGTTTTTATCGGCGCTTCACCATGGGAACAGTTGTTGGATCAACAGCTGAAAAACAGGAATAGTGAATAGGGATGAAGCCATGGATGTTTTTCATGGTTTTGGCCATCAGATTTGGGGATTGGTTTCATGGGTAGGCTGCTGGGTCCCAAAATCAGCTATGACGTGTGGAAGATCAACTGTAGCGGTGACCATCGTATCCCGAATAAGACCACATTCACTTGCCCTCTGGTAAACGTTTACATAACTATGGACACTCACCATTTTATAGCTGGGTAAATCCACTATTTCTATGGTCATTTTCAATAGCTATGTATATAACTTAAATTTCCAGAGGGTAAACGTCCCATTCTTTGGGTTTCAAGCATCCTTTTGCTGGTTGTGGATGGATTTCTGAACCACAATTTCTTTCCAGAGGCTACCTGGATGAGAAATCCACTACGACTGGGGAATCCAAGCTGACTGGAGGGTACATCAACTGATTTTCCATATACAAGTTATATAATACATATCATACGTATATATATATACATATTATAATTATATATATAATTATATATAATTATATATATAATTATTATATATATAATGTAATTATAATCCCACTATGACCCATCCTGTCCACTTGAAGTCATGGGAAATCCTCCACGACTTTCCTCCGAAAGAAAACACCGGTGCAGGCCGCGGCAAGGGTTCTACTGGTCGCGGGCGAGGGTCACTAGGCTTTGGGATCTTTGGGTTTGCGTTGTAAGGGAAGGTGGAGGAAATGAAATTATATATTTATATTATATATATATAAATATATACAGGCCGGGGATACACCCAAAAAATGGGATATGAAAAACATGAATGGCATATGAACGGATACAACTAACCAACTCTATGATATTTGTTTCTGTCTGAAAATAAGGTCTACCAGCAAGTTACAGCAATTTTAATGAGGAAAATCGTGATTAACCAGTGAAGTTTGGGGTACCCAATTTTTATTCAGACAAGCGGGGAGAGTCTTCCTTGGGGACCCCTTGGGGACCCCTTGGGAACCCCAAGGATCATCCAGGCAGGTGAGGACGTGCCACAACTCCAGTGCTGTGAACCACAAGCTTAGGCCTTGAAACCTATGAATCATACAAAAAAGAACAGACTTTGCCATGGACAAAGAACATATTTAGCTAACATGAAGAGAGAACCTTCATGTGCTTTCCCTAGTTCAAGGTTAGGCTCTTGAGAATATCCCTTGCCGTTCCCCCTAAGGAAGGGCAAAGGCCGCGGCAAGGCCCCGAAACGGTGAGTAGAGATGGGAAAGAACATGTAAAAAACAATTAGATATCCTTCGTCGATATCATTACATTTAAAATCATTTTAATATATTTGCCAGTTTTTGTTGGCACCCTTGCGAAAGGACTCTTCCAGCAACTTTCAGATTTTCTACCCAAAGGTTATCTTGTATCCTTTTGTATCACATCATATGCATCAAGGCAATTTGGCAAGTCGTTACTTGGGGAGCATGGCTGGGTGCTGACACTGTCTACGATCCAGTCCAACTATCAGGATGTAGTCACATTTGATATTGTATACCCTCTGGTAATTTAACATAGCTATTGAAAATCACCATTATTAATGGGAAAACTCACTATAAATGGCCATTTTCAATAGCTATGTTAGTTTACCAGAGGGTAAGTTTGTTATAGCAGGGTGAAGCACTTGATGTTCGGTCCCGGGATGATTCAGCGCTGCCTGCTGCGTGCTGTTGCCAGGGAAAAGGAAAGTCCAGTGGGACATCTAAGGGAAAGGGAACCAGCAAAGGCGCGGCCAGCTATTTCTTGGTAGCTTTCGGCCAGTGTATTTGCCAGGATCCCCATGATTTTCGGCCAAACACTTTCAGTGTTTGGTGCTGGTCGAGCCAGCGAATTCTGTGTTTGTTCCATGATGTTTGCTTCACCCAGAATTTGAAAATGATGCAATTCTAGAAAACAAGCAAAGCAAGTGTGGCTGGCATTTCCACTCATTTGAGCGTAGAGAAAACTTCTCTTACCTTTGGTTTAAGATGCCTAGGGTGATGGTCATCCCACAAGGCATCCTATCCTGGCCCAGCTGTGAAGGTTTCTCCGCTTCTTTTCGATCCCTATATTTCGGAAATCAAAAAGCCACATATTTGGTCCCTTCAACTATCATCTATGGTGGGTTTTGTGGTTGTGTCTTGGAGAGGCATTTGAAACCGGCTCAACAACAGGCCAATTCCCAGATGTAAGTGGCTTTCTATTGGCCAGTTGCTGAGAAGACAGTCGTAAGTTGAATAATTGTCGGATTGGTCTTTTTGTACCAATCTCATCCCCATCATTGTAAACATATATGATCATATATGTAAACATAAACATATATATATATATAACATATATAAACTTCCCCCCAATATGGGACTTACAAAATTGATAAATCCAATACATCAGGATTTCGACCAGCAGGGTGGCTATTTCATGCTATTTCATATGATGGAAGGGATCACAACCAGGCAAGAGCAAAGGCAAAGGCAAGAGTTCCAAGGCCGAACACTATGCAGTGGTGGCCTTTGGATATCATGTCATGTGATTCTCTTCATGGTGTTTTCTCCATGGTTTGCGTTTTTGACCCTCCGGTGTCATCAAACATGGCAAATGGAGAATTCCGGAACTAGCCATGGAGGTTTTAGAGCGAAAATCATCGAACTTCATGGGAGGCTTCCCATCCTTCCCATCCCCACATTTGGTTCCCGGAGGGTAGGCCCCAATGCTTTTCTTGACCTCGATGAGCCTGGAATCCCTGGAAGAATCGGGTGCAGATGATTTTTTGGGGGCATGAACAACAGTTTCAATGGTTTTATTTCAAGTGGCAAAATCTGCTTTAAAACTCTTGAAACCATGTGTTTTTTTTTCCGGATCTCCCATAGTCATAACTTGCGGAAACTACCCATTTTTGGGGAGATGGTCATACTACCATTCATAGGGAGTTGCAATGTTTTAGGATTCTCATCCCCTAATTTCCTACATTTCACCACTGTTTCGTTTGGGGGTATTGAGTACTAAGGGCCCATGGTTTTGGATATCATGCGGTGATTCAGTTTTAAGTTTTGGAGGAGCTTCAGCAAATTTCAGCAATATGCTTTGGATTGAAAAGTGTTTTTTTTTCTTTGTTGGATTGCAGGAAGGGGTGTTACCCCTTGTTTACATGACCCATTTATCCATTTGTTGTTCGTCACCTAAGACATGCACATTTCCATCCCAGAGTTAGAGTTGATCATTGCCGCAACTTGGCAGGGTAAGTATGAAGATGACTACGCTTCACCCTCGAAGGGCAAGGGAAAAGGAAAGAGCAAGGGAAAGAGCAAGAGCAAAAGCAAGTCACTTGGCTTCACTTGGCGTTGCTGCTTACAATGCTTGGTGCTTATGGTGGTTATGCTGCTTGGTGTTGTTGATCCTAGATAATTGATAATTATGTAATGCATCACATTTTGCAGGACTGCAATCCAGTTTTGACCCCGGTTTTGACCCAAGTTTTGAACACTTCAGCATGTTTAAGGTGGGCTAGATTATGGGTCAGAACCTCCAAAAGAAGGAACATTTGGGCTGTAGATATATGATGGCATATGATATTTCAATACTACAGCAAGATGTTACATCGGTCCAAAGTTCACAGGTCACCCCAACTGAGCCAATCTTCATTCAAGCGACCAGCCATCGTGCTGAGGTATGATGACTACGATGAGCCCAAGGCCGATGCACGGACCTTTCCCATGGATAGGAGGGAGCACATAGCTATGGGTATCCAAGCTACGAATTGAGTTTCCAAACCACATGAAAATTGAGCAGCAAACATCCCGTGGAAAACACTTGAAAACATCATCCTGCCGTTAAATAGATTCCCACATTCGCAATATGGACAGATCCACGACATTCTTTGTTATTCCATGCTTCTGGGGTGTTGTATATTTTAAAACAAAAAACCATGAATGAATGAGTATATGAGTTTAGTCTGGACCTATACATCGCAAATTCAAGCAAGAACTCGGTTTTTGTATCATGGGTTCTAGAGGTGTTTGATTCCTTTTGGATAAAAACTGCGCTTCATTTTGCCGCTTCCATGGTGAAGCCAGGGAAAGGGAAAGGGTAAGAGCTCCAAGGGCTCCAAGGGCTCCAAGGGCGGCGGAAAGTCCAAGAATTCTTGGGAGGACGCGAAGACCCGGCCTGGCAAACGGGCTAACATAACTATGGTTAAAATCACCGTTTTTATGGGAAAATCAGCTATACATGGGCCATTTTCAATAGCTATGTTAAATTTCCAGAGGGTAGTGTTGATCTGGTCAAGCGAGTCAACCCTCTGGTAAACTAAGCCCTAAGCGAACTTGCGAACTTGAAGATGGCGATTTATAGATGATTTACCCATTGAACATGGTGGTTTTCCATACAAGCGCTCGTAGTTATGTTAGCCCGTTTACCAGAGGGTAATAGTGGGATTTGTCGTATGTTGATGGGCGGTAATAGTGGGTTAATCCAATAGTGGGATGATAATGGCTCTTTATGGGATAACTTAGTAATTTTTGCCCTCTGGTAAACTAACATAGCTATTGAAATTTCCATTTATAGTGGATTTTCCCATTGAAAATTGTGATGTTCCATAGTTATGTTAGTTTACTAGAGGGTATCATCCCCAATGGAGGTTTCTTGGGTATAGAAATGGGATGATGCATCATTGGTTGCGGAAACACAGCATCCAAAAAATCCATAGGTTCCCTACGATCCCCCTGGGAGACGATAAAATATGGCCTGACGTCCTAAGAAAAGTAGCCCGGTTTTTCACCATGATTCGCAAAGTGATGCTACCTTTCGTTGCAAGTTGGTAGACCCATCGAACATCTATGGATCTTAGGATATCTTAGAGTCTTAGATGTACTTAGAATATGCATCATGCATAAGTCTGAGTAAAGCTGGATTGTGGGAACCATTTTGTGATGATCTGAGGAACTGAAAGTATGAGCAGAAACCGGCAGAACGTAGAGGATGGAAATCCGTTGTGCAACTATCATCGTAACAAACACAACCTCTCACAACTATCTTCTTGCAGGGTTTTCCGCCCCCCACATATAAGTTGTTTTTTCATGTTTCTTCTAGAAACCCCATGAACATCCATGAACATCCATTCACATCCATTAACTAGATATATCTACGATATTCTACGATCAACCCTAATATAGTTATGCCATAGTTAACCTAAAGCGACTAGTCGCTATCGTTGACCCCACCTGGCGATTTGAAACACCATGGAGAATGTAGGGGCGATTTTTCACACCCGTTTTGGATAGCGTGTTTTTTTCTATGAAACACATTGAAACACCCGGTATCTTGTTGAGTCTCTGTTAATTTAAGATAGCCATTGAACATCATCTATGAAAAAAATAGCTTCATATAGATGACACGCAATTGTCCATAGCTATGTTATGCTATGTCAACCTACCAGGGGGTCCCACTCATTTTTTTGCATCTGTGGAATCCTGTGGGCCAGGACAGCTACTCTGCGCCCAAGGGCGGTTCGGGAACCTGGGGGCATCACATGTCCAAAACCCGCATCTGGTTTCCACAATGAGATTCTCTGACAATGGATTGGAAAGCCATGGGAAGAGCCTTACTGGTTGGTGGTTTGGATCATGAATTTTACTTTCCATAGTAGGGATGTCATCCTTCCCAAGATGGTTAAAAACCACCAACCAGCCGTTCAAGTTCCTGAAGCCATCCCCTCTGAGTCGTCGTAAAAACTCCTTATTTTCAACCACAGAATGGCATATATATATTATATATAATTATATATATAATTATATACAGTGACGGACACCCAGTTAGAATATGAAAAATTAAGATTTATTAAATAAAAAATTACAGAACATAGTAGTCCCGAACGTTGATTTTATTTGAAATTTAAGATGATGCCATTTAGCACTTAGAATATGAAAAATGCAGTTAGAATATGGAAAAAATATTCCAGAATCAATGATTTCTTGAGTTTTGCTAGGATGGCATGCACTTAGAATATCCCAAAAAATAATGATTATTCAAAAAATCATTAAAAAAATCAATATATGATCTAATATTGTATGGAAAAAATCATCAAACCAGCATTAGAAAGAAACCAATGGTATGTTGATTTTTGTTGGGATGAATCTCTAAAAATCATTGACTTGGTTGATTTGGTTGCCTCAGCCTTCTATGTTCGACACTCGCACCACCACCGCACTGCATTCAGGCAACAGGAATGCATTGACATTTGATTTTTTCATATACAAAGTGTTGGTCCATAACGGTTATCAACAATGTAGGATACTGTAAAGGGTAAAATAATACTATTTTATGTTGGGCAGTATGCCACCATGGTACTTTTCGGGGGTTGTCATAGAAGTACTGTAGTGATCATGGCAACTGATGTGGATGCCATGGATCATTACGCTTTGCTTGGCGTAGGGCCTGAAGGGTCAGGCTTGCCGCCGATGCAGCGTGTCATGAAGCTAGCAACCATTTCCATCGACGAGGTGAAAGCATCTTACAAAACGGCTTTGGTCAAGGCAACTGGAAATCCCTTTGTGTTGGCAAGGTTGTCTCAGGCATTCCAAGTGCTTTCAGGGGATTCCAGAAAGATGTATGATTTGGAGTTGCTGCAGAAAGCTGCAGCAGTGGCTAGGCTTACATCGATATTCTAACTGCATCCAGCCCTGGTTATTTCTAAAAAAACCTATATATCAAAACCATAAACCATTAAGTATACCATATTTACTGTAACATATATATATATAGTAACGTCTATCATCCAAACCGGAAGTGTGGTGTCACATATTTGTTTCCATATGAGACATATACGGTACCAAAATGCTAACAACAAATGAATAAAATTACTAAACGTTTGCATTGGGATGGATATCATAGTATCTGTTTGGTCAAATGTACAGTAACTATTTGGGAACACATAGATTGTGTTTATTCAAATGTTACTTTGCTGGGGCTCCTTCATGAAGTGGTATATGTCTTAGGGTTTCCTTGTGGTAGAGACATATTCTAACTGCGTTCGGTGTGGGATTTTCCAATGTATAATATTCCGAGGCTAACCACTGGTTAATGTAGATGAATACAATATCATTCTTGGATTTCTTTGGGTGAACATATATATATATAAATGTTTGGTTTACACTATTATGACGGGATACCGTACAATGTTTTGAACAACATTTGCAATAACAATGATGGAAGGAACATTATACTGTAGTATCATACAGGTATATTCTAACTGCATTCAACATTGAAGGGTTTCATCAGGATTGTTGAGCTACAGTATTGTATATACAGTACATTCCCTGAAGTGTTAAGGTTCATTACTCTCCCCAAGCTGTTTGCAGAAACGTTTGCATTGGGATGGATATCATAGTATCTGTTTGGTCAAATGTACAGTAACTATTTGGGAACACATAGATTGTGTTTATTCAAATGTTACTTTGCTGGGGCTCCTTCATGAAGTGGTATATGTCTTAGGGTTTCCTTGTGGTAGAGACATATTCTAACTGCGTTCGGTGTGGGATTTTCCAATGTATAATATTCCGAGGCTAACCACTGGTTAATGTAGATGAATACAATATCATTCTTGGATTTCTTTGGGTGAACATATATATAAAAATGTTTGGTTTACACTACTATGACGGGATACCGTACAATGTTTTGAACAACATTTGCAATAACAATGATGGAAGGAACATTATACTGTAGTATCATACAGGTATATTCTAACTGCATTCAACATTGAAGGGTTTCATCAGGATTGTTGAGCTACAGTATTGTATATACAGTACATTCCCTGAAGTGTTAAGGTTCATTACTCCCCCCAAGCTGTTTGCAGAAACGTTTGCATTGGGATGGATATCATAGTATCTGTTTGGTCAAATGTACAGTAACTATTTGGGAACACATAGATTGTGTTTATTCAAATGTTACTTTGCTGGGGCTCCTTCATGAAGTGGTATATGTCTTAGGGTTTCCTTGTGGTAGAGACATATTCTAACTGCGTTCGGTGTGGGATTTTCCAATGTATAATATTCCGAGGCTAACCACTGGTTAATGTAGATGAATACAATATCATTCTTGGATTTCTTTGGGTGAACATATATATATAAATGTTTGGTTTACACTACTATGACGGGATACCGTACAATGTTTTGAACAACATTTGTAATAACAATGATGGAAGGAACATTATACTGTAGTATCATACAGGTATATTCTAACTGCATTCAACATTGAAGGGTTTCATCAGGATTGTTGAGCTACAGTATTGTATATACAGTACATTCCCTGAAGTGTTAAGGTTCATTACTCTCCCCAAGCTGTCGCTCGTGACCGGCAAGAACGGGATGTCAGCAAGGGCGAAGAGCCGCCGCTTCCACCACCGCCGGACTCTCCAGCTGGTGATGATGATTCAGCTGAAGATGATGATGGTGCATCTGTGGGTGGGGATGGATCCAAACCAATAGTCCCTTCCAATAAAGGTATCCAAGCTTTCAAGAGGCATGTCAAGGTGACAGTTGGATCAGAGACCCGAAAGTTCATCCATAAATCTTATGGGTCACCAGATTTGGCACTTATGGCGTGTGAAGCATTCCAGAAAGAAACCAATGCATTGCTTCATGTGTTTGACTCCCACAAACGCAAGCCGGAACCACGTCGAGAGTTATTGATTTCTGCCGGTGTTGATGAAAAGTTTTGGAAGGCTAGCATAGCCAATCAAAGGGAAGCACTGATCAGAAAGCTTGCCAGAGGAAAAGTCAAAACAGTTGAAGATAAAGTTATGGGCAAGATTTTCCAAAACGTAATCGAAGACAAGAATTCCACTGGTTGGGCACTCACCGTAGTGGACGACAAGTTCAAGGCATCGTTTCAGGGTGGCAAGCATAATGTTGAGAGATTGTTTTCTACAGTGCCATCTGCGGTTGAATGGCTGCAATCTATGACCCTTGCGGAGAAGGTGTGGTTTTGTGTTTCAAAAACATATATAGTATAGTACAGTAACTACATTATTGGTTCGTACCTAGTGGTTCACCGTAACCTCATGATATGTTTTTAAATATTCTAACTGCATGCGACCAGTGTCTTTTTCGTATGTCTTTAGTATACTGTATCATGATACAAAACTGAATAGTTCATTAATTCTAGCAACGATACAAAACAATACTTTAGCCCAAAGCAATGATACACCAAGTATTGTGCAACATTGTACTGTATATGCAATCTATTGTCATGATTTATGTTCTCAGCCCTCAGGATGGCAAGATGGACAAGTCTCTGCAGGCCGTGGCTTCTAGCACAAAGGAAGCATTGCAAGCTCAGAAGGCGTTGAAAACCATGGCAACTTCTCAGGGCCCTGAATTGGTTGAAGTTATCTCCAAACTCGAGAAATGCAAAAGTCAAGATTGTATTGTGGCTTCAGATGCTAAAGACATCACTGCTGATTTCTTAGCACCCATCGAAAAACCGAAGGATGAGCTTCCTCTGAGTGACATCGAGGTTTACAAAGGGATTTTGCGTAGATTAGCTGGAATGAAATCATCTGATAAGGTTGCTTTGTTAGCTGGTGCAGATTCGTCAGTGACAAATGTGGTTATTGCAGATACTATTGAAGCTGCAGTCGGGTCTCCGGAAGTCGTGAATTTTTGGCAAAAACTGCAGCAGGAATTGTTGGGGTTAGCAGTCTTTGAAGATCTATCTGATCCTAGCCAGTATGATGAGGAAATCAAAAAATTACCAGGTTCACAGAAACAAATGCTGCTGATGGCATTTACAGGGAGTGACGAACCAATGGCATGGATCACTAAACGTGATGAATCATCTTCTGAGCTGGTGTGGTCGGCAGTGAGGGTGGGCAAGCAGCACACCAACCGGAAACGAAACGACAAGATTCGGTTAGCTTATGCTGACAAAGTTGGTGTTTCGTTTGATGACGAGGTTTCGGTTTTGAAAAATCAAAATGGTTCATAGTACAGGTACCCCAAGAATGCAGTTAGAATATGAAATTTATTTTGGGATCATAGGCTTAGTATCATACAGGGTATGTTCTTTCCCTGCATAGGTAGTTGCATCAGTGATGAATGCCATACGATCGCAGCTCAAAATTGCAATACAGGAGCAGTCGATCAAGCTGGAAACAACTGGAAAGGTACCATTTATTCGTGTGTCAGCACCACCTGATGGGCTTTGTGCTTATCACAGTGTTCTGGGCAGTCTGAGTTACCATTCTTGGAAGCAGGTGAAAAGATATGACAATGGTATTGCTGTGAACCGGAGAATTTCAAAATCGGAATCTCAATCAGCACACCAGCTGAGGGGGTATGCCTTACTACAAACACCAGAAAATGATCCAGTGATTGCTGAACAAGCATTGGAGGCCCAAAAGTCTACAACTTTGGATATTGGTGAATTGTCCTGGCTTGGTCAGTCGCTGAACCTTGCAATCCGATGCTATATATCTGATGAGGCACGGTGATACTACAGTAAATTTGAACCAATCATTAAATTATTTGACATCAATATACAGTATATTATTTTTGTTTTGGGGTACTGTATTCTAAGTGCATCCATTCATCACATTACTTGAATTAGTACTTGGTATTTTAATTTACATTCCATATACTGTACTGTAGTAGGAAAATAATGTTGTTATAGTACTGTAATCACCACACGCCCATCATACCGCAGAGCGCCGTGCAATACAGAACTACAGCACTACAGCCACAGCAGCACTCACTGGAGGGTTCCTAGCCAGCAGAGGGTTGGGAAAGGATGGGAAGGATTAAGGCACAATATATATTACTGTATTGCCATGTATTGTGAATATTTCCAACGCATAGAAATACATTGAGTGCATGTTGCTTCAGCAGTATTGGATACTGTACAATAATACAGTTGCATAAGGTTTTTATTTTCATCACAGTAATTTTGTAGAATACAATATAGAATATGCTTTCTATATAGCAGGACAATTTGTATATGCAGCATAATACAAATCAGGAATGACATGTTAAATTCACAATATATATATATATATTGTATATATATATATTATCAGTATATATATATACTGTATAGTATATATATATATATATATACTGTACTGTACAGTATATACTACAGTACAGTATATGGAGGTTTCCATAAATGGTGGTACTGTAGCAGGGTAGTCACAAATGGATGATTTATTATGGACAATCTCACTAAAATGAATGGTCTAGTGGCAACCACTATACTGTATATATATATATATATATATATATGCTGCATATAGCAAACCTTTTCATAACCGGCCTCTCAGGTTCGGAGAAATGAACCAACGCCAGGACTGTCATTCCTGAGGGTGTGGGTGGATTTCAAGTCGTATGTTCTTCACTGATGGCCAACATATTTGTACAACACATTACAGTAGCATAGCACAGTACGGTGCAGTACAATAAGAATCATTTTGTTGTACAGTATACAATACTATATTTGAGAACCGGAAGAATCAGGAATGGGTCGAGACATATTCTAAGTGCATTCTTTTCCAACCATGGTGCAGTTGATAGTAGTAATTACTGTATACTACAAAGTTCTGTTGTACTACAGTAATGTATACTGATCACAACGATTTACGTCAATGAATGATACAACAATAAATATAAAGTACCATACATTGCAGTAATGCAATACAATACTGTAGATAGGGACCTGCAGCCAGGACCAGCAGCCAAGCTGCCTACTTGGCCAGAAGCTTTGCTACATAGCGCCTGGCCAGCAAGAGGATGCAGCAGACTACTTTTCTGTACAACAATACAATAAAGCCAAGCACATACAATACACCAACATGCTATACGATAGCAGCTGTGGGTGGATCAAGACTTACAGCAAGGCAATCTAGTACTGTACAGCAGCCATGCAAACACCGTTGACCGAAGATGCATTGCCATGGAAACTCCAGTCGTTTCAGCAGCGGCCTACTTCTAAGCGTGACTGCTGGGCAATTCTTCCGGGCTGGGTCATCAGAGTACACGGCAGTGAACGCACGCAGCCATTCCATCCATTACACTCTAGCTTTCCTTTGCATGAGGAAGGAGGGGAGACTTTATGCTCTCGCAGAGTTACAGTGGCTTTCTTGGAAGGGCACAACGTGCCTTCCATGTTTGAAGATTCATGGATGACTAGCCCATCACCGGAGTCAAGGAACACATGGAAAAGCAGAGGAAAATGGGTTGGGTTCACCTTCTTCAGTCGCAAGTCGGTGGATGCACATGGAACTCAAGCGGGGTCAGGGAGCATAGTTGGTGAAGATCGAGTGGGAACGCAACAGGAAATCATTGAGACGGCCGTGGAGGCTGCAGCAGATCATCTTGCTGGTATGACACTTCGCCGTGGATATGCACATGGTGGTGTGGCGGCACGTGGCAAAGCAGCTATCGTCGCAAAGCCAGTGCAGCATCATGGGCATGATGACTATGGCTTTGAGCTTGTTCAGGAAGATCTCTAAGCTCTGAGTTGGCTACAGTACAGTGCAGTACAATACTGTACAGTACAATGCTGAAAGCAGCAAAGCAGGGCATCCGAATAGCCTGCATAGGAGTGCAACATTCCTTATGGCATATGACAGGTTGCTGAGCAATGCTACAGAACATGGCAGTATAATACGTACAGAACAGTACCATATTGTACAGTCTTGCAACCTCTTGTAATTAATTTCATTACTGTAGTTTCTTGTCGGTAGATGGTGTGCACGCAACCATACTGTATAGCACAGCCTAGTAGTACAGTAAGCACATAACATTATGTGGTAGATCATTTGGTGCGCTTGGACAACAGGGGGGGCAGTGTGGCACAGCATAGTACATTGTATACTGTAGTAACATACTCTGATGTGTAGTCTTGGGTGCATTGTACTGTACTGTGTACTGTAATGTGGTAGAAGTAGAGTGGTAGAGCACATGTATGCTATCAAAGGGCATTGGTCACATGTGACATTTGAATTCAGCCCGGCCTCCTGAGGTAACGAGAAGCGGTGCAAGAACAGGACAGCCGATCCTGAGTCGAATGATTAGTGATTCTTTGTGTATAGCATTGGGATTCAAATGCAGTATATTGTTCAATGCTATATAAGGATGATAGGGGTTGCGATATGAATAATAGTACGGTATGGGAAATACTGAATTCTAAGTGCATTCTCCTTTCACATTGTTCCACTTGATCAATATTTTTTGAACAACACAACAACCAAACATTATCGGTCGAACTGGTTATGATCATTTGATGCATTTGGGTGATCAACATTACAGTACAGTACAGTACATTATATTATTTTAATTACAGTATACAGTAGTACAGTAGATATCCACTTACAGAAAAAACAAGTATCCATTACAGTAGTACAGTACAGTACTGTAGATACACTTGGCTACTGTAAGACCCATGACTGCTTGAGCAATCAAGCCTAGCTTGCAATTTTCTGGTTGGTTTGTTATTCCACCAAAATTGCAAGAAACATCGGGATTCACAAGATGTTCAGTAAATGGGTTACAGTACCAAATTGGTTGTACATGATCAAACAATACAATAGATTCAAAACATAGAATTTCTATACTGTAAGTACAATACTATATTATTATATTTGGTATTGTTATGTTGTTACAGTTTGAGGAGCTATGATATTCTAACTGCATCCAGTGCCCCGTTATCATAATATTTGAATATATATCATAATAAAAATAGCCAAGCTTCAGTCTGTACCGGCCATCAGGAGCACATCAGTGTGAACGCAACAGCACGGAGCGCACAGCAAGGGTTGGGCATCATACAATATACAGTACGTATTGTCTACAGTAGTACAGTACATGATATGAAGGTAGAGATTGATATCTAATATGTGATACAGTACAATATACTGTATAAGTATATACTGTATATATTAATGCTGTAAAATAAACTATATTTCATGATGTTCTGGTGTGAAAGAAAGGCATATTCTAAGTGCATTCACCATGCAAATCTTCAGTATGTTTCTCAAAGGGAACGATAGTTACAATACATTATTACGTAAATATATACAGTACTGTAATCTATAGTACTGTAAACATCACCTTTTTTTTAATGATCATATATAGGGGGTACCTTCAAAGCAATGAACTAATGTATGTACTGTACTGTACTGTATACTGTACAACTCTGCACTGCCCTGCCAGGCATTTTCTCGAATGCAGTGTGGCGGTATGAACATCAAGCAGGATGCGATCTATGGGATGAATAGAGAACCAGATATTCATTTACTGTTTTCTTGGATTGAGCATGTGGAGACCGGGGTAGCTTACTCCCACTTCGACATCCTCGCCCCTACCGATGAAAATGACTGTGATACCAAAGGCCTTATGTGGATTCCTTCAGAAGTAGCATTTCAAGAACCTATGTCAAAGGAATTCATGTATAGAATTCACGATGAACAGCAGATGATTGAGGAAGGTAAGGAAATGGAACTTCAAAGACAAAGCAAATGCGCAGCCCAACAAGCAGCACCACCTGCAGAAGCCACACAGGAACAAGAGCACACAGCAATGGAACCATTGCAGCACATGCAAAATCCAACAGCACCTGCAGAAGCCACACAGGAACAGGAGACAGCACAGCACGAAGATGAGCAACAACATGCATCAGCACCTGCAGAAGCCACACAGGAACCAGAGAAGTCACAGCACGAAGATGAGCAACAACATGCATCAGCACCTGCAGAAGCCACACAGGAACCAGAGAAAGCACAGAACGAAGATGAGCAACAACATGCATCAGCACCTGCAGAAGCCACACAGGAACCGGAGAAATCTCAGCACGAAGATGAGCAACAACATGCATCAGCACCTGCAGAAGCCACACAGGAAACAAAGAAGTCACAGCACGAAGATGAGCAACAACACCTAACAGCACCTGCCGAAGCCACTCAAAAACTGAAGCACTCAGCAACAGAACCATTGCAGCCAGCACCAGAGACAGCACATCAGGAGGATGAACAGCAGAATCCAACAGCACCTGCAGAAGCCACACAGGAAACAAAGAAGTCACAGCACGAAGATGAGCAACAACATGCATCAGCACCTGCAGAAGCCACAAAGGAACCGGAGAAAGCTCAGCACGAAGATGAACAGCAGAATCCATCAGCACCTGCAGAAGCCACACAGGAACCGGAGAAAGCTCAGCACGAAGATGAGCAACAACATGCATCAGCACCTGCAGAAGCCACACAGGAACCGGAAAAAGCTCAGCACGAAGATGAGCAACAACATGCATCAGCACCTGCAGAAGCCACACAGGAACCAGAGAAAGCACAGAACGAAGATGAGCAACAACATGCATCAGCACCTGCAGAAGCCACACAAGAGCTGAAGCACTCAGCAACAGAACCATTGCAGCCAGCACCGGAGACAGCACATCAGGAGGATGAACAGCAGAATCCAACAGCACCTGCAGAAGCCACACAGGAAACAAAGAAGTCACAGCACGAAGATGAGCAACAACATGCATCAGAACCTGCAGAAGCCAAACAGGAAACAGAGAAAGCACAGAACGAAGATGAACAGCAGAATCCAACAGCACCTGCAGAAGCCACTCAAAAACTGAAGCACTCAGCAACAGAACCATTGCAGCCAGCACCGGAGACAGCACATCAGGAGGATGAACAGCAGAATCCAACAGCACCTGCAGAAGCCACACAGGAAACAAAGAAGTCACAGCACGAAGATGAGCAACAACACCTAACAGCACCTGCCGAAGCCACTCAAAAACTGAAGCACGCAGCAACAAAACCATTGCAGCCAGCACCAGAGCAAGCACATCACGAGGGTGAACAGCAGAATCCAACAGCACCTGCAGAAGCCACACAGGAACCAGAGAAAGCTCAGCACGAAGATGAGCAACAACATGCAACAGCACCTGCAGAAGCCACCCAAGATCTGAAGCACCCAGCAACAGAACCATTGCAGCCAGCATCAGAGAAAGCACAGCACGAGGATGGGCAACAGCATCCAACAGTGCGTACAGAAGCTACTCAAGAACTGAAGCATTCGGCAAAGGAACCGTTGCAGCCAGCACCAGAGCAAGCACAGCACAAGCAAAATGAAACAGAGAAGGCTTCAGGCTCAAGAGCTACTAAAAGAGTTGCAGACCAAGAAGATAAGGAAGCATCAAAACGACAGAAAAATTCAACACAAAGCAGCAAAAAGCAAGAGGCAACGCAGTTAGAATATGAGGATGATTCCACAACAGAGTACTTGGCAATGAACATTTCCAAAGAAATCTGGGAATTTCTGTGCACACCTGAAACAGCAGAATCATCATGGCTTTTTGGATGGGCTCTAAAGCCAAAGGATGATGATTTTGTATGCTTCATTGAATCCGGTGGGACTGAAGTATTTGGAACAGCTTTGGTGGTTGAACGAAATATGATCAAAACCTTTGCACAACTACGGTCTTGCTGGGCCTTCAGTGTTGGCACCACCAGACTCAAACAAGCTTGGAGATCACGTTTCTAGGCTAAGGTTAGCAATAATCTTTGATACAATAATTACAACATGTAATGTACTTTACTGTACTGTACTGTAAACATAGTGGGAATACACTACATTTGTCTTCAGGGTACAGTATCCTCATTGCAATGTAATACGGATTACTTTAAGGAACAATACATTGTCATATTGTTCAGTACAGTGCAGTACTGTACAGTACTGTACACGCGCTGCCAAGGTTTGATGGTGGAGAAGAAGAGTCTCTACGAATGGAAATTCAAGCGTGTTCACAAATTTGATGCTCCGACTATGGTGGAGGGAGATTTGAGGGGAAGACACCGCACCGTTTCGAAACAGATGATGAAAAACATGGTCTCCAACCTTCCAGACATGTCTCTTCAATCTACAACCAAGTATTTTGTTGAGAGACTGAGTGCTTCGGATAGAAACGCTTTGATGTCTACTATGAAAAAACTGGATGGTAAATGCATTACGATTGGCAGCACATGTAGCGGGACTGATGTGATCATACCGGTTATGCATTGGACTTTCGATGCTCTTTCTCAAATGTTCGACGTGGCTTGTTTCTGATTTCAGTACAGTACTTTACTGTGCTGCAAGTTATTTTCTATTTTGCAGTACAGTACAGTATAGTACAGTAATGTCAGTACAGTATATTGATTATGTTTTCTCTGTGGGATGCACTTAGAATATAATATAAGAGCTAATGTAAAATACAGTATACAATATTGTACTGTACTGACTGAGCGTTGCAAAACTCAGGTATCGGTGAAGGTGCAACACATTTTCTCAGTGGAAGTTGATGCCAAGAAACGTGACTTCATTTTGTCAGCACACGGATTTGACAAGACCATGCACCTATTTGGAGACGTAGAGATTTTTGCTTCTCCCGATCGACCGCATTACTGCTATTCATGCCAATGTGAGCATAAAGTGCCGGATGCTTGTGATGTTCTGGCTTCCGGCCCATCTTGCAAGATGATCTCAAAAATGTTCCGAGACAGAAAGCAATATGTTGGAAGTTTCTTGGCACCACTTCAACTTGTACGTACAGTACGTAATATCTTAGAGTAGAAAATACAGTACAGAATGCAGTACATTATACAGTACAGTACAGTAGTACTGTAAAGTATTAGGATTTGGTACTGTATGCATACTGTAATACAAAACACATGATAATGCTTACAGTACAATACAATACAGTACAGTACAGTATACTGTCGTTCAGTACAGTACAGTAAACGGTCATTGCATGCCGTTGCCCGACTGAAGGTTACAAGACTGGCAAAGGATGTTCTGGTGCCACCTATAGGCATGGAGTGGTTGATGCAATGGAGTACACAAATCCTGTCGTCCTGTTCTTCGAGAACGTGATCGGTGTTGCAGATTATAGCAAAGATGACAAAGGAGCAAAGCAGGAACCAGCCGTCAAGGTACCTTATAGTTTTCAACCATTGTACAACACAATATAGTACAGTATTTACGGTAGCATTCGCTTATTGTATTGTTGGAACATGTTCTGTATACTGTATCCTCAGGGGTTGGATGCACTTAGAATATGGTCTAGGTACCTTTTAGTTTTCAACCCTTGTGCAACATAGTACTTATGGTAGCATTCGGTTACTGTACTATAATATATTGTATTGTTGGAACATGTGGATGCCCTTACAATAGAATATGATTTAATTTCCATCCCGTCCTTGCAGGTGATTGAGAAAGATCTCAAAGAGTTGGGTTATATCTTCCAGTGGTCCAAACTGAATGCGCAAAATTACTTGCTGCCTCAACGAAGATGCAGAGTGTATGGACTAGCTGATTTGGATGAGGGACAAGACTCCGATATCTTTTCTGCAAATATGTATGCAACTCTACGGTCAATGGCTGGTGAAACACGCTTCAACTTGGATGATATCTTTGATTCAACCATTCCGGAATGTGCGGCTAAGGGAAATGCCGAAAAGAATGTGAACCAAGCTCTCGAACGGGCCACATTTAAGAATGGATCGAACAATCTGTTCGTAGATACGTCCACCAGTTCGTCATGGGAAGCTGAATATGCTGAGAACATTTGCACTTGCATCAGACCTAGCCATCCTATTTTCAGTGTTCGTTGGAATCGGTACGTCACAGTAGCTGAAATGTTTTTGTGTCAAGGGCTTTGGAAACAAGACTTCAAAGAGCCCAGTGCAATTGATCACATACTCAGAAAATCACCATCGGATGCTCAAGATCTAGCAGGGAATGCTTTTGCATCAACCTGTGCCCAAGCCCAGCTTATCTCTTCACTGGTGCATGCTATTGGTTGGAATCATGTTAGGGGGATACCAGCATCAAAGCAGAGCAGCGCCGAAGTCGCAGAATTGCCGTCTTGCAGCCCAACTTTCACTGCCAAGTCTTCAGAATGTCATGGACCCTCAAGCTTTGATGATTCAGTTGATTCAACAACGGCTTCGAGTTTGAAAAGGAAATCTTCTATTTCTAGCTACATGACTCCATGCAAACGTGACAAGTTTCCTCAAGCTCCTGCTGCAGTACCATTTCACAAGGACTCGTACATTTAGTTTCTTTCAGTACAGTATGCAAAAGATTTTTTCAGAATGACAAAATGATATTACAGTACAGATCATAACGCAGTTAGAATATCCAAGCAACCATATTGTCATGCACACTACGTGTACAGAATGCAATACAAGATATATATACTATATACAGTATATATATATACAATACAATATACAGAATATTGTAGTATTTTTTGTATTGTCTACAATATCCTTTCTTTATGATATTGTAATGTATTGTAATAGTATATTATCTACCACAAACCAAATATTTAATATATATGTATTCCATATATATATAAATAAATAAATATATATATATATGCAGGGAATGCAGATAGAATATGCGCAGGACAGCAGTGTCGACATGACGACTGAGCAGCTTGATGTGATGTGGAGTCATTTTCGGGTGCTGGATTCAGAACGGAAACACTTTGAAAAGCCACCATCTACCTGGAAACCACCTGATGTTAGAGACATGACTGATGAGGAGCTGAGTGCCTATTGGAATGGCTTTCGTGAGATTATGCAAGCAGCTTCAATGTCTGCTGCTTCTGATTCTAATAGTGCAAATGTTCCTGCTGCACTGGATTCAGCACCCTCAGCAACTCCAGTGAAACCTCCAGCGGCAATTGTGACACGTCGGATCACAGGAAAGAAACGTCCTCCACCTCCACCTCAGGAGAAGAGATCAGGAAAGAAACGTCCTCCTCCAGATCAAGATGGTCCGTCAATGGATCAGATTGTTGAGAAGGTTGAGAGTGACACAGAAGGTCAGAAAGGAAAAGAAAACAGAAAGGGCAAAGGCCGAGGCAAAGGTAGACCGAGAAAAGAAAAGAAAGACAAAGATACAGGAATCATGAAACGCAAGGTTAGCCGTACAGGAAAAGGTGACTCTGTGAGTATTTGGAAAAAGGTGCAGCTATTCAAGGAATCTCATCTATGTTAAAGTATGTTTTTGTTTTTTCAAACTGCCGTTTACTAATATAATGGGTGAATCCTTATACAGTACAGTACAGTAAACCAAGCACACATTTGCAAAGAAAATTGTTTCGTATTGGATCTATTCAGACCTAGATAGCCCTAATATGGCACATATGACATTGTATTGCACTGTAGTCTCATCTCCCTAATAATTATTGAATACAGTACATAAATTTACTGTACAGTACTGTACAATACAATAGATTTATCAGTGATACATTATAGTACCGTGTGCAGGTTTTTGTTACTGTACAGTACTGTACAGACAGTACAGCAAGCATCTGCTACCACTCAGGAGTACGACGAGTTGTGCAAAGATCCCAACATCCGATATCCCGAGAAGCACATGCTGTCCAAGGGCAGACCACAGGGACTTTATCAAGGTTGTTTTGCCAAATCTCATTGGGGTGGCAAACGCATCAGAGATAAGTGGGATATGTTTTGCGAGATCGCCCCCAGGCAGGCCAAGATCTACAGTGAGGTTCCCAACTGTGTCAGAGCAATACTTGGCATTGATGTACGAAAACATACTGGGAGCAAATTCAAAGTATCTGATGGTGATCATAGAGTTCCACTGCCTCTCTTGCTAGCACTTGAATCCCTACTTATGGACAGAATTCATCTTGGTGAAGAAGTGACCTATGACTTCGCCTCTTCTGTGTTGATCCGGCTTGTGAATGTTTGGAATGAGCAACTTGCACAACTATTTGCTGAGGTTGGTGAACAAGGTACCCAAGTCGTCAAGGCACATGATGAGTTGGTTGTAGCTGGCTCATCTCCGGATTGTGCGTTGCAAGAGGCTTCTGCTTCACACTTCGAGGTTCTGAGGTCTTCGCTGCATCAATGCAAAATTTCAACCAACAGTGAGTCTTTGCGGAAGCCAGGTTGCATACAGTATGCAATAATGAGTGCATTGCAGTACATCACTGAACCTACTATAAGCAAGAATGTGCCGTAGGTACTGTAATTGAATGCAGATAGAATATGAAATATTTCAACACAATCTACTGACCAAGGTAGGATCGCAAAGGTTTCAGCACAGTGCAGCACAATAGAGTGCTATATTGTACAGTATAATACAGTAATGCAAAATCGTTCGATTTTACAGTACACCAAATACAGTACAGTACTGTACCATCTGTATATTACGCTACAGTACATGATTGTAGACCTTACATGTACAGTACTGCACTGTGCAGCGCCTGCATCCACTTGCTCTGCCAGACTAAGGAGAGCTTCTCAGCGAATTTGTGCAAAGCTGGGTCTGAAATCATCCAGTGTGTCCAAGCAAACTCGGCACCTGTCCTACGATCACCCTTCGATGTGTGCAGTTCGCAGTTATGTAGCTACACTGATTTCCAAAGAGAAGGTAGAGCCACGATTGATGTGTCATTTTGACCAAGTATGGACGACTCATTATGAACCAGCCAAACGTGTTCTCTTCAAGCCTTCTGAACTTGCTGGAGAATTGAAACAGGATAGGCATAAACCCACCACAGAGGAAATGCTTCGAAATATCCGAAAAGCTCTTGAGATACCAGTAGATGTCGGTGACCAAAAGCCCAAGGGTCCTCAAGCCCCTACCCTATGTGCCCAGAGTACGCTGATACCAGTGGAGTACCAGCGCAATGCTAGAACAACGACAACGCTCAGCTTTGCAGATGGCACGCTTGGACGTGCCTACATCACGGCTACACAGCATGTACTGTAGGAACCTCAGTGGTTCCAAATAGAATTTCGGAAGACTACTGTAATCAATGTTGAGCACTACCTTACAGTATAATACAGTACAGTAGATAGAGCGCTATACAGTATACATAATATATTGTAATCTTTCAACATATTTATATATTATATACCATCAAAGTACTACAAAGAATTCAGAACAGTAGTATCATTTGATTTCACTTACCTTCAGGATCCCTTTGAGAAGTTGTGACCTTTCTATAACAAATGATGGTTACAGTATAGTAGTTTGTTTTAGCTGTGTTATACTAAGAGGGATATATTTCTTTTACCACTCATATTCTAACTGCATCCCAACCTAATATTTACAGGTAAATGTTATCCTCCTGCTGACTAGTGATATTGTATCGTATACAGTAGTATTTGTACAACATAGTACTATAAAGCATTATAGTACTACAGTACAGTACAAAGAATTCAGAACAATTGTTGCATTTGATTTCACTTACAGTACCTTCAGGATCCCTTTGAGAAGTTGTGAGCTTCCTATAACAAATGGTGGTTACAGTACAGTACAGTACACTGAGAGTAGTAGATTGATTTTACCAAAATAATAGTTTAGCTATTATAAAAAACACATATTCTAACTGCAGCCCACCCTAATGTTTACAGTTACAGTAAATATCATATAACTGCTAACCCCGAGGCCAGACTCAGTCGCCCACAAGATGAACAATGAGTTGGGTAGAGTGCTCTATATTGCTCGCAATCACGAGTCTGGTAGCCACATGTGGACTTCTGGAACGTTGGCTCATTACCTGGAGTTTCTCAAGGAGGAACTTTGTCTATTTTGCAACACAGTATATGCAATGTTTTGTTTGGTTTTATAGTACCATACAATACAGTATACAGTACTATACGGTACTACAGTCTTGTATACAGTACAGTAATACTGTAGACAATACTTGGCACATCACTCTAGGAATTGAAAAGAAAACGAGTGGCTTTGAACTTGCCAATGTCTGCGAAAGCTTTGGTGCTTTGTGATGCTGCAGCGGTTCATGGGTGCCTGATGTATGAAAAAATCAGAGATCGTTTCGAAAAGGAAGCCAATTGCATATTACTACACGGTGGTTCCAGCTCGCATCACAGCCAAAAAAGAATTTCAATCCCTGGCGGTTGGGGGGCCACTGGTGCCCCCAATGACGCATTTCATCAGTGGTACCACCTGATGCGCAGAGCTTTCCAGAAAGCACATGCAGGGATGTCAGATGCAGTGGAGCTACGTCATGCCATGGACCAGCTTGACATCGCAGTGGACGGAAACAACAGAATGTCGTTTCCTAGGCTGCAACTAACACATATACAGTAGGGCATGCAGTTAGAATATAGGCTACGTTAGGTTTTATACTACAGTATACAGTACTGTACCCTCTATAGTACTATACTGTCATATTGTACAGTACTATATACTGTACGGGATCTCGCAGCATTGGCAAGGCTAAGCATCGAATGTTCACTACGAGCTGATGCATTTGCACTTCGCAAGCTGGCTGAGTATTCCGACGGAAAGTTAATCCTGTGGAGTTGGTCCTCCCGTGGTCTCATCAGCCTTGAATGGATTGCTGAACTTTACCATGATGGAGATCTTGCTGCTGCAACTGAGGCCCTATCAGCTGTCAAAGGCAAACTGGCTGAGCTATGCAAGTTCAATGAGTTGCCTATCGTTGATGGGGCTGAGGATAAGCAAAGTGATGCACCTATGCTGGAAGGCGAGGTTTTGAGTTTTTGGGCTATCTCGGATCCAACCACTGACTCAGAACCAATTCCACTTCCGATCTGGACCAGAGCATCGATAGACAAGGCCATTTTGAAGTGGCGAAACCAGGCCACTGTGTGGGAAGAACGAATAGCTAAACGTTTACTGGAAGGCAAAACCAAACTGCCACCGAAACAGCAGAAGTCCTATGATGAGTTCATTTCCAGCAATGCCCGCAGCATTGTTTTCGACAAACGGAGGAATGCAGAAGTTGTGAACTTTGCTTCCAAGTCTGTAAGCACGTTGAAGAAACACTGTCTACTCCTTGTGATACACATGAGTGATGATGCAGAACAACTTGGTGTGACAACTGGTTGCGGAAAAGAATGGAAGCTTCGTCTGTTGCAGCAAAGCAAGCCGGTCAGTGACGTTGTGCCAAAGGAGGTGGATCACTTTTCAGGTTGGATATAGTAGCAAAATTTGGTTTTGCATTACTGTATATGTGATGGCAAATACTATACTGTAAACAAAATATACTGAGTGGAGAGCCTGATGAATGCACTTAGAATATGAGAATCAACATATAATACCTTATCATAAATATCAACAACAGGTTCGTTCTCGCATTACTGTACAGTACAGTACAATATCTCCTGTGCCTTGCCATGCAGGAAACTTGTTGAAAGACCATGCACTATGTGACAAAGAATGCGCCGAAGATCAAGGTGAGAACATTGAAGATGTTCCCGACCAACCGCATGGCAACGATGAGAACATGGATGAAGAGAACTATCACATGGATGAAGCTGAAATAGAATGGTTCAATGATTCGGACTCTGACTCTGAAGGTCACTTGGGTTGGTTTCAGATACTGTTCAGTACAGTACAGAGTGTACTGTACAGTACTGTAAACAAGTTTGGACAAACATTTTGAATCCAACTACTGTACAGTATATACAGTACAGTAATATCATTTTTACAATGTAGTACTCATTCAGCTCACTATCTTTTGGAGTGCAAACTGTAGCTCACACCATCAACCAGGTGAAGATCATGATGCAGCAGCCGATGCACCAAGTGAAGGTGGCACTACTGGCCCGGCTCTACGCGTACCAGCCGTGGAGAAGCAAGCCGAGTACATTCGCTTGAAGGATTTGGGCTTATCGGTACGTCCTCCTGGGTGCTATCTTGGCATTCATCCTGGTGCTCAGGTATGGAGATCGGGAAGCTGCAATGGCATTCACTACAGCAGGTCTTATGGAAAATCTAGAACCTCTTGGCAAGCACTATTGCGTGTGATGGAGCTCATGCTAGAGTCATACATGAATGAGAATTCAGAGAAACATGATGTGAAACTAGTAAAAAGCCAACTTGGCAGGATTCGCAAACTTCGTCATCAGGAGCCTCCCCACCAAGACTGAAGTGTAGCATTTTATTAGCTTTTATCAGTATGGAATGCACTTAGAATATCACCTATTGGGTTTCCTATGGTAATTTATAATGCAATAACCTTATTTGATTAGTGTGGGATTTGAAATTGAAATCATAATACAATGATGTCACACTAACCCAAGATCAGAGGGAAACAATAACTTGGTTAAGTATGAAGAAGGTTGACCTCACAATGAAAATAATTGAATATGGTGCAAGGGAACGCACTTAGAATATCATTATCATTCACTATAACAAACAAAATTCAGTACTACACCAGAAAGTAAGTCATAACATACACTAACCAACTTGTTGATTCCAGTGGGGGAAGCTCTTTGCGATGCGTCGATCTGTGTGTTGCGTGGGATACCGAAAGACAACAAACCAGCATTTGCCCAATGAATGTCTTTGAAACCAAACATATATGGCACAGTACAGTAGGTTACTATTAAAGAAAACAAACTGATGTTCATATCCCCAAAGACACCGTTCTTTGACTGGACCAAGCGTGTACAATAGAGTACAGCAAAACACCGTGTAGTACGCAGAAGCACAATGAGATGCGACGTGAGCCTGTCTGGGTGCTACAGAACTGATTGAAATTCAAACAACAAAGGAATACGATTGAATGATGTTCTACAGTATTCATTTGTTATATGTTGGACGTTGTGTTTGATTTCTGTTGAGATCTATGCACCCATACAGGATGGCACGGGATCAATTGCGGATCAGAATTTAGCGCATCGTAATATCCAATTGGTACAAAACCAAAAAAAAAGCCAGATTGGCAAACTCCATGGCTATGACCTTCTCACCTTAAGGTTGAATTATATGATCATATGAATTTCAGTAGGATTAATGGATGTTACTGTGCAGTAATGAAATCAAAATACCGTACTATAGTTGAATTCGTATGGATGGAATGCACTTAGAATATTACTATGATTTACTAATACCAATGAAATCAATGTATTATACGTAGTGCACAGGGAACCAAAAAGTAACTCATAACAAACAACTGCCAGTGTTGTTGATTTTTAGGGAAAGCTCTTCGCGATGTATCGATCTGATATTGTATGGGAAAATCATTAAATCAACATGAAAGAGAATACAGTAGTAACTTGGTCATGAAGAAAACTAATAATATTTCACTTTGCTGGGATGGAATGCACTTAGAATATTATTATGAATCATTACGAACAATAAGATAAATATACAGTACTGCACTACGTATGATACAAGAACTTATAACATACAACAATCAGTCCTCTTGATTCCAGGGAGAAGCTCTTTGCAAGGTATCGATCTGAGTGTTTTGGGGGAAAATCATCGAACCAGCATCAACATGAAGATTTTTAAAACCAAGACAGGTAATGCAAATTGACAAATGTGTTTTCTTATTTCCCCAACACACCTATTTTGCTGGACAATCCGTGTGCAGCAAAGTACGCATGAACGCTTTGAGAATCTGTATGGGTGCGGTCAGAAGTGTTGGTTTTAAATCCAAATGAAAGAGAATATGAGCACTATATTGTATTGTATTTTTGGTGTACAGTACAGTTACGTTATAGTATTGAATATTGTACTGTATATTGTTACTGTAGTATTGTGTTTGTTCTGTTGAGATCTCCGCACACATCCATTGATGTACTCAGGCACTAGTACAGCAGAGTACCATACAGCGCTAGGGTGGCCAAAAAGAACGTTGAAGGAAATCTCGGGTTTAGGACTGGTTGTATAGTACAGTAGGCTTTAGTATATATATATACATGCAGTGAGATTACAATTGCAGTACTGTAAGTGTGGATTGCTGATACGCATTGCAAAATAATAGTGTTTTTGATGAGACGTATTGCAAAATATTGGTTATTTATTGTTACGGACATATTTTTTGGCATATTCTATCTGCATTATTAAAGGGTATATTCTAACTGCTATCTGAACCAAATAAAATCTATAAAAAAACCATATTCTATCTTATTCAAATAATTTATAATATTCTAAGTGGTAGTCCGCTATAGTATATATATGGGATGATGATCCCCAATTTCTATCAATTTCTATCAATTTCTATCAATTTCTATTGTTTTTTGGGATGGGTTGAAACATGTGGAAACCACCAATCAGAGGTGCTTTTTTGTGGATATTCCAGCGACTCTCTATGATTTTACTCAATTTCTGATGATCATTTCCTATACCACTCCCATGTATGTTTGAAACATTTTGAAACTTAAGTAGGATGGGAAGTGTATGGGAATGGGGTCCCATGCTTATGATCTCATGGTTTCAACCATGTTTTAGTTTTCATTTTTCTTATATATAGACAAGTTGGCTTCTAATATCTTGTAACTAGCTTACTACAGCGTTTATCGTGATACAAACCAAAGCCAGCTGGGACGGTTAACCAACTCACGAGAGCGTTGATCACATTCCCCAAAGAATGTGTCCGCTGCTAAACTAGGGTAAAACTGGGGAGTTTTATAGTTTTGATATGATCCTGCACTTGGATGATGGGAACATTAAAAAAAACACCCATCAAGAACAAAAACCATGGTTTCTTATGGTTTCTTGGTTGGTTTCCTCTAGATTCTTCAGCCGAAACTGACCCAATGATACTATGAGGAAGGGAAGCCTTTTTTGTCGGCTAGCAGCAGCCCCCTTTCCTTTAGGCAAATCAAAAGGCAAAGGGCGATCCTACGATGATTGGGGCTATGAGGAGCGAGCGTATCATGGAGGGGATAATCCTCAGTGAACAATATATCTGGGATATGTATAGTGGGAGATTCAGTTGAACCGACCATTTTATGAATATATTTTCTTCTGGGATATTTATATCACCTTTTTGACTTTGTTTGTGAAATTGATCACGAACTGACGTTGCGACGTCACGATGAATGATGCTTAAGATTGGGGTAACTATCCCAAAAGGGCGATTTTTTTCAGGTTGATATATAGATTATGGTTATATTGAGAATACATGGGACATTCATGCATGGAGTATGAAGGGATATACACAAAAGAATGTTGCCTTTTAAAGTCCCCAAAGCTGGATTCTTACAATATCTGGGGGATGGAATTTACTGGAAAAACATATATTATAGCAGGAACGTAGATACACAGGGTCAACTACTCTTGGTATTCTGCTGTAGCGATGGATATTCTTTGCATATTTACATTCATTTATTAGGCATTCAGGGTCTTTCCAATGAAGATAGGGTTGCTCCAACCTTAGAGGTAAATCATTGATAGAAGGGGTAAATTGCCGATTTTCCTCTTCATTTACCCAGCTTTTCAGAATCCTCAAATGTATCTTGGGGAGTTCGGCATGAAGGAATCCTGATGCGGAGTTTCAAGTTAGATGGGCATGGAGGAATCCTCAACTGGTGATAGCTGGGTTATAACATGTAATCATCCAATAATCCGATTCATTGGAGGTAACTACCATATATAAGGCCTTTGTTTAGGCCTATGTAAGGGGATATCCCCCCAAAAAAATTGGCCAGAAAGATGGTACTAACGTACCTCCATTTGAGGATCCTGCAATTCCCATTGACACTATACCAAACAATGAGGTATTACAGCCCAGTCATGATCACCAGCTAGCTCACCAACTAACCCACTCACCCACTCACCCACTAACTAGCTGACTGGCTAACTAACTTCCAAACTAACTAACTAGCTGACTGGCTAACTAACTTCCAAACTAAGTAGCTGACTAACTAACGAACGAACTATCTAACTAACTAGCCAAATAACTAACCAAATAACTAACCAACTAACTAACTAACTAACTAACTAACTAACTAAATCATGATGAATGATTCATGTATATCAACAACTCTTTAAGTATTGCGGCCATGGCCCATCGCGACGTCTCACGTCTCGTAACCGGCGCCAGGAGAAGAGCTACGGCAAGTCGTCCGGCAAGGGCTGGGGCAAGTCCTCCTATGATTCTTATGGCGGCCGCTTGGAGGAAGTCGTGGGAAAAACCATTGGGGAAAACGTGCCAATGGCCGCTTCCAATTGGGTCCAATGATCAAATCCCCTGAATAAACAAGTGGTTGGGACTGGGATCATGATGAGTAAGTTTAGGGGTCCCTAAATTTTCATAGCCATATGAGGAATAACCCAGTGGCCGTTTGAATAGAAGAGTAGGGAAAGGGAAGATAGAATTGATCAACTAGTGAATATTCTGGATTCTTGATGAATTCGGAGATTCCAAATCGTGAGATTGCCCCAAATATTTTTTGCTGGAGGGAGCAATTTGATGTATGTGTTTTTTCCCCCTCTGCTCCAGTTTCGAAAATCGAAGGGTCCTGGGCACATGCCGGTCAGATCTAGGCAGCTTTTTGTTGACCTAATACTGTATATAAATGTGTTTGTTTATTGCAAGTACAATAAGGAACAATCGATTTTAAAGGGTACGGTATCTGCAAAATCCATCGAAAATCCGCGGTTTCCCAAGTGCCATGCCCTGTTCAGTGCCTGAGGTGGAAAGTCTGGCGGGAAGTCTGGTGGAAAGTCCTCCGGCAAGGGCAAAGGTGAGGAAAACATCGGCCCCACTCGCATTGGCGGAGTCGGTGATTCTTGTACGATCTTGTACGTATATATATATATATATATACGTACAGTATATATATATATATATTGATATTTTAAACTGTATTATATAATTATATAGCTGTTATCAAATATAACCCAGATGTTTTTCATTTATTCATTTATTGTTATCCATTCATCCATTTTCCTTTCGGCAAATCCAGAGATTGGGGGCCGCAAATCTAGGGAGACTTTCTGAGATGATCTATACAGGGGGCTTGTAACAAGGAGATGTACCCCAAAATATTTCGTGGTAATGGTGGTGGATAATATACTATTATATATAGATAATATGGATAATGTATACTAATATATATATATAATTATATATATATATGGATAATATTGATAATATGTAATATTTAATATTTATTACCAATATGATATATAGATCATGTAATAATGTGATGCGGGTGGTGTAGTGGTAATAATAATGATAAACCCAAAATGGGAGATGTACCACTACACCGCCATCACTTAAATATTGCTGATAATTATGATAATGCTTGATAGTAATATATCCTTTTGGTTGATGCTGCCACGACTCTACTGCCACTGCTCCTCCCCTGAACACTTTCCAGGAGTCTTTTTGTTTTTGTACCCACCTTTCATTTTTTATCTTTACCTAGATTTGTTCGATGTTCTTTTGATCCCAATGTTTCTGAGATGTAGAAGAAATGCTGCCAGAATGGAACCAGCGTGAAATGGAAGCACTGCAAAATCATGTTCCCAGTCCCAGTGTGTGTTGATTTCCAGTCACACCGTGCTGTTCGTTAAGCCCAGTTGTGTGGCCGGAGTTCAAGCCTGACAGGCAAGAGCAAGGGTGGCTACTACTGAAGTGCAGGCGTTTCTCTCGATCTCATTGGAGCATGGGCTAAGGGCTAAGGGCGCCAAGTGCCATGTAGTAGTATCAGATTCTGTTTACATATGAATTTGCATAGTTCCTCAGTGACTAGATCATACTAGTGTAACGTAATTCTGTGTATATGTGATAAATTGTACATACATATATCAAGAGTGTTTATTCTACTCGGAACCCAACCTTAAAAATAACACCTGGTGAGACATCTTGGCGGCGAAATCCACACCTTTCAACTGAAAGCCAAAGTGAAGCAGCCCGCGTTGGGCGCACAGCTGGCGCGTTGACCACCTTAGATTTAGCTTTTAAACTGGAGGCTGGCTGGAAAATCCCCTTTTTCAATGGAGGTTGAGTGGCTGGGAACAGAAATGATGGATTTCCCCCTTGCAGGATGAATCGAGCATTGGGATGGAAGAATTTTTGAATGAGAGGTTAGGTAGGTACTGAGGCCACCGGGCAACTCCAGGTATTTGTCGGAGATCTAGATTCATTTTTTTGTTTATAAACATATTATACATATATATGTATATATATATATGTATATATATATGGGGCCCCCAAAGCGTTGCGCACCATATATATATATATATATATATGTACACAAAAGTTCATCACCCATAGTTTGTGTTCATGAACACAATCATTCCTTTGTCCGAAGGTGTTTCAACGGCGCTTCAGCCCATGCAGTAGTTGGTGATCATTTTCCTGGAGTTTTACCATCTGGTTATGACTAGCAGCTCGCCATGGTTAAGCCATGGCCCATAGAAATAGATGGTTTAAAAATGGGTGGATTTTCCATGGCAAACTGTTAAATAACCAGAGGGTACATGGTTTACATGGTTTTGTTGGACCTTCAGCTTCACCCCAGGGCATCCCAGGGCACTTCCTGACGCTCTTCGAAGCGTGTGTGGCTTGGCACCTGGTCCTGGACCATTGTGGCGACATGTGGCGACTGATTTGTGATGAACAAAAGCCAGGAAGCACTTGATATGTCGACCGGTAGACCGTAATTTTCACATGGAACACACACGTTATGATATTTATACTATGATATATATATATATATGTTTTTTACATATGAATACACATACATGGCCATATCCAAGAGGAATCCATCTTCCAAAACCACTTTTTGGGGGTTCCATGTTGAAGTCAGGGGGAACATGCATTTAGAAACCAAAAATTATATATTAAGGGTAGTGAACAACCAGCAACAATAGGCTTATTTCACGCTGATGCTGTTGACTGTCAATTAATGATCAAATTCTTGGCGCCCAATGATGTTTTGCCGGCGCAGGTATCAAATAGAAGCCTGGTTTCAGACACCCTTCAGAGGAAGACTGATGGAGGGGACATCTTCAGACCCCTAAGCCAGGCAGAGTTTCACCAGCCGCCAAAACCCGAAAAATGCCCAAAGGAATCGTTGAATGAGGGTTTCGCATTGGAAATTGGCAGAGATTGGGGAACTATCGACGTTTTCTTGAAAATTGAACCATTCAACTTGAAGCCTCTTGCTCCAGACAAGCACTTCAGACAATAACAGTCTAGTAATATTTCCAGATTATACCTAGCAATACTTGTTGTTTGGTGCCAGGTTTCGAACACATTGTGTTGGGAGATTTAAGGCATTGGCATCCCAGTCCCCCGTGATGCGTCTGAGCGCAACGCGTGACAAAAAGGACGTGTCACGTGCTGGGCGATGATTTTGGGATCCGGTACCTATGTCATTGGCGTTCAGGGTTTTTGTCAATGGTGGCAATTTCCAGCAATTCAAAGCTTTACTTTAGAAAAGTGTGTTTACCTTGCCTGGAACATATGGATCTTATACATACATTGTATGTATTAGATGTCAGGTACCGAATTGGGTACCTCTGAATTGGGTTCCCGACATGTCCCCTGATCTTGTCTAAGATTGACTTTGCCATCATTGGGTATTCCTCCTACAAACGCCATTCTATGCCATTCTCGTGTTTTGTTTTAACGGAGATTTAAGAATCCTTAGCACAGAATAGCTGAAATAGACAATAATTGAGCGCTGGTGGATTGACAATATCGTCCTCGCGTTGGAATCTTGCGGGTCGCAGCTGGCAATTTACTTGATAGAAACTATTGAAAGTCTCAACAGATGCGCAGTATGTCAAAGGTTCTAATTTGTGGTTGAGTTTTGGGACATTCAAATTGCGGGTCACCCTGTAATATACACAAGAACACAATACAGTCAAACAACCCAGCATTTTGTGTTATGAAAGAGAGTTTCGAATGTGTCCCAAAACGGGATCTTGATGGCTTTTTCTTGAGGCCAAACAACCACCTCTCCTAGGTGTATTGTCTTAATCAGAATGAAAATCAAACACGCCCATGAATGATACATGACAGCAATCTCATGTGACAAATACGTGACAGATTTATAACATTTTATAACTATATGTAACTGGGTAATCATCGTGAAACACACATATACCTTGCTGCTTTCGAAGCTTCTGAATCATTTTTTTGTGGTTTTTCATGGAACATCTTAACCAGAAACTGGCTGGATTTTCCGATGTGTCATATGGGGCTTTCATGGGGTTTCCTAAAGTTGTTCAACACATTTCACAACGGGCTTCTCACAACGGGCCGGCATGTCGCGCTACGGCTCTGTGGAGTTGAAGACCAACTTCCTGGTGCTTGGCGATGGGAGATTCAATGGGGATCAAAGAATTGGTAGTAAGAATTTACCCTCATTACCTATATGTATGGTATATATGCTAACATTGGGGGTATATTGATGGTAAATGTTACCATATATAGCATACATGGATCCTATGGGTTATGGTTGATGGTAGATCTCTGGTAATCCATGGTTAATCCATGTTAATCCCACTATCTCATCATTGAAAATAACTTCTGGTAAACATACAAAAAGCTATTGAACATGGCCATAGAATAGTCAGTTTTCCCAGCCATAAAATGGTGATTTTCCATATAGTTATGTAAACGTTTACCAGGCCGGGTATCCAACTTCGCCTGATCTTGTTCAACACTGGATTCGCGCAGGAAGTGACCCAACATGAATAGATCATAGATCCAACACGTTCCTCCAGGGGTATGGGGGGAACATGAAGATACTTCGAAGCAACAAACAAGACATGCTACTCAAATACGAGATTTTGATAGATTTTGAAGTCAACAATAAATAATCACATGCATATATCATGATATATCGCTAGATTGTAGATACATATGCAATCAACAACCAGGAATCAGATGTAGACATGATGACATGGTATATTTATCTCCATTTGGGTGGGTGACTGTTAGTAATACGCCCTATTTCATAGCCAGATTTTTGTGGAACGGATCCCAGATTCGGGCTCACAGCCCATGGCAGGGAGCGCATAAGACGCTGGGACTGAGTTCAAAGAGCCAGACCACCTACCAAAGTCCGGCAGCCAAGGATTCCAAGGGCGACAGCCCGGCTGCGGTTCTAACTAAGAAAACTGGAGACTGGTTGTGGTCCTATGGAGGATGATTTGGTGTGCTATCTGAGTACATAGGTAGAGGATGGTAGAGGTATGTAGAGCTATTCCGATCAATTTGGCAGTTTCATCCAACAAAAGAAAAGGGTTGAACGAAATCAAACTGGGTCACAGGACCCAAGTTCATGGCAAAAGACATTTTGGGTGGCTATGTAGATGTCTTTTTCTCACCGGTTGAGCCAACAAAAAGCGGTACAAAAAGCGGTGCCACCGGGGCCACCGGTGCCATGTCGAGGCCACTACGCACAGCCCATGCGACCGCCCAAACGTGTGGCCTTTGAACGAAGCTTGTCGCGCTCCGGGCTACGCCTGGTGGAGAATTCATCGCCGAGTGGGGACGCTCAGACCAGCCGATGAAGAAAGGGTACCATCTGGTTATGACTAACAGTTTGCCATGGAAAGATCCAGCCATTTTTAAGTTCGGTAAACCATCTATAAAATAAATGGGCCATTTTCTTCCATTTTCCATGGCTATGCTAAATAACCAGATGGCATAGCATTTGTGAATTTCCCAGAAAACATGGTAAAACAGGGATGCTAGGACTAGACAGGTTAAAGGTCAGGTGGGATGTTGCTTTGTTTTTTCTTCACGTTATAGCTTGAAATGTTTGACTGTTTCTTTTTGATTATCTTGCTAAATGTGTTGTTGAGGTTGTTGTGATAATGTTTGGATTGAATGAAGGGGATAATTGTTGAGGTGGTCAGAATTTCTATGTGTAGGTTCAGGTTCAAACTCTACCAAGCTGTTGTTCAAAGATGTCGAATGATTTGCTTCAAATTCATTCAAATTCATGTATTGATTGAGGTTAGGCGCTGTGGTTCCTGTTTGTTTTTGCATATCAAGCATCCTTCAATACCAAAGCCAGTTTGGCACAAATTGACTGAACCGATGTATTGTCCCTTTCCTTCGACATTCCGCAGATGCATCTTTGTGAGGCAGGTTGAGCTTGTGCCAGGCCGGTTCGTCCTTCCAAGCGGTCATCTACGAACACAGCCCGCAAGGGCTTTTCCGGCGCAGACCGTTAAAACTGGTTGGACGTTGTTGAGCACAGGGAGCATCGTAGTGCTGGTTCTCCAAGCTCTCATTCAAAGGTTCCTTCCTGGCTTCTTCATGAACAGGGCAGTGAGGAAGGCTGGGCAAAGCCCCTGCACGGCCGGTCGAGGAGAAATACATCAAGGACTTCATCAATTCACCTCAACGTAAAGCTTTGAGCACCCCTTCCTTCTTGGTGGTCAGTGGTTCCCAAGGCATTGGGAAATCAACCATGCTGAACAATCTCCTGAGTGAGCATGTGAAGAATGGCAAAAGGGTGCTTCCTCTTGATATTTCTGTTCGTCCTGGTGAGGACTTGAAGCTGAACGAGGCGCTACCCCAAGCGTTACAAGCCGTAGATTTGCCCCGATATTACCCGTCAAATGTCAAATTTTTGCTGGAACGGGTGAATGAGACGTCCAAGCACCGAACAGGCAGTGCCGTCGTGGTATACCTGCAACTCACAACCAAAAGCCGCGGAGACAAATTTAGTAGGGATGCCTGTGATGACGTTGCTTCCACCCTCGGTGCCTTCGCTCGCAACATCACCTACGACAATGCCGCGTGCAAGTTCATTTTGGAGGTCAGCGTGTCTGCAGTGGCAGACATCATCAAAGAAAGGTTTGACATGTCAAGGCTGGTGGTGGTGCGACCACTACCTTTCGAAGACTTCACGTCTGTGGTCAAGGAGGTGGCGAAGCAGGGAAACGACTTCCGGACGCTGAACAAGGTTCTTGCCGAAGATGACATGGACGAGGTGTTGAAGCACTACTACATCCGCGTGGGGGGCAACTTGCGCGCCTTGGGCGAGATACTGGAAAACGTCTCCAGAGAAGGTCAGAAAGGTGCGGATCCGGTCATCGAGCGGGTTGAGCAGTGGTACAACCGGAGGGTGGAACCAATTGAAAAGAAATTGGATGACCAGGAAGTGAAGGACTATCTCCTCAAGGTGGCTGAGGCAGGACCCATGGGGTATCTCCCAAACAGCAAGCAGACGACCCAAATGACTTTGAATCTTCTTCGTGAGGAGCCAGCAGACTGCGTCCTGAGGAGTACAACCAGTGAAACTGTGGCTTTGAAGCATTGGAATTTCGTCGCCAAGCTCTTTGAAGAGGATGAGCAGAAGTTGAGGGATGCAGGATACATGTGAGCTTCGCCGGTGAAAAAAAACTGTGGCGCTTGAGATGTTTTGTGGGTGAGTCATCCAAGAGTAATTTTCACGTATTGCATGCATAACCGCAGATACCCAACCCTAGTATCAATGATACCCAGATACCAGTATCTAAGTATCAACGATACCCAGAGCCTAGTATCAATGATACCCAGATACCAGTATCCAAGTATCAACGATACCCAGAACCGAGTATCAATCATTCACCGAACAAGCAACAACAGACAAATCGTTTCACCCCGAACTTTTTTTGCCAAACCATCAAACACGGACAAATCGTTTCACCCTCAACTTTTGACAAAAGCGTGAAACACGGACAAATCGTTTCACCCTCAACTTTTATAGCCAAACCATCAAGCACGGACAAATCGTTTCACCCTGAACTTTTGAAGACAACAAATCCTTACTTCAACGAGTGTCCTAAAACCATCGTTTTAGCGTTCAAATTTAGGACACTTGTTAAAAACACAATTTTTAGAGCAACAGACCCAAAAACACTTAAAGAAATGACGCCTTATAGGACTTTCAGCAGGACAGCTGGGAACCAACCAAGCGTGTTTTAGCTGAACGGCTTATGTGGTCTAATTTGGTTATAAACCAACCATAAAGGGATGTAATTGTATACAATTCATGGGATATAATGAGATCGCCAACCAACTTGATATGATCTTGTAGGTCTATCTGAAAATGAATTATACTATTATATATATACATAATACTATACATATATATATATATATATATCACCAAACTTACGATTGTTTCAAGGAGACATCATAGCAAACCACTGCAATCCACTAGATTTCTGGGTACAACGCCACTATTTTCGGGCATGGGAGTACCGAAGGATCCAGCCAAATGCTGGTCATTTCAAGGCTTATAAGGATTGACCTATGGTTATTTAACATATCTATGGAACATGGCCCATTTACAGATGAGTTCTCATGAATTAGTTATCCTTCAAAAATGGTGATTTTCCATAGCTATCTTAGATAACCAGAGCATATTTCCAACCATTGAATTTTGAGGTAAATGATTGCTGGCCGAAGGATGGAACACACAACCGCCAGACACGATGTGCCAGCACCAGTTGGCCCTGGGAACGGTGTCGTTGGATGTCAGAGCTCCTGCGTGGTGTAGAATCCACACATCACTCTAGCTAATTTCATACAAGGTGGTGCCGCTCAGTTATAAGTTGGTTTATAACCCCCTACTAAGTATAGGCATATCTACCATAAGTATAGGCATATCTACCCCCAAGTTATTGGAGTTATAAGCCAAGTTAACTATCTATGGGCACCACCTTGTAGTCCACAATACTCCATAGATGAGGGGGGACCCCCCAAATCATCCATTTCAACCCCTTTGGACCACTGTCTGAGAAGGTACGGCTAACCCCCGAAACGTCATCATACCCCAGTCGTACTTCCGAAGAAGGCACGGCTGGATCCATAGGGATTCATATTTCATTAAATCCCATAATCCATTCATAATCCATCAACAATCCATGAATCATCCATTAAATCCCCTTATTTCCCATTATATAATTATCCATTAATTAGGTGTTTTTCCATGAAAGAAACCATCCAGCACGGCCAAGGTGCTCGTGAACCGAAGATGATTTCACCCTGAAGCTTGGGATAAGATGATGCCTTTGAAGTGGGGACAAGTTGGTGATTCTTTGAAATTAAACATGGGATAACGTGTAAATGACTTATCACCTGAATTTAGGGCTGTCCATTTTAGATACGGAAGAGTGAGACAAGACGGATATGTCATGGAATATTGGTGATATAAGGGTGATATATTGAATACTAATGGGATGTTCGTTGAACATTGATGAATACCCTCCGGTGTCATGAAACATGGCTGGGAAATCCTCGAACTGGCCATGGAGGTTTAGTTCACTGGAAAATCATGTAGAAATGTGGGTTTGATTGCTGGTGCAATGTGGGCCCCCCCAGTTATAAATTGGTTTATAAACACCAGTAACTATAGTTATAAGTATCATAAACCATAGTATAGTTATTGGAGTTATAAACCAACTTAGCTATCTAGGGGGCCCCAGTTTGTGGGTATCTTTGAAACATGCAGAGTTGGGCAGATTCACCAACAGATATAGAAACATATGTTACTGTACCCTCTGGGAATTTAACATACCCTCTGGTAAACTAACATAACTATGGAAAATCACAATTTTTAATGGGAAAATCAACTATAAATGGCCATTTTCAATAGCTATGTTAAATTACCAGAGGGTAGCTACAGAACATGATCCACTGATGGTTCAGCTATTAAAAATGATGATGTTCCATGAGCAAAACCTAACAGAGATGGCCACTATATACTTTCCGATTTGAGGGATGCACACATGGCAATTGGCATGATTGAATCTTGTCCTGGAAAGGTTCACACGAAGGGGATTGCTGGTGGTTTTTTTTGCAACAGTTCAGGTAGGCAACCTTTCTTTGGCATGCACCATGCTGCACATACATCTTTTGTGATGCGTTTCACACGTTTTTCGCTGCCATGACTTCAATTTGACGGCGTGAAGGGTCCGTTCCGCAGTGATTTCATCCCTGAAAACTGCTGCGGTAGATGGGAGCTTTCACCTCCCAGCATGTTGGGTTTCTAGTACTAGTTGGTTGCGAACATCTTGCCTGCTCCTCATTTGATGATGGAATTCCATGGAATTTTCCTGGAATGATCTCAAACATAAACCATGAACGGATATTCGAATAGCATAACTGTAGCGTTTAATATGAACACATGACCCACCGTTCCTGGGTTGGCCCCTTTCTGAACAGCGCATAACAGCTGAGTTGATAAACCCGCCTATCGTCGACATGGATGGACTTCGCAGGACTTCGGTCATGAAAAAAGCTTGGTGCTTTGGTGGTTTCAATGACAGGGATTGGCAAATGTCCCATTTTGGGTATATTGGACATCACCTTATAGTAGCCATGGCATTGACCATATACCTAATGGTTGGGTGATGTTCAATGGGGACATTTAATGACCCATGAATGAGCATGTTGGAATTTTGCATTCCGACAAATGGGACCATGTAACATCATGTAACCATGTAGAATGACTTTCCTATTTTCTTTTGACTGAAACTACAGGCGTGGTATCCAACCAAAACAGGAAAAGCAAGGTATTCGACCCACCAGGCTACTGCGTTCTATCAATGGCGACATGGATCCTTGGCATTTTTGATCCAATCGTTTAGGTGGGAAGTTCAAGAATCACAAATAATCTACAAATGATAGGGTATGTCAGCAGATGTCAGCAGCCAACATTCTTTGGCTATTGCCATCTACTGTTCACTGCCTTGCCTTGGTTGCTGGCTGAGGCCGACCCAACGGGTAGGTCAACCATTTCCCACTGGCAACAAGTTCCTGACGTTGATGTCTTTCTTTGGGTGGTTTCTTTGGGTGAAAATTGGGTGTAAACCTCGAGGCTTGGCGGCCAATGGTTGCGCAAATGAGCAGTGATTGCGCAGCCCATGGCTCCGCCGGAATAGTTTGAATCCACAGCCTCCAAGGAAAATCCTTCAGATCCATTTCTATATGGCAATGGCCTGCAGAGAGTACCCTAGAGAGGTTATTTAAGTTGATGTTCCCAATCAAAAACTGAGACTTGGTCGTTCGATTTCTCTACTGTATATATTTTCTCTGACCTTTCATTTATTGTTTGCTTTTTCTTCTGTGTCCAGTTTGCCCCTTTTCACCTTGCTAGCCGCAGAGAGGCCCCCTGGCCCTGCATTATCCCCTCCCTTGTATAGTTTTTCCTCCACTGAGGTAGTTTTTCCACTCCTCTTTGCACTATGGCAAGGTTCCATTATAAAGCCAAAATAACTGTGAAGAGGTGTGTATATATTCAACTTCATTGGGATGATATTCCTGAATATTCCTGATCAAACTACGAGTTTGATCCAGACATATCCAGACCTCCTGGAATTTGATGGAATAATTTTTCAGGAACTCCCATTTCCACTGGACAACCCATGGTTTCCGCTCGAAATTCCCTCGTCCAAATCGACGCCGATCGAAGGAAGCCCCAGTGGTCCATGGAGCCCTGGAAGGTTCACCAGAAGAGCTGGTAGCAACAGGTGGGGCTTTAATGGGAACACCCACAGTGGTCACAGGTTAATACAGGTTATAGTTTTTTACACGATAACACATATACGTATAAATACATACACTATATGATATTACTGCATTCTATTTGATTTTATATGATAGTCTATATGATACATATATATATAATTATATATATATATAGTCCATAGTCTAATATGATATACATGCATATATATATACATATATGTATAACCAATTATAACCATTTACTGTACATTATTGAATGGGATGACACCTCGGGTTGCTGAGACTGTGATTGGTTATTGTCCTGATGGGAAATCCACCAGAAATCGGGAACCTAAGTTGTTGGTATGTTGGTGATAAATCGCATGAACTATCAGCATTATATTCCCATTAATTGTGGTTTTATGAGGTACTGAGTAATGTTTTTTCTGGTTGGTTGTTTGAAATATGTGTATTTTTCCATCCGATTTGGGATGATGATTGATCCCAAATTACGTTCACATATTCTTCAAGGCAACCACCAAGTAGCTTAAAGCAGACACCAACATTAGATGTTACATCACTGTAGAAGGGACACTTGCTAATGTTGGTATAAATTGAGATTTTGAATCTCAACATTTTGAAATGGGAATCGATCGAGCTTCCAGCTCCTTGAAATACTTTCGATATTAATGTGTTTCAATGTGTCTGTATCTATAATATCATGGAACACAATTGGCAAATGGTTTCCGTAGGAATGTGATCTACAAACAGTGGATTGTCCATGCCTATGTTAAGTTACTGGAGGGTGAGTGTGCCGTGCAATTGGAAGTCGATTGAGATTTGAATCCCCGTTGAGTAGATAGAATCATACGTCTTGAACTGAATATGTATATATATATATATACATATATATATACATGTGTATACATACATATACAAATAATTATGGTTAAAACCTTTGCATGAGGCTGTATGAATAAAATTTGACAACACATGCCCCAATCAAATTATGTGGAATAGAGTTAGCACATGTCCAATACATATTTTGAAGGTCACCTTTCTGTGAGACTCTTTTTGACAGTTTTTTTGACACCACCTTGAAGTGCCGTTTGAAGATAGTTGAAAGTTATTTCCCCCAATGGTTCACTGGTTGGTGGTTTCAAGTAATGTTGATCCCCAATGGGTCAAAACCACCAGCCAGTTGATGTTCCAAAAACCGGCCCGAATTTGGTGCTCCAGCAGGGTCAAGTGAGGTTTTTATTTTTTATTTCCAACAACTGTTGGCCCCTAGGCCAACTATGGTAGAGATACAGTGGATGGTTGCGAAATCCTGCACCAAGTTGATTCAGGTGGTTTTTCTCATAGGGTTTCAACCATCCAAGGTGATGCAGGATTTCGCAACCATCCACAGTATGTAGAGATATCACCTTGTAGGCACAACAAAAACACGGCCAGGTCAGATCTCCGTCCAGGAGTATCGCGCACGGATTCTGGCTGAGATGGCGCCCAAGGATAGTAGTCAGGGAAGTTTCACATATGTAAACTGATGGTGACAACTTGGCATCGACAGTTGAGCAGTGCCCAAGTTGCCCAAGTTTCGAATCCGAAAAGGTTTCGGACAGTCAATGATAGTAATGATTGTGCTATCTACTGGTATGGGGGCTGTTCAACCATATTCAAAACCATCGTAAGAACGTGAGATGTTGCCAAATGCAAAGCTGCCCAGCCACGCAGAACAGCTGCGGTTGGCTGCGGACCAGCATTGGTTCACATTGTGTTGCCTTATGGGTTGTGGATATGTTGTTTATCATGATGAAGTGGTAATGTGGACCTAATGTCATACACCATTCCAAAAAATCACCATGATTTATGCATAGGATTGAAACCATCCTCAAATGATAGGTTTATGGGTTGCCAACATTACATTAAAATACATCTGTGTCTGAACATGACGGATTCTATCATAGAACTGCCATTTGAGCGGCGGGGACAATGGTGATTGATTAACTTAATTCTATTTAGGGTGCTCCATTTTCTGAAAGCCAATATATTCATAGTGCAAGTCAACTCCCAATACAGTACTTGTTTTCGTAAGTCAAAATTATTATGAACGTGCGGATACTCCAATAATTACTTGGGAATACTACTGTAGTTTATTTGTATAGAAATGGTCTATGGTGTCACCAATCAAGAGTGAGGACAACGAAGAAGCTGTGTGGAATACTACATGACACAATGAGGTTCCCCTTCGTCATCGGTGAGTGCGGAAAGGATGAAATTTTGGGATCTTTAACAAAGGTGCTGGCTGCCACAGTCTTGTTGAGGATAATCCCCTAGTATCTATGAATTGTATATCTATATAATCCCCCGAATGACACACGTATTTCCAGGATGGTATGGTTGATGTTTTCCCGATAAATTATAATTTCGAGGTTTCCAGGTGATGTTCGTGATCTTTTTGGGGGGTGCTAGTTGCATCAGCCAGCATATCACTTGGTGTGAACCAAGAATTGTACGAGGTGGTGCCCCATAGTGAGCTAAGTTGGTTTATAACTCCAATGTTGCTGGGGTTTATGTATGTTTCATGATAGAGATATGACATATTATATATATATCATATATGGACAACTTTAGCTAAGTTAATGCTAAATTGATAACCATATGATCATATGATGTTTCTGGTAGAGATACCATATATCTATGGTTCATGGGGTTTATAAACCAACTCGTAACTACTCGGAGCCACCGTCGAAAAGCGTCGCCGCCTGATGGATGCAAAAATGCACCGATCCCAGCGGAAGCCACAAGTGCCATCGTTCTTGGATGGTTAAATACAGACAATGACAAATTTGGTAAATTAACAATTAATAATATATCCCATAGGATCCATGTATGGTATATATGCTAACATTTGGGATACATCGATGGTAAATGTTACCATATATAGCATACATGGATCCTATGGGTATTAGTATATTAATAATTAGTAAATAATAGTACTACCATTATAATACAGACAATGGTTCTTGTATTGGTATTAATACAGACTATTGGATACTGTTCGACCCTGAACATCACTCAAGTTTAGTGCAAACTAGTCTTCCAACCCCGACAACTGCCAGGGTCGTCATGTTAATTTACTGGAGGGTATGTTGTCTCTTTGCTGTCACCTTTTGCTTTGCATCACACAAAGCACACCATGTCCCACCTTGGACGATGTAGCAATACACACGACGTGATCATTGTCCTTGTATGGTCTGCAACATTGGTTGTTGCCAGCTTCTGACCGACCCCAAAACTTTCCTGTCCATGTGGTCTTGTGTTTTCCTTGGAAGACCACGGCTGCCCAAGAGATCTCCTTGCTGTAGCACCTTATGTTTAGCTGTTTACGTCCAAGTGATTTTTTCTTCATGTATTTCCCATACTGACCAAGATAGCAAAGATAGCAAGGCAATTCCTAAGATCCTAAAATCACACGACGTCTGATACATGTCCAATGTATCCTCGTCTGTCGAGCCGTTTGGAGAGTGGGTCAAACCATGCAAAAAACCTGGCAAATTGCAAAATCCATTTTTCTTTCTCTAGTCCTGTGGGGAAAGAAGCCAGACTTAAGACCAGCAAACAAGATGCGTGTTTGCTGCTGCAACATCTCGCATGTGCTTATGGCAAACCTGGCTGCGTTGACACAGCCCCACATTTCAACATTCAGATGCTTTGTAGTTTGGGATAATATGCTCAGAGGTTGGTATTTCTCTCCAATGGTCCCCAGTGGGGTACCCACAAACCAGTGCTTCCTAGTAGTACCTTGAAATAGATAGACATGGATTGTCCTCAATATTGAGACCCAGTAAGTTTCCACAAAAAACAGCAAACAACAACACCTCCTTTTCTAGCCTATCCTTTCTATCCATTTTATGACCGCTACAGATTTACCCAACGACGGTGCCCCACATTGGCTTATGGTGACGTTGTCCGAGAAGGTCTGGCATCAGAAGTGGGTGTGGTGGTCCATGTTATCTGCTTGGTGCTTTGACAATGGCCCAGTCGAAATAGTGGATTTACCCAGCTATAAAATGGTGATTTGGCCCATAGTTATGTAAACGTTTACCAGAGGCTATTCATTTTGTTCTTAGTTGTTCCATATGTTTTTTATATCAATTGTTCAAAGATTATGCCAATGTCTAGTAGTCTAGTGCAGTGTTTTTCTTTTTTATATATCTGTTTTGATTCTCCATCCGATGTTCAAAGATGATGACCCCCAATGTCGAGTATGAATTTCAGTGGTTTTCAACCACCAACTGGGTCCGGGAAGCCCCAACAAAAAGGATCACGGATGATTGGCAAAATCCTGTCGTCGTTGTTTTAACCACGCTAAATGCATCTAAATGCCGTATTTCTTGGCTTGTTTCTTCTACTTCTCATTAATTTGATGGTGAATGCTTGGGAATAGCATGAAATAGCGAACCACCTCAGTTTTGGTGATTTTTCTCGATTGCGCGCGCAGAAAAATAATGAAAAATATGTCATCCGGGTCATGGTTGGTCTGGCTGGTCACCTGGCCTAGGTGGAGCCCATCTTCCCAGAGGGTTCGCCCTCGGTGGTGTGTCATGTCTCGCACGAAGTGGATCACTTGAGCCTTCGAACTTCGGAGCGACTCAGGAGCGGGAGCAGATGGATCTGGGGCAGCTCTGACTTGGCTAGAAGGATGTGAGCTAATGATGATTAACCATCGGATTTACCTAGATTTGCTGAAGGCTTTTTATTTTTCCATCAGATCCATCAGTTAATCCAGCACTTGGGGAATCGATTGGGCATTATTTTCGATTTGTCGGGAAACTCCTCAGCAAATCAGCGGCAACCCAACCTGGGGCAGCAAGGAAACCACCCATTTCGCGGCCACCGGCTAGCCCTACCAAAAAACCATGGCCCGAAGCAATAAAAGAATGGTATTGGTTGTTAACCATTGTTAATCCATAATAGCTCTGTTGTTTTTTTTTGGCCACATGAAAGACCTGGGAGACATTGTTTTCAGAACTTAATTGTATAATCACGAATGCACCTTCTGGTGATCAAGCCTGAGAATTAACAACCCACATAGCATTGGGAAACTCATGTGTACATGCGCAAAACTGGGCGGATGTTTCGTTGGCCACAAATTTTAACCAAGGTAGAATTGCCTGCTTAGAATACCCAATGCCAACAATACATATATGATGATCTGCTCTAAATTCCTTATCAGAAGCTTTTGATCAGGAGCATTAAATTTCAGGTGTTTGTGTTTTACATCTCGTTTAGAAGAGAAGTCCCGCCTAAACGCAATCAGTCATAGCATATACTACAATCCTGAAGTAGATATCATATGAAAACAGAAAAGGACATTATTGTGAAACATCCACATTCTATCTACTCCAGGCTTACTAAATATATATATACACATTTCATTATATATAAATATATATTATGTATATATATATATATCTACCCTCCGGCAGTCAACGTTGGAAAGTCCCCCATGGAGCTTCGGAGGACCTCCTCCGACAATATCGACGAGCAGCGACCTGACGCCGAGGAGTTTTTTTTTTTTATCGCGGGGGATGACTAGCTTGGTGTTATAGGTCACCGTTAGTTTGGTAAAAGTTGGGCTATTACCTATGATAAAAAAATGATATGTAAACAATATACATGTATGTATAATGTGATTTTCGGCATGTGTCTGAACACGGGGGATGAACTCCAATAGGGCCACAGATGAATCATTGGATTTCAGGGGTTAAATTTGACCAGATGTTTGATCGCCATCTTAGTCCCCAGAAAAAACATGAAAGAACCCTCAACGATCAGAGCACAAGCCAAACATGAGGGAAACAAAGAATTCAAATTGCTACAAACATGGACTGTGGCACCGCTGATAAACTGGCTAACGCTTGGCTGGATGGGCCGATTTGGCATACGTTGCAACAAGTAGAGAAATATACTGACCAGCCACGTTACATCGTTTCGATAAAGACGAAGGGCAAAAAACAAGTCACAAGACATAAACCTGGTACAACCACAGAATGGGGTGTTTCAACTTTGTTGCTTGCTTGTGGCAGTTCAACTTATAATACCACCAGTTGGGTGGATTTGTAGACCAATCATCGTTTACGGAAGGAAATACCATGGAATTCTTGACACTATAAACGCTAAAACAAATTTAGCAAACCTGGTTGACACTGTGACGAGTCGTTACAATACTTACCAAAACATCCCATCAATACATACACATACACTGAAATATGTAGAAATGCCAAGAACATCCAAGAACCACGATGTCAACACAAGCACGAAAACATCACACTGAGATATTAGATAATGACAATGGGATGAAACAGACAACAATGCTTGCCGTCTCGTATACAGGAAAGCACTGGGTCAAGTAGGACCTTAATATCGGGCCAGCAATTGGGGCTAACAAAACCACAAGGAATTGTTTATTAGATTTTATTAGTACAATTTCATTTGTCAATTTTGATGTGATATATCCCTATGGATCCAAGTACCTTCCTAGGAAGTGTTTCGGGTATGATTTAGGGGGTTAAGTACCTTCTGAGACAGTGTTTGGATCCATAGGGGATGGATGATGAGAGATCTCCTTAAGCAGTTTTTTCCGGTGGTTGGGTAAGAAGAGGAGTACCCTCTGGTTATGTCAAAATAGCTATTGAAAATGGCCATTTATAGTGGATTTTCCCATTAAAAATGGTGATTTTCCATAGTTATGTTAAATTACCAGAGGGTACGCCCCATTACAAGCACTTCCGGAGCATTTGGTGACATGAAGGATTATTCATGGGGCACGTCTCCAGACAGTAGCTCACTCCACATCTCCAGGAGGGTGAGGAGCTGACGCACGTCCAGGAGGTTCTGGGTCCGCCCTTGGATTTTCTGCCTAAGGACATTGAACTGCAGGATCTCAATGCCTATCGTGGTCTGGCTATGGCTATCATGGTTGGATCTCAACTACTCAGGATATTAATATAGTTATACTCTGGCCTTTTTTCGTGGTGAGAGTTGGGAATACAAACTTGGGGATGTTGATCTCGATTGCGGATCTGTGGCTTTGGGACATGTGGAACCTGAAGATGTTGGGAAAACCACCCATTAAAAACATCACGTCTGAATTATCATAATTTTCTTGGCATCAGCCATTTGTATGGGTATTTCCAATTCTCAGACATACCCAAATCAATCTCAAGGGCACAATGTTTACTTTGAAGGCCACTGAAAGGGTTTTGCTGATACTGGTAGTAAGTCCGCCGAAAACCCTTCTGTCATCTTGTGCCCCCCCCCCCCGCAATTTTTTTCGTGATGTCAACTATGTCACAGGATACCCAGCATATGCCCACTACTTGAGTTGGATTATCTCACAAAAAGGGGGACTGTTGTTGACTATATGGAGGTTTCATAAAATATGGGTACCCCATAACCATTGGTTTCAATACTAAAGTAGCCTAATTTTGGATGATTTGGGGTAGCCCTATTTTACTAAACCTCCATATACCATGCTATACCCACATTTGCTTCGAGAGTGATTTCACAGAAATTCAGCTACTTATCTCCGCCCTCCTGGTGATCAATTTTCGTGAATTAGCTGGTCCCCGAGGCCGAAATCATTCATTGAATTCCAAGTTTTCAAAGCTATAGTCAAAGATTTTTGTTATGCATTAACCATTATACAATCACTTAACCATTTACAACTGACTATAGTTAGCTTGGGAACGTAAGAATTTTCCTGTGATTTCCCCTATCCGAGGTTTGGACAAAGTGTGATATCATGGCAATCACCCCTTTACAAAGCCTGCATCATCTCAGATATCGGCCCTGGACCAATTTTTTCGAAGCTGACATATCCATCCAATCGTCCTAAGATGTCCTAAGCGTTAAGTTTTTTCATGTCCGATCATTTTCCAGGGCTGCTCCAACCCAATGAAACGATCAATTTTGGAAACGGGTTCTCTTACCTGTTGATCTAACAATTTTCCGGAGGCTTGGTGGACACACAAATCTGTATCTAGGGTGGCCAGGGGGCAGTCCGGTGGATTGAACGACGCTTGTAGCGGTATTCAAACTTCCCATCATTCATTTTCAAACTTCCCATCATTGATTGTAAATTGTAAATCCCATTTTCATGGACTACACTATATATATACAGTATATACCCACCATTGTCCCATGATTCTCTCAAATCGTAGATTCTAGAGATTGTTGGCTTCAGAGCCCCATACTAAGATACCGATGTTTGTTGCTTACACCTGGTCAATCCATATAATGCACACACACCATTTTACTCATGCTAACATATTCAGCTCCAATACCCCAATACTTCATCCATCCACAAAATCTTCAATCCCACGAGTTTCCATAGGTAAACCTGTTTGTTTTTTTTTTACGGCATTTTCCCATTTGGCAGTGTGTCAAAACCAATAGTACCCCTGTAGTTCACATCAAAATAGCTGGGATTTATGTGATGTTCATCCCCCTAAAAATGGTATTAAATAAAAATAGGTATTGATCCATACCCATATATTAGTATATTAATAGTAAATTAATAGTACTACCATTATAATACAGACAATGGTTCTTGTATTCCCCCAAAAAATGGTCTTAATTTAATAGGTATTGATCATTATTGATCCATACCCATTTCCCAAGGCTTGGACTACCAAAACTTCCGCGCCGGCAACGCCTCTGGGGCCCGCGGCGAGGTGGCCTCGCTTTGCGCCTCGAAGGCCGCGGTGCCGTACCGGGCCTCGGGGCGCAAGGCGCAGCGCCCGCGGCTGGTGCCGTTGATTGGTGCCGTGGCGGCGCGCCGCGATTTTTTCGTTTGTTGGTTGAGGAATCCTATCTCTTGGGGTGTGAAATCATTTTTTTGGGGGGGGAACTCCTATTTTTTGGGGGGGAGGTATGATTTTTTGTTTTTTTTTGTTTTGCATTTCTGGTTGTCACCCAGTGATGTCGGTTTGTAAGCTATCCAGCTGTAGATACACCACCCTCAAACAGTATGATCGAGCCTAGTTAGTTCAAGAAACTTACCGTAATTTACCTTTCGCACTCCGGAGACCAACATTGTTTTATAAAACTGCAATCACGATTTCCCCTGAACACAACACCCAGTTGTAAAGACAACAGGAATCCTATCCACGGTTAACTCATACAAAATCATTAAATCCATAGAATTTCCCCAAGAAATTATCACCTACAAAAAGTAAAAGTTGAATCTTCATATCCTTATATCCTTCCGTTAGTTTACCTTTCCCATATGCTCCATGGTGCTGGTATATTTAACCCACAAAACTGGGTGTTTTTTGGAGCACATGTTGGTAAATATTCCAGCACCATGGAGCATATGGATTATAACCTGTTAGAACTATAACTATACTATAACATGATTTACCCATGAAAAGATGTGATGTTCCATTAAAAAAACATCTTAGTTTACACTAGTGGGATGTATGATACTAACATCTTATAACATCTTTGAACTTATAAGATACCCATGACGGATCCATGTATGCTATATATGATATATATGGTAACATGGATCCCATCAATATACCCCAGTCATGTTGGCATATATAGCAGCACCATGGATCCGTCATGGGATATTCCTCCAGGTCTCGACTTAGCCACCAGCAGCGCAGTGAGAAGTGCCGCAACGGCAGCCAGTGAACACCTGGAGGACGGTGGCCGGGACAGGTTTTCCTGCTGATTCCTTGACCATCCCTCTGGTACTCAAGGAATACCCTCTGGTATGGTAAACTAACATAGCTATGGTATAGATGACCCATCCCTATGGATCCAAGTACCTTCCTAGGAAGTGTTTCGGGTATGATTTAGGGGGTTAAGTACCTTCTGAGACAGTGTTTGGATCCATAGGGCATAGAAATAGATGGTTTACCATGGTTTACCTATAAAAAATGGTGATTTGCTATAGCTATATATATATATGTTAAATTACCAGAGGGTATATGGGAATCTATTATATGGGAATATATATATATATGTGGGAATATATAGATGGGAATATTAATTATATGGGCACTTTTTTGCTGTATTTCTGGGACTATATATGGGAATATATGGGAAACAATGAGATTTAGCACATGTAAATAGCGCGGACGATTGGAGCACTCGCGCACGGCGGCAGCAGTGCGGCGAGGCCAGTCTTGAGGTGAAACAGCGGGCTGTTTTGTACACACATCAAAGATGGGCGAAAGCTCTGGTTGGCCCTCACCCACCTTCCGAGCATAGTCCACAGGCCGCTGCTGGGCATTAACTTGGGCACCAGACAAGCGCAGCTGGTGACAATTATTTTGCTGGCAGACTGATGCTGCCAGAGGAATACCACTTAGGGGGGACTCAACAGCTGACAAGAATCGTTTGACAAATCAAATTTCAAATTAGCAGGCCAGGGCGAGAAAAACACAAAAGCTGTGCGACCCGAGCCTGAGCCTCAAGTCGTGCAGGTCAGGTCGAAACAATGGATCTAGAAATAGGGTGTGTTACGACTTTTCCTCCATGTCTTCTTCCGCTTCGTTCATGTGGCTGTGGTGCCAACCAGCTGCCAAACTGCTAGCAATAACTCCTATGCTGAAAGTGCTGAAGTCTAGCTGGCAGCACGCCATTTCCCTTACAACTTGCATGTCCAATGCCACTCAAGCTGAGTTGCTATTACGACTGAATCCGGACCGGTCAGGCAATCACTGAAGCACGCGCACCACCATGACCAAAGTTTCTAAAGAAACATAGAAAGGGTAGCGATGCAAGATTGCACCTTCCAGATTTCTCGTCACAAAAAGCAGGGTCATTGGACCAGCCAGATGCTACAAAGGTTGTGATGCACAGGACCCATAGCGCAAAGCTGGAAGTCAGCAATGTGACACCATTGCAGCGAGAGTGATGATCAGAACCAACATTCCAGTAGCCACTGAATCCAGAGGCATGCCACCCAGCCAGACTTGAAAGTATCAAGGTAGCCAAGGTCAAGTGGTCGCTGATTGCCCTTGGAAACAAAGCAGTGCCCACCGCAATGGGAAACAAAACATGGCTCTGGTCAAGGTTCTGCCGTCTCAGCCGCACCTCTGGAAGGACTTGACCCATCACGGCTAGCACATGTAAATAATACAATGATAGAGTCAAACGTGGCCTGGAAAATCCAATCTACGGACATTTTACATGATAAATGATGTATTTTCAAGCCATTCCCGGTAAATTCATGGCCCATCCTCCACAGTTCGTTTAACTAACCCAGAATGGAACTAGACTAGGGAGATAACCAACCCAAGTGGTTCAAAACCCAGATCTGGTTGGTGCTTTCGGATACTTGGGCATGATTCCAACTGACGGGCATGTCAGGGATGAAACCAGCTAGATATTCAATGTTGGAGGTCGATGTTTTTTGAGTACATATATTTACAGAAATATCAGAAAATCATCAGCCTCGGACCAGAAAAGGGTGAAGTTTCAGAGTACATCATCTCATGTCTGCTATGCCTTGAAACATGCTATTTTTGGGGGAAGTTCGCTATTTGGGCGATGATTCCGGAAAGTGGCTCGCTATATATATATATATATGTATATATATATATAGAACAAAACAATTATTAGCTCTGGTGACTACAGACACTCATATTTGCGGCTTCAGGTTTTTTGGACTTAGGTTTGCTGGACTTAGGTTTGTTGGACGTTGTAGTATATAAACTAATGTAGTATGGTAACAGTTGTATTCTATACTCATCTTTACTCAACTATACTAATTTATACTCCTCCATACTCATTTGTACTCATAATATTATGCGTGGTTATTAGTAATCAATGGGAATTTCAGGATCCTAAAATGGAGGTACTGTACCATATAAGACCATATTTTGTGGGTATATCCCCTTACATAGCCCTTACACAGGCCTTATATATGGTAGGTACATCCAATTTAGGATCCTGGAATTCCCATTGATTAGTAACTAACATGTTGACTAATTGGGCTAAACCCTACAATGGCGCCCAAAAGATGGTTTCTACAACCCATTTCTTGAAAAAAAAGACCGGTGATGGCTTATGATTGGGTTTAGCACATTCGCCACTTCCAGGAACCCCATATTCTAACATATTCTAACTATATATATATATTATATATTATATATTATATATATATTATATATATATATATATAATTTTTTAAAACCATGGTTTCCTCTGGATCTCCCCGGAAACCAACCTTAAGTCATACTATCGCACCAGATCTCTCCAGTCCTTGTGGTTAGGAGATGGCAATGGCGCAGATTCGTTGGGGCGCGTCAGGCGTGGGACACCAGTGGGATCCTGGTCACAATGGGAGTGTCGTTCTTAATGCAAGCAGTATTTAAAGGGATGCCAGAAGGTGTTTAACACTGCTCTGATGAAGAATTGTGAAACATCTGGGTAACACAGGGTTTGGTTGGTAAATGGATGTAAATGGCATCGATTTTTGAATTTTTGTATTGTGTGTCATCACAGAAAGATGATGTGCCTCACTAAAGAAACACTATTTGTGTGTGAATTTTTGATGATTTTTGTGTAAGACCTGCCGCGGACCCTGACTGCTGTAAAGGGTTTTTTCGGTGCCTGTTCGGCAACAATTGCAGCAATAAAACCCTCAGCCAGCCCTGCACTCTTTATCCGGACAGGTCTGACGGATCAGAGTGAGGAAAGTGGTTTCAGCGGACCTGAGCTTCCAACACGCAAGAGCTGTTTGAAAGAGTCCAAGCCCGAAACTCGGAACAAGCACGGGAATGGACCATGATTTCCGAGATTTTTTTTTTGGTTGTTGTTCATCTTCAACCTACCCATAGGATCCATGGTGCTGGTATATATGCTAACATGACTGGGGTATATTGATGGGATCCATGTTACCATATATAGCATACATGGATCCTATGGGCTATAGCACATATTATAAATATACGCAACGCCCTTGGACCTTTGGATTTGTCAAATCGTGTTGCTGGCTCCGGAGAAATGTAGCCAGCGAATCAGATGCTGAGGGCAGGATGGATTTGGGTGATTCCATTGGCACATGCGGTTGGGATTCTATGATATTCAATTCCCTTTATGTCGCAATGAATCAGTGTAGTCAGTGTAGTCCCTGCCACAATCATTGGAACTTTTTGCCTTCCCAGAATTAAATATGGAACATCTGCCGGAACATGTGTGTGTGTGTGTAAAAATTGAGGGTGGTTGTTGGTGGTCTTCTCTCCAGTTTTTGTTGATTCAATTTTCCAAGAAAGTCCATGTTGCCTGTTGATATGGCAATTTTCCGGGAAAATGATAATTATAAGTCCACACAATATGTTTTTTCCCCTGAAATGTTCAGACAATTCCAACCATTTCCAGCCATCTTCAGGTACATCAAATGTCATTTAACCATGGTATAGCTGGCCCATAGAAATAGATGGTTTACCTGGGTTATCCTGGGTTTACCTATTAAGACTGGTGTTTTTCCATGGCTATGTTACCCTCTGGTAAACTAAGGTAACTATGGAAAATCACAATTTTTAATGGGTAAATCCACTATAAATGGCCATTTTCAATAGCTATTTTGACATAACCAGAGGGTAGTCATAACCACGGATTTTCCCAGGAGTTGAAACTCCGCCGAGCCGTTGGCGGTGGCGCCGAGCGGCGGCGATCGGGCGATCTGCTGCGGCAGAGCAGCGCCCCCGGGGGACACGCGGCGGACTTGAAGCGATCCTGGCAGCAACTCATGCGCGAAGGGGCCATACCCACAGCGACACTTGGGATGAAACTTCCTTTTTTTTTTTTCGTTTTTGTTTTGTTCATAGGTTTTAAGTTTTAAGTCTTAAGCACCTTTGACCAGATATTTATGGTTGATATACATGTTGAAATTTCTGTTGATGTTGATGTTTTTTATGTGTAAATGATGAAGGTTTAGAAAACAATGGTCAAAGTTAAGTGTGGTATAGGATCAACCATAGATCATCAACCAAAGTTGACTAGGGATCAACAATAGATTATCAATTTGAGGATGGTATTTGCTCAATAATTCATAGTAACTTTTGGTTGAACGCCATTTATGGTTGATAAATGGGTATGGATCAATACCTATTAATACCATTTTTAGGGGGATGAACATCCATTTACCAGCTATTTTGATGTTCACCAGGGGTACAAGGTTTTGACACACTGCCAAATGTTGAAACTTATGTTGGTTGGTGTTTTTGGGTGATATTTTATGGGTCCCCAACAAGGGTGAGCTGAGGGATTTCCCATGGGATTTCCCAGCCAAATTTTCGACGGCTTTTTGAGGACGGTGGATGTGGAAAATCCAGAGGCATGGTTTTTGTGGTGTGGGGGGAGACAATGGGTTTCTCCAAGATGGACTACCCTCTGGTAAACTAACATAGCTATGGAAAATCACCATTTTTAATGGGAAAATCCACTATAAATAACCATTTTCAATAGCTATGGCTATTTTCAATAGATGGTGTGTTTATATGATGTTATACCCTCTGGTAAACAAAATAATATATGTGGTACCCAAAATAATATAAAATTCCACATCATTTTAAACTATGATATTCCCAAAATTCCCAAAATCCAATGATGTGGTACCCTCAATTGTACCCTCCGGTAATTTAACAGTTGGCTATTGAAAATGGATGAACATGGCACTTTTTTTTTAAGTTGATTTACCTATTGAACATGGTGATTTTCCAATTCGCTATGTGAACGTTTACCAGGCCGGGTAAACCCGACAATAAATCATCCCCAGTAGAGGTTTAATACCTGTCATAGCCGTGAGATGCCCAAAAAATGACCTCCAGTTATGGTGGCTGACAATCTGGGATGGTTGATGATGGTTGGTTGGCATCAGGTTGACACACATTTTTTCCTATGTCTGGGTAAATTTCATCACGACCTCCCTGCGACCTCACTGGATTAAAGGTTAGGAATTTGCCACAACGTACAGCTTAGTGAATTATTGTAGTTGACCCAGATGTGTTTCCCATTTTTTGGCATATGTCAAAATCGCACTTGGACATACCCTGGACATACCCAAATTGCCACAGCAGCTAAAGGTGTCTAGCTGCTCGGCTGATTTTTTTTGGTAGATCCCATCCCAACTGGCAAAACTAGATGCTTTTCTCCACCCAGTTTGATGGAAGCACAATCCGTACATGTTCATGGCAAGATTCGCCGCATTTCAAGATCTTGTTTCAGTTATAGTGTTTTCATACGGTGGATAAACAAACATTCTCCACAACATACAACAATATGAAAACAACAGCAATATACACTAATTGCTAATATACAACATACAACGATGTACAACAATATACAACAATGGACAACAATATACAACAATCTACAACAACAATCTACAACAATCTACAATATGTTGTCAATTCGATTCATACCCCAGACTTTTTCAAACAGCCACGTCACGTCACAACCGGCAACGAAACGCTCAGGCCATGTCCCCCTGGCAGCGGAGTAGCAATGCATCGCCGGTGACCTCCAAAACGGGCATCGGATTTTTCACCCACATCGCCGTGTCCATGTTGTGCCTGGTGCCCTATGCCACGAGTCTGCACGGTTCGGTTCGTAGGCTGCGTTGTACTACATACCTAGCTAGGCATGGAGGTTTCCAATCCCTTGGGGATCCAAAAAAAAATACGCTGGATTGTTCATGGAAAGTCCGAAAATCATATCCCATAGGATCCATGTATATATATATATATGCTAACATTTGGGGTATATTGATGGTAAATGTTACCATACATGGATCCTATGGGTATGGATGAGAACTGGGGGTACCCCTATTTTAGGAAACCTCCATTAATTGGCGATGGGTCAAGTTACCCAAGTTCCCTATGAAATGACCCGTCATGACTGGGGGAAGAAGCTTCCTAAGTCACCAGCTATGACTTAGGGTACCAGGCTTTTGACCCATAAGAAACCAATGTGAGTGTTTATTGTTCACCAATGTTCACCATTAGAAATCATGCGTAACCACTATGAACATCTATGAACCATTAACATCCATCCACCATAGATCAACTATGAACCATTACCAGCCAGTACCATATGTGAAGTACGTACGGTATGTTCAGATCATCGAGGATCCTGCGGCCTGATTTCAATGGAATGATGACTTGCCGGTGAACTCACATGGCCATAGAACATCATCATTATATACCCTCTGGTTATTTAACATAGCCATGGAAAATGGCCTATTTATAGATGGTTTACCTATTAAAAATGGTGGATCTTTCCATAGTTATGTTAGTTTACCAGAGGGTATAACTTATAACAGCAAAATCATTCCATTTTTCTACAGCAAAATGAGGATTACTAGTAGTAATAATGATGAATATGTTCACCATTCAGCAGTAAACATCAAATGTTCTACTTATAAGTTATATGAATGGGCCATGTTCAATAGTAAACTGTTAGTCATTACCAGAGGTTAAGATAGTATAGATTTGTTCGACTAGGGTGGCTCTGTGAAACCGAGGTGAAGACTGAGCAACTTGGCTGTGCTAAGCATCACAGTGCCACTGTTGCTGCTTCCCGAAAAACTGCGAGTGTGGGGAGCGTTACAGAATGTTTTAAAGTGGAATGCATATCATGAACATCACTTGTTGGATTACAATTGTAGATTCTATTGGATGTTGTTTTCCGTTTTGCATATCATAAACATCACTTGTAGAATTTTTCCAAGTACGTTCGCAACATCTTCGGGCTCAGGAGTGAATTAGAGGGTCGTTGAAGGCTATCAACGCAGAAACATTGTCCCAACCTTATGTGAGGTTTCATACTGAAGTGAGCGGAATTGCGACTCAAGCCTAGTAAGCTCATTATGTAAATATTAGGATCTAACAAACGCACAGTTTACTCATAGGCTCATAGGTGCACCAATGCTGACAGTATTTTATCAATGGGCAATCCTCATTAAATAACATATAGTTTCTTAATCCGGGGCTGACATTGATATGTCGTGCGTATGTGCAAATGGGTCAAGAGTTGACAAATTTGCCCAGTTTCTTTGGGATAGCAGCATCCCATTTTAGGGGTGACATCGCATTTATTTGGGTTGGAAACACCCTATGGTGTCACTAAACAGGGCAACAGAAATCCCGGAAGTAAATGGAGATTAACAAGAATGGGATTTCATGGGATTTACCCTCTGGTAATTTAACGTAGCTCTTGAAAATGACCATTTATAGTTGATTTATCCATGAAAGATGGCCATTTTCCATAGCTATGTTAGTTTACCAGAGGGTAAGTATATAACCCATAGGATCCATGTATGATATATATGCTAACATTTGGGGTATATTGATGGTAAATGTTACCATATATAGCATACATGGATCCTATGGGTAAGGGGACAAGCGCTAACTATACAATGAACATCGCTATAGGGAGATCCCCGAAATAGAAATGAAGCTTTCGAAGAATCGCTGGGCAGGCCAGACCATGGTCGAATTGAATTCATTGGGCGGTGCAACATCTTTCCAAAACGGTTACCCCACCTGGTCATTTGTGACATATGTGGTGATGAAAAAGTGGATGTCATTTTGGATCTTGTGGTGATTTAATAGGATTTAATTGGGATTATATGGCGACTTACTAGGATTTTACCAACACACATGTATTTTCATGGGACATACATACTCTGTGGTCATGTAACACGTTGCTATGGAAACCATGGCCCGTTTGTAGACGACTGACTTGTTAAACGTGGTGATTCTGCATAGCCTTCTTGGATGAGCAGAGGTTAAAGCGATTCAAGGTACCATGTTCTGGACCCACGTCAGTGAATTGGTCATGCAACTTTACCAAGAATTCGAATCAGATGCTACGCCTTGAATATCCTTGAATACAGTATCCTTGAATGCAATTCATCTTTTGATGATAAACCCATAGAATCCATGGTGCTGCTATATTAATGCTAACATGACTGGGGTGTATTGATGGGATCCATGTTACCAGATATAGCAGCAAGATTCCAAGATTTCCCAAAAAGAAAAAAACATCTTGTCTACCGTCATGTCTTGAAGCCGTTTGATCACCAAAATGGAAACAAAAAGGGTCAAAGGAGTCAAAGGTCCCATGGCTTGGGGTCAAATGTCGATCTTTTTTTTTTCCGCGGATTTGTTTTTTCGGGTCATCAGTATATAGACAGATTCAAGGGGTGTTTCTCGTGTTTCTGGGCGTTTCGCCGCACCGCGATTTGGTCGTTTCTCTATCGACCAGTCGAACTTGGATGAGTATGACTGGTTGGTTGGATCATTTGGATTATGACTTTCCATATACCCTCTGGTTATGTCAAAATAGCTATTGAAAATTGCCCATTGAAATAGTGAATTTTCCCAGCTACAAAATGGTGGTTTTCCATAGTTGTGTTAGTTTACCAGAGGGTATTGGGAATGTCATCATCCCAACTGACTTTAACTCCATCATTTTTCAGAGGGGTAGGTCAACCACCAACCAGATGAGTATGTACCAATTTTCAAAAAAAAACAGAGAACAGTCAACTCCCCCTTTACTGGGGCCAAATCCAATGTTTGCATTGATTTGCGTTTTAAGTCTTCGCATCTTTGGAGTATCTCCCATATTTTACCATCCAGTCGCATGTTTTCGTATGGTTGCTTAAACAACATTTATCCCCCGATGGGGATGGATAAAAACCTTTTGTTAAGTATACCAGTATACCATCCTTGCGAGGAAGTAACATTAACATCCATATATTTTGATGGTCACCCATACCATCGCATACCCAGATCATCCCAATTGTGAAGTACTCAACGACTTGATCCTCGACCCATGAAAAGGTCGAGCTCTTTGCGGTGCCTGGTCCTACCTACTGCCTACTCGGCCTATGCAGCTTGGATGTGTTTGCGTAGGTTGTGGGGTTGCCTCGTACGTGGATGAATCAACCATGTTGTTTTCTCCAAGAACCATGTGCGATTTGTTAAATGATCCTTCGTTAACGAAGAAGAAGGTGCAGCAGGGATATATGTGATTTGACATGTATCGCTGTTTGATCTTTGAAGGCTTCTGATCTTGAATTCCTATTCTAGGCCTTCAAGGAGACGATTGCATCCCTTGGTTTGCAATCGCCGAACCCGTCAAATCGTCACATATCAATGAAATATGAATGAATTGAAATACATTACTAGTTCATACTAATTCAATCTAATTCATATAATGGCCAATTTCACTTGATGCAGCCAGTGAAGTGATTTGTCTTCAAGACTCCCCAACCTTTCCATTTGATCCCCAATGATAGGGACAGCTCTGTCGCAGCATCGAGGTGATTCTCATGTCGCTGAAACTCTTGGTGAAGGACGAGCCGCCCTCCGTGATGACCCGTGTGCTACGCATGGAGCGACTGGTAAAGGAAGGAACTTCGGCAGGTCGACACGGGTTGGTTGAAAAATGCGAAAATCATCAGCAAAAAACGTGATTAAAGCATACAATACAAGGTGGTGAGGCACCCTAGATAGCTAAGTTGACTTTTGATAACTTGGTTAACTGTTTGGTGTGTAGGGAATACAATTATTATTATAGTTTATAAGTTTATCATCCAGCACGCATATCTGGGGGGGGCCTGATCTTGTATTCAAGCAACACCAGTTTTGATTTATGTGGAGTGTATGACCACTGCACGACTCAAATACTAGTTCCTTGACTTAGATATTATTACCTTGAATAAGTATATAATATATGTATTTGATTAGTTTATTTTTCTTCCCATGGTTCAATTTTGACATGTGAGTACGACTATAGACACATTTAAAATTATCTTCTTGGTAGTCTCTTTTTGGTTGCCGCAGCCATGTGTTCTTGGTAGTCTCTTTTTGGTTGCCGCAGCCATGCGTTCTTGGTGCTTTCTTTTTGTCGCCGCAGCCTTTTTTTGAACAAAGATGAACGTCTCATAGTGGCTTTCGCAGCGTTGCGCTGCGGAACTTATGTCCTCGGTATGGCTGCCCAGGGGGAACCCAATTATGTAACCATATGGGCTTGAAATCTTGAGAAAACTCTCAAAGTCGATGGTTGACCATGATTTTTACAAAAATCCCATGGATTTTGGGGCTATACCATGGTTGTGTAGCTAGTGTAGCTAGTCGACTCCATGGAGATTTCAAGGGTTGAGCTGATTGCCTCCTGGTTTCTAGAACGGGCTCGTTACTTCGGAATTGCCCGAGTGTGAGAACGGCGATAGCCAAAACATCGGGAGGTGAGGATTCTTGAATAGTTGTTAGTTTACTAGTTATAGTTCTTTGTGAAACACTTTGCAGTCGGCCCCTAAGCCATGATGAATCCGAGACAACCGTTCCCTGGTTTCTGGTAGTGCCTCAACAGCTTTGCTTCAGGTATTTATGGAGATTGGTGGCTACGATGAGGAGCCAGGGTTTGAGTTCTGCAGATGGTTTTGTCAAGATTTCGTAGATGTGAGCTTCTCGATGACCCGTTTGCCATTTTTACGTGGTTTCACAATTACTGCATCCAGAAGTTGTCTATCACCGGAATGTGAAGCTTCTCATAATTTCTCATAAATTCTTCGTTTGCTGCTGTACGGCAAACCATGGACTGGGAGGATGCATTTCCCATGGGTCACAAGAGAGTGCGCCTTGGTAGTTGGGAAATTGACAGAGCTTGCCCATGTGCCAAGCGTACATCATTCGATAATGCCATTCTTTCCGGACATGTGCGCCATTGACTTTTTCGCCAAGACCAGATTCTCCGGCAAAATCTAATATCAAGAACTGATTCTCCGGCAAAATCTGGTATCAGAACCAGACTATCTGGCAAAATTAAGTATCAAGACAAGATTCTCCGGAAAAAAATAGTATGACAAAACACCTATCCGGCAAAATCTCGTATCAGTAGAGACCTGTCCGGCAAAATCTAGTATCACAAGATTCTACGGCAAGACCAGATTCTGCGGCAAAATCTAGTATCACAAGACACTTGTGCGTCAAAATCTAGTATCACAAAAGTCCTGTCCGGCGAAATCTAGTATCACAAGATCCACCGGCAAAATCTAGTATCACAAGAGACCTGTCCGGCAAAATCAAGTATCAAAAACAAATTCTCCGGCAAAATCTAGTATCACAAAACACTTGTCCGGCAAAATCTAGTATCACAAACCTCCTGTCCGGCAAAATCTAGTATCACAAGGCACTTGTCAGGCAGAATCTAGTATCACAAAACTTCTGTCCGGCAAAATCTAGTATCACAAGATCCATCGGCAAAATCTCGTATCAACACCAGATTCTCCGGCAAATTCTAGTATCACAAGACACTTTTTCTGCAACATCTAGTATCAAAACAGAATTTTCCGGCAAAATCTAGTGTCACAAACCTTCTGTCCGGCAAACTCGAGTATCACTATAAGCAGCAAAATCTAGTAACAAGACGAGATTCTCCGGCAAAATCTAGTATCACAAGACACTTGTCCGGCAAAATCTAGTATCACAAAACTTGCCGGAGAATCTCGTCCTGTTACTTGATTTTGCCGGAGAATCTGGTTTTGATACTAGATTTTACAAAAAAAGGTGTCTTGTGATACTAGATTTTGCCTGCGGACCGAAAACCGCGCTCGTAAAACGCACGTTTTTGAATATCGCTATTTTGGGGTTGGGGGTGGGGTGGGGTGGTGGGGGATGTTAACGTACCTCGTACTTCGTACATGATCTATTGCTACGCTGCTGAGATCTCTGGGATCGTTTTCTACATTACATGTTGCTGCGCTGCTGATGGGGTGTGGTGGGGGGGTGCGGGATGTTAACGTACCTTGTACTTCGTACATGATCCATTGCTACACTGCTGAGATCTCTGGGATCGTTTACTACGTTACATGTTGCTACGCTGCTGATGGGGTGGGGTGGGGGGCCGGGGATGCTAACGTACCTTGTACTTCGTACATGATCCATTGCTACGCTGCTGAGATCTCTGGGATCGTTTACTACGTTACATGTTGCTACGCTGCTGATGGGGTGGGGTGGGGGGGTGGGGGATGTTCACGTACCTTGTACTTCGTACATGATCCATTGCTACGCTGCTGAGATCTCTGGGATCGTTTACTACGTCACATGTTGCTACGCTGCTGAGATCTCTGGGATCGTTTACTACGTTACATGTTGCTACGCTGCTGATGGGGTGGGGTGGGGGGGTGGGGGATGTTCACGTACCTTGTACTTCGTACATGATCCTTTGCTACGCTGCTGAGATCTCTGGGATCGTTTACTACGTTACATGTTGCACGCTGCTGAACCTGGCGGTGGGGTGGGCCGGTGGGGGATTGTTTAACGGCCCTTGTACTACGTAAATCCGATCATGGTAACACTGCTGAGATCTCTGGCTCGTTACGCGTTACACACCTGTTGCTACGCTGTGAATGGGGTGGGGGGGGGGTGCCAGGGGATGGTAACGGCCTGTACTTCGTAACATGAGCCATTGCTACATGCTGAGATTTCCTGGGATCTTTGACGTTACATGGTGCTACGCTGCCTGAATGGGGTGGGGGGGGGGTGGTCAGGGGATCGTTAATCCTTGTAATCGTACTGCATCACCCATTGCTACGTGCGGAAGATCTCTGGGATCGTTTTACTAAGTTACATTGTGTACGCTGCTGATGGGGTGGGGTGGGGGGTGGGGGATGCTAACGTACCTTGTACTTCGTACATGATCTATTGATGCTGCATGGTCTGCTGTTAAGAACTTCATCCCCAATTCATTGAGTTCAAAAAGCAAAGATCTTCTCTTGTATGCCAAGTTCTGGCAATGGCGATATGTCAATGGACACAGTCGCCTCCAGCAAAAAACTATCTCGACGCTGAAACGCCTGGTCTGACAAAGGATGAAAAAGGGTCTTGCACATTTTTGCCAAAAACCCACACGAAACGCAAATTTGGCCAAATTTGCGCGCCCAAATTTGGCCAAATTTTTCCTATCAAACTGTGTGTTTCGCTGTTTTTTTTGAAAACGTGCGTTTTGTGAGCGCGGTTTCCGGTCCGCCGGGTAGATTTTGCCGGAGAATCTTGTTTTGATACTAGATTTTGCCCATAGATCTTGTGATACTAGATTTTGCCGGACTGGAGTTTTGTGATATTAAATTTTGCCGGAGAATCTGGTTTTGACACTTGATTTTGCCGGAGAATCTGGTTTTGATACTAGATTTTTCCGGACAGGTCTCTTGTGATACTAGATTTTGCCGGAGAATCTGGTTTTGGTTAGTTTTGATATTAAATTTTGCCGGACAGGACTTTTGTGATACTAGATTTTGCCGGACAGGACTTTTGTGATACTAGATTTTGCCGGACAGGACTTTTGTGATACTAGATTTTGCCGGACAAGTGCCTTGTGATACTAGATTTTGCCGGAGAATCTCGTCTTGTTACTCGATTTTGCCGGAGAATCTTGTTTTGATACTAGATTTTGCAAAAAAAGTGTCTTACGATACTAGATTTTTCCGGAGAATCTGGTTTTGATATTAAATTTTGCCGGTGGATCTTGTGTGATACTAGATTTTGCCGGACAGGACTTTTGTGATACTAGATTTTGCCGGACAAGTGCCTTGTGATACTAGATTTTGCCGGAGAATCTCGTCTTGTTACTCGATTTTGCCGTTTTGAGACTAGATGTTGCAAAAAAGTGTCTTGCGATACTAGATTTGGTCGGGGAATCTGGTTTTGATACTAGATTTTTCCGGTGGATCTTGTGATACTAGATTTTGCAAAAAAAGTGTCTTGTGATAGTTGATTTTGCCGGAGAATCTGGTTTGGATACTAGATTTTTCCGTTATATTATATACAATGTGTTTTGATACGCTTCATATGGTGTTTCTCCTCCCGTGGAGAAATGTCGTCTAGTGGAGAAATGTCCTCAAGCCCCGACTTAGCACAGGATGCTGTACAGTAGTTGCTGCTCATGGCACGTCAGCGTTGCAATCCCGCCATGTTGCAACTCATTTTCTAGACTAATCATGACCGACGCAACTGTCAAGATAGTCGTGTTTGTAAGAGCCATGGCCCTTTTAGCACAGAGGTATACCCTTCTGATTGATCAATCATTTTTGACTGTCATGGGTCGTGAATGAACGAGAAAACGGATGCAACTTGACATCACGGAATTGCCTTCTTGAGCGCGGTCAACTAACCGGAACAAAAACGGCGTGCGTAAGTGGTGAATGGTGAATAAGAGAAAAACACACATTGATAACGTATTGATATTAGAGAATAACTGGTGTCTTAGCGGAATATAAATTATCACAAAGTAATCTAGTCGTGGTGGTAAATCAAAAGTTGTTCGGGGAAAAAAACATTGGATCGTGCACCGTAAAAAAATTAGCCGTGAACAACGCGTACTCTCGATTTATGTGAGATTTATGTTTGCTAAGTTGGTCAACTTTCCTGGGCGTTTCTATGGTTTATGTGTATTCAAACACTACAATATAGTTAGATGGCTAATAAACAAACTTATAACTAGGGGGCACCACCTTTCATATATACAGTATATCACAGCATATCTTGACATGTCTACATATGAACTATTTTTCCAGATTTGTCCAGAAGTAGTGCCAGATTTGTCCAGAAGTAGTGCCTCCAAGAAATAGGTTACAATTCCAGCACGTATACCCACATAATTTGTGATTTACGTTAGACAAAACTATGGAACAAGATGACACAATGATAAACCATGTGATATTGGTGTTTGGGTACGGTATAACCTTTTCATAACTCATATCAGTGCAATAATCCCGCAACCTGCTGTGATTTACTAGTTCGAAGTTCTCCCATTCATGGTTCCGGTGCAATTACTTCACCTCTTTAAACGTATGGTTCACATCGGTTATTTATATTTGGTCTTTAAAACATATTGAAACTATTTGTAGATCAGATACAGATGATATATCATGATATACATATCTAATGAATTATAGATTATATAGATCAGCCATATTTATTTCTAGTTTGATATAATGATTTGTGAAGACTATAGACACTTGTAGACTTGTATGTGTGAACTTATCCCCGCAGATAAAATCCAACCGCCGAACAAAAAAATCTAGCTATCACAAGAGTCGTGGCCACGGATCACTTTCGGCACATTCCTTGTTGATCGGAACTTGAAGGGTACGAGAACTACATTTCAGACTCAAACACAGGACCTTTTTATCCGGAGAGTATCCTTCACTGAAACGGCCAATGAGTTGTGGACATGTTTCGATTATTTGCCTCTGGTTTTGTCTCCCTTTCGGTCCCAAAAACTGCCAAAAAACGGGCTGCTGCCGATGACGGTTTCTGAGGATCAGTACCCACTTGGTTTCCAAATTTGGCATCCATGGTGTATTTGGTCCCTTGGCATCGGCTGACTCACTTGCGGTGAGGTCCGGCTGTTGAAGGTCAAATGGAAATCACTGGAAATTGGTGTTGCGGAAACCCTAAGAGCTCCTTTTTTGCAGTTGCAAAGCGCTGACGATGATCCAAGTTGAAGACACCTCAGCGAGGGTTTAGCATGAACCCAAGTTTACACTTGCCTCGTGGCCCTGTGGCCACAACAGGGTTTTCAACATGAAGGTAGCCAGCCCAGACTCGTCTTCGGGCCGCCCAGGTCATGGTTTATCAACTAGAACTGGGACATTCCTTTCAATCCACATCCAAGTCGCAACGGAGTAGCTTGGACTTTGGACTCTGGAGCAGCCAGCACTTTTGTAAAGTACCGTTGGGGTGCCCCAATGGCAACTTTTGTTTTAATAAACTTGGTATAATTTGGGTAGCTCTGAAAATCCGGAGTGAGGAGTACCCTTTGATGATCAAACTTGGCAATGATGAACTCACCACTTTTTGAATAGAACATGTAGCAAGAGTATCTATATATTATGTTCAAAATCCATAGTGGGTTTTCCATTGCCAGGCGTTTTTCCTCCTATGGAAGGCAGTGTTCTTGCGGTGTTTGTTCGTTCACCAGAGCGTAAACCCTTACTTGATCTGCACATTTTTAAACTACGAGTTTTCACTACATGAGGAACCCCAGACCTCCTGGTTCTTGGTCTTCATCAGTCATTTTGGGAAGCAAAACTCTCACAACGTCCAGAGCATTTTTGGGAGATTTTGGGAGGTCCCTTTCTTGGGTGGTCGGGTTCCATGATAAGTAATACGTGCTTGTTTGCCGCAAACATTTTCAGATATATTTTAGGGATATCTGCAATATGAGGTAAATAACAGCATGGTCATACCATGATTAGGCATACCCCGTCATACCCCTCTAAAGCATTTTTCCCAAAGCACATTGCCATTTAGTACCAGGGTTATAGCCATAGCCATTCATAATACTTTTCCAAAGGGAAATTGTTACTTCATATGCCTTGTGTTGGGACAAGCCATGCAAGCCCTTTGTGGGCCCATGCTTCACGGGGCGCTTGAAACCGCAGGTACGCTCCTTTCAGCGAGTCCACAACGTCATGACTACAATTGCTGGGGCACGGATCAACAAGACGTCGCCGACTGTGTGTTGGTACGACATGCTGGCTATACCATTACAGTCGCTAAACTGTGGAATGGCAGATGGGTATGCTTAGCATGGGGGTACTGTTATCAGTATCTATGCACACACACACACACACACACACTTTGTTTCTTTCAGAAGTAAAACATGCATTTCGGGGGGCGGTGATGATTTTGACCCATACCCATTTGTTTGGTAATTTTGCTATTGGTTGAGATGAAACACTACGAAACACCCAAAAAGCGAGCATGTGAGCATCCCCTCCAGAGTTTATATTTTTCATGGTAAGCTTTTTACTGGAAAAAAACATTCAACCCAAAACCATTGGATTGCACATAATATACCCGGAGGATGGTTTGGTAGGTGGTGACCTCAACAAACATGGCGGTGGAACCACTGGCAACCCCACCCAGCTCCTCTCAGTGCCTTTTGTTCTTGGAGAAACAACACCCAAGTTCCTGCAGGGAGAACTCCCTAGGTATCAGTTGGTCTTTAACCCCTCTAACTCTCTCTCTCTCTATATATTATATATTATATAATAATAATACTAATTATAATAATAATCATAATACTACTACTAATAATAATACTACAAATAATAATACTGATAATAAGCATAATACTAATAATAATCATGATAATGATAATGATAATGATAATGATAAGGATAAGGATACATACTACATACATACATACATACATACATACATACATACATACATACATACATACATAGACATACAGAAAGACAGACATACATGACATATACAGACAGATAAGACAGATACAGACAGATCAGACAGAAGAGACAACCAGGACATAACAGACAGACATACATGACAGACATACATCCATACAGACATACATACAGACATACATGACAGACACACATACACACAGACAGATACATACATACATACATACATACATACATACATACATACATACATACATACATACATACATACATACATACATACATACATACATACATACATACATACATACATACATACATACATAATACATACATACATACATACATACATACATACATACATACATACATACATACATACATACATACTACATACATACATACATACATACATACATACATACATACATACATACATACATACATACATACATACATACATACATACATACATACATACATACATACATACATACATACAGACGTACAGACATACAGACATACAGACATACAGACATACAGACATACAGACATACAGACATACATACATACATACATACATACATACATATACGCATACCTATGGACATACGTACTTATAAAACATTACAAAGTAACCTCCCTATCTAGAGAAACTCCTCATGTGTGGACAAGCGCTTCAGGTGTCCTTTTACATTTGCCTCATCGTCATGGCGGTGTGCAATCGGAAGGTCAAAGGATCCGACTTGGTGGGCGAACATGAAAGATCTTTGCAGGAACTCTTTCCTATGGAGGCTCCATCACTGCTGGCTTATGTCGAGACGCTTGGTGCAGTATTTGATTTTTTTTCGGAGATTGTTCATGTCCAAGCAGCAACCCGCTGGTCGTAGTTCCTGAGTATCTATAAACATGAAATTATGAATACATAATTATATAAGCATCAAATATATATATATATATATACATTTATTTATTTAATATCATGAATATATAATGTATTATATAATGTATAATGTGATATATCATATATAATGTGATATTTCATATATATATGTCATATATATATATATACATATCAGATTATAGACGCCATGAACATGTCTATTCTTGGGTCCTGGTTTTGATTGCCTTAGCCTATATCAACTTCAATATGATGTGCCACCGATGCGATGGACAAATTGTGGTCCCCGCAAAAGCGATAGATCATGAAATTGAAATGGAAATTGAAAAGTTCATTTTTAATGATGACTTAATAGATGTGAATATCGTGTTTTGACAAAACTAATTGAACTTACTTGCCCCAGGATGGAAGTAAGACTCATGCCGCGAACTAATAAACCTATGAACAAATCTTCAAGCCTGGATGAACATCAGATACCCGCTGGTAATCATCGCGTACTGGAAAACCCACCATTTGATGATTTTCCCAGCTCTATTCACCTCCATTTAGTTTGGGGATTTTCCATAATCTTAGTTCCATACATATTTCATCCCATAAAAACCCATTAAATCCCATTAAATCCCACGAAATCCACCACGAAATCCACCATTTCTTGTTCCGAGGAGAAGCGTCAAGTCCAACTCGACCTTTTGGAGATCGCACCGGCGCTATAAGGTGCCGCAGGAATCCACCGTGGGAATATGGGTGACTTCATGGCATAAAATTGGTGATCAATAGGACATCAAACAGCAAACATGGGGATATCAATAAGGTGATGTTTGGGGATTTTCCATAGCTGTGTTAGTGAAAATACCAGAGGGTATGATGAGTATGATGAACAAAAAACAACTGCAACTATACTCACGTGGCCAACCTAACAAAACAACTACCATTTGGGGATGGTTTATAGCACCCATTTGCGGTGATTTTGGGGATTGTTTATTATTGGGGCTACCACATTATATAAATACGTCTACATATCCAATACCCAGCTAAATTAAATTTGGGGGGATATATGATCCAACCAAAATGAATTTGAGGATCCAGCCAAAAATACGCGAGTATACTACAGGTTTGTGGATGAATCTAAGGATCGCCAGCCACGAGTGTTTCTTCTGAAGGGTTGACTCCAGCAATCCCTGGTTCCGAAGGTCCAGCACACACATACACACTGCTGTGGCGCATAGTTCTTACCCTCTGGTAAACAAACATAGCTATTGAAAATGGCCATTTATAGTGGATTTACCCATTAAAAATGGTGATTTTCCATAGTTATGTTCGTTTACCAGAGGGTACCTCAACCAATTGGATAGGTTGAATTTGGTTTACAGCAACCCCGAAATAGACAGAACTTGGAAAACATGGAAATGAAGGGGCAAAACATCATGAACTAACACCCTGCAAAAACATATTGGCATACTTTTTTCGGGCTTAGCAAAGAAACCAAAAATTGATTCCAGTTGTGCCAGTTGTCAGTGTGGGCGCTACCGGACTAATCCCATCCCCCATCATCCATGGTTTGGTAGGGGATTTCCACATTCCATTGGGCCATTTAGAGGGTGTTAAAGGGGCATTAGGGAGTTGGGATGAACCAACAGGAAAACCATTGGCTTTTGGGGTACCATGGGTACCCCCGAAAAAAACTTGGACATACCCATTTCCACTGGTAAAACGCGGCCCCTCTTTCCAACCTTTCTGTAAATATTAGGGGGATGGTACCGGGAGCCAGGCACAGTCCGTGGTCTTATCGCTGTCGTGGACCTTGATGTCCTTTGGTGTCTACTGGGAACTGATGCAGGTGCTGTGTAGACTGGATGACTGGGCCGTTTGGGGGCGCCAAGAATGGGATAGGGGGTGAAGAAGCAACACATAAGATACGGAAGTGGATTAACTGGGTCTATATGGAGGTTTCCTTAAATGGGGGATCCCGCAAACCATAGGTTTCAATACTAAATAGACTAATTTTGGATGATTTAGGGACAACTCCATGTCAGAAACCTGCATATGTACACTTGGGTCATACGACGTTTCTGAACCGCTGAAGTAAGATGATTAACATGATGGAGGTAACATGACGAACTACTCGTATGATCTCATACGTACATTGTCTAGGAAGTAAGTGAGTAACATGATGATATGATGGATGCCAGCGGCTTTTTCTGTGTAACTCGACTGGTCCATGATGCAAAGTTGATAGATGTTGATAGATTTATTTTTTTGCCACATTGCAAGGAAACATTTTTTTTCATAGGGTAGGATCTGCAAGACCAGTCATGTTTTGGTGGCTGCCAGCATCACTTCCACCACTTCCCAAAAGTTCCAGGGAGCGAAGACCAAAGTGGCACAGGCCTCGGGCTGGGGTGCCTGTTGTGTTGAAGAGGTATTTTTCACTTCGGGATGCAGTTGAGATTAATGTTTAGAGATAGCCAATAGTTGCTATCCCAGTTGGGATAGAATTCCTATAAACATTATAAACATGATGTTACATATCCAATACCTGGAACTGCACCCCGAAGCGACCAAAGGCCTCGGGACCTATATGCTCTGTGTCTCAACAGCATGGTGAAAAATTCTTCGTTGGCGACGCAAGTTTCAACAATCAACCTATACTGCGAGAGTAACCATGTTAACCTATTTATGTTCTAGGAACACATTGTGTGTGTGATATCACAAGACCCAGTATCAAGAGTCAACCCAATTTGTTTCAGTATATATCAACTTCTTGCCCATCATAGTGTGCCATGCAATGCCCCAAACATGGTGTTTCTTGCTGATTCTGCAATGTTATGCCGGATGGTCCACTCTCAAGCAACCAGGAACGGTGAAAAAGATGAACGAAAACAACCGGGCACTGCTTTACATGGAGATGGCTCACGATACTTAGTTAATTATTCAATGCTGGTTGGTGGTTTGGAACATTTTGTTTTTCCCATATATGGGGAACAATCATCCCAACTGACTCATATTTTTCAGAGGGGTAGGTCAACCACCAACCAGCAATGTTATTCAGTTATTCTCCAAACATATCTCCAGCTCTTTGGATGTTTGTGTGACATTGTTTGACTCGAAAACTTCACCACATCGGTGTGTAGCCCATTTTGCCGGCCAGCTCCCCAGCTCTTTGGATTCGCTGCGCAGCTCTGCCAGGTGGTCTTTTGCACAGCTCTCGTGTGCACGTACGCCTTGCAGTACACCCTCCTGAGGTCAGGGATGTGGAAGCTCTGGGCTGAAGTGACCAAGATCTGAACTTAATGGATGTCCCTTTTCCACTTGTTGATAGAGGGGTCCCCCCATACAACAATCAGATACTGTACAATCAGTAGATGCCAAACGGACCCCTTTATTTATTTTATGTTTGCCGAAAGGACGCAGACATGCAAGCACGTGTGCAAACCAAACCACATAAATATATAATGATAAATATGAGACAAATTACGATAACCGGTTGTTTAATGGATTTGCTTTTGAACAGACTCCACCATGCGACACTAATATGCAATGTAATACAATTATATAAATATAGAATCATATCCATCCACGTACATGGATGGGGATGCTTTGCCTTGTTTGCCATGAGTTCTTATTAAATTGTTTTTTTCCAAGACAAAGAGGGAGTTAACTATCAATGGTGACTCCGCCATCTAGGGAAACTCTTGGAACATCTTGGGGAAGATGTTATTTTTAAACTATTTATATTGGAACTATTGGATCATATTGGGAAACTATTGGGAAACTATTGGGAAACTATTGGGAAACTATTGGGAAACTATTGGAACTATTGCAACTATTTGAAACTATTGGAAGATATTTTTATTTTTTCTGTTGCCCAGGCAAATCCTCACGTTGCCCAGGCATGTGTTGCTTCGGGTGATCTTGCACCTTGAGGGGATTAAGGCGCTGCGATTCAAGTGGAGGTTTGACACCACCTGACTACGTCAAATGTGGCACGTTAAAGCATGGCCATGTCTTCATTAAATAGGCGTTCAGAATACCCTCTGGTAAACTAACATAGCTATTGAAAATGGCCATTTATAGTGGATTTACCCATGCAAAATAGTGATTTTCCATAGCTATGTTAGTTTACCAGGCCGGGTACCCATTATGACTAGACCCTATGGTGGGATGACCACACCAAGCAACACTCTGCAGCGGACACATTTGATGGGCTTTCGTTGTTGGTTTTGAAGGGAGAGCTGAAAGTGATCTGAAATATTGGGAAAGCAGTTGGACTATATTTCTGTATGAGGCACACGAAAAGAGTCTTCCAAGAGATACCAGAAAAGGTTGTCTCTGAAATGGCATCCAGCATGTCCCAAAAATTCCTGGCACAGATTGCTATCTGAAGGTTTGCATCAATTGGCTTTGTTTCAGCAATTTTGAGACATCCATGGTGCCATATATATGAATCCATTGTGCCAGCCATTGTTTCAACAGACATCATCGTCGCCTTCTCCAATTTACCACGAAAATGATCATTTCTCCATTAAGACCAAATCCCAGAGACATCAGTTGCATCATCAGCGGCGAGCCATCTCAATTCCTCCTTGGGATCCCCGGCAGCTACCCGTCCGGCGGCTGCTCGTTTCCAGGCACGTGCAGCCGCCATGGCCTTCTGTGACGAGGAAGGAGCAGCTGGGCAAAATGATCATCCCAGTGTGACCGTGGGAGAATTTCAGTGCCATAAACCATTCCTCTATTATACCCATTATTACAAGGTGGTGCCCCCAAGATAGCTAAGTTGGTGAACATAACTCCAATAACTATAGTAACTAGTGATATAATTATCTATAGTTAATGTTTTTGTAGACTAATTTATAGCTAGGGGGCACCACCTTGTACCCATTACTGAATATGCATCATAGATCAGACATATATATATATATACATAGATATATAACTATGTTCCATCCCCATATTCTAATATGTGATTTATATACCCCTTGTTACCTATTACTCAAAATAAATTGGGCAATTCAGCTTATTGCAGCAACGAAGAGAAATTAAGTATGCAAATATTTGGTTTGGCGTTCAAAGTGAAGCCATTGTATATCATGGTGGGAATGGCTACAAGGACGGATGGCGCGGCATACAAAGAATGGCAGACTGATGCAGACTGTGTGGGCCGATCGGCACCCCAAAAATGGTACTTAAAAACCCCAACCGTTGGTCTAATGGGATTGGTCTACCTGGCTAATGGGGATTGGTCCCAGCCATAAATGACCTTTGAACATTGAACGGGGTGTTACGATGGGATTGGATAAATGTTTTTCATTGCCCATGTGGGGTGTGAGAAAGTGGGTGGATGCACCAAAATCATCCCAAATCCAGAGGTACTCTTTTGTGTTGGTAGGGCCCAGTTGTGGTTTCACTGCAAGGCACCAGATGCTTAGATCAGGAATTGAATATGCATGAAGCATGCTTGGTAATTTGTGGATATGAAATATACATATATATAATATGTATCCGACGATTCCCAATCAGTATGTCCCGTTCGTGTTTGTAACATGGCATGGTTGCTTAGAGTTTCGATGTTTTGCGGCGTAGATGGGGCGTAGACCACTCTTTACCTGAGCCACAGCGAATGTTCACAAGGTCGCAACTACCTAGCCAGTTCAGATATCCTCCGGAAATCCAACATGACTTGCTGCAAAATATCCCATTTATATCCATGTATTGTTGATGTTCTCAACGAACTCAACTTCCATGGCTTCGGGGATTTCTTCGCCATGTACAGCCGACCGCCGTCCTCACCAAACGAAATGGATGGGCTCCCAACCGTCTTTGTTGATGTTGGTTTCTAACATTTATAGCCCCCTTCGATATATCTATGGGAATGAGTCAAAACCTATGATATCTATCTAAATTATTCTAAATTGGGATAAAGACGCAGTTTACAAGCTTTGAACCATACCCATACCCCCCATAAATATATTATATTATATTTATATCTACCATACACCCAAGAGTTCTTAGACGGTCGAATTTCCAAGGTCTTACCCTTTGACTCAGCACATTCGGTCTATGTGTCGCTCAGCCGCAGCGATGTGATGAGTCCGAGACATGAACATGATGTGAGTCCTGTTTCAATATAATATGTTTATTTAAGGTGGTTTAATATAGTTTCAATTGAAACCAAGGAGGAAGAACGCACCATAAATAGTGTGTTTTACGCATGCCAAGTGGCTTGAATGTCCATGTTTCATGACATCCAATCCTGTCACTGGTTTTGGTGTACCAAAAATGCTACACAGCATCCCAAAGAGATTTTTTTCAGGTGGTTCTCAGTTCGCCGGAATGTCCAAGCGCAGAATGAGGCGCGACAATTTCGGAACATCCCTGGGTTTGGAGCCTTGAAATCATGGAAAGATATGGAAAGCCGTGAAAGATATGAAAGATGGACGATCTACACCCTCTGGTAAACCAACATAACTATAGATAATCACCATTTTTAATGGGTAAATCAACTATAAATGGCCATTTTCAATAGCTATGTTTGTTTACCAGAGGGTAGATGGTTTGCATCCGAAAAATGGGACCAAAAAACACATTCCAATGCCACTTCTTATGACGTTGGGATCTATTGTGAGCTGCCACTTGGGTGCAGCAAATGTGGGATCAGATATCAAACATGTACATTTGTGGTCTTGGATTTTGACACATATCCAACTCACTTTTGGTAAGTATACAGATATGTTATCACCATTTCCCACAGTTGCTTGAATCCTCTCAGATTGTTTTTTCTTAACCTTCTTAACCTTGCCTCCTTTCATGTTGAGAGCGGCTGCAGGTGGCATACCAAAACGCTTCGCCCATTTTCACCGCGATGCTCATTTGCGCCGCGGCGTGTTCTTGCTGGGTGGTCAGGCGCTCAGGTCTGTGATGAAGTACTGTAGCCTATAGGTAGCCAAGTTGGTTTAGAAGTTGGTGAACAACTGTTTTAAGTGGTAGATTTAGATATATCATGAGATATATATATATAGTCTACCAAATTGTTTCATGGGTTTTATAATCGACTTTGATAACTAGGAGGCACCGCCTTGCAGTCCATAGTAACATCATGATTATATCTGTAAGGATCGGCATGTCTTGGGAGTACCACATGGAATATGTATACGTATATATATATATATATATTATATATATACACATGTATGCATATATCAGTGGTCTCATCTAGTGTTGAGATATCAGATTCTATCGTCATTGGATTGAATCTAAGGAAACATCTTACAGAAACCCCCACAACTTTGATGATAAACACCATGGTTTCTGCAGTTACGCTTTCCCCATAAACCAGCTCATGGATTGATCATGATTAGAGTCTATAAATATATATATATATATGTATATTTCTATTGTTTATTATTAGTATCAATTCCACTTCTGGTAAATTAGCATAGCTATGGAAAATCACCTTGTTTGATTCAAGATGTTCCACTTGTATCCTCTTATTGTCAACCCGTTATTCATACTCATGTGGATTCGGGCACTTCAAATCTGCTTGGTACATTGAAACTATCATTCCAACCCCATCGGCATTATTCTAAAACCGTATTGACTGGGTTATTCCTTTAGTTGTTTTAACCATACGGATACTTGATATATGTATGTATATATATATGATATTATATACTAACTTAAGTTACTTAAAGTGATTTAATGATGAAACATGTTACGCAAGTGTTTCTTCATGTGTTTATTCTCCTATGTGGAACAAGCAGCCGGTGACGCTGAGATCTCACAGCTTCGGCAGAAGGGCATCACTGTCCAACACCCAGCCGTGGGGATGGCTGACGTCAAGCACCGTGGTAGGGCGGCTGATTTCAAGCAAAACAATAAAGTATAAACAATGGGCTAAACGATATGTTATATATATACTTATATATATGGATCAATATCTAATTTATACACATTTGAATATGAGGCTGGTGTCAAAATCATTGTCCCGTCAGCGCCATTTTGGATCCGAACTTTCTGGAGGACCAAATAAAACTTTCGTGTTGCGCGCATTCGAAACATGCGAAACTGATTGAAACTGTCTACATTGCAGCGTTTTTTGATCGCATTCAGTCACTGGCTGGAAAATCCTCTGATGAAAAATATCCAGCCAGTTTTAGCTCCATGAAGATTTCGGGGATTTCCCGTTGCCATGTCAAACATGGCCGTTGTGGTACGCAACATGAGCCACGTAGTTAGTTAATCCTATTAAGTTTCATTAAATCACATTTTTCTCGGTTGCAGTCTACCAACTTTTCCTAGTTCTCTCCCTGTTAAATTCCATGGAATCCCCATTTTGACGAATGTTTTTCGGGATGTGTTGAACCCGCCAGGGACCACCCAGGTCTTTGGTCTCACAAGCCGCGGTGGCGCATCGCTGATGGCCGGGCGCTCGGTTAGCTGCGGTTAGCTGCGATACGGTAGGATCTGTAGCCGGAGATAGTGCCGCATGGTGGACTGATGCGGGTGGTTACTGTGGGTGGTTGCACAGATTTAGTCTACTTTTAGTATTAACCATCCAGGTATTGGGGTACCCAATTTTGACCCATACCCACATAACCACTATAGTCTGTAGTGTTGAATGTGTTGACCATTGATAATGTTGTTTAGTTGAGAATGGCGTTTGATTGTTAACCATCTATGGTTGGGTGTCAACAATTGTTGGTTATAGACCTGAATGATCTGGTATAGTTTGAGGACTGGGTTTGTCTGAAAACTGACGGGAAAACCGCATTCATTCTAATGGTGAATCATCACTTGTCCATTCAAACTGCCTTTTTTGAGTTTATTCAAAGTTCAGATAAGATAAAGCCATACATATAGAAACCATAGATTTTCATACCCAAAAGGAGAAATCCCTTATGTTTGACGGCAAGACCATGATTTTTTGCCTATTTAAATCACATTTTTCCCAAGGTGCCCTGGAAAGCTGGGGACTATTTAAGAGGATGACAGCCTGCACTTCAGGTCGTTGCCAGTGCGTTGGTCTCCAGTATTTTCGTTGGAGTTTTTCTGCGCCAGGGAACCCGCCGAGCGGAGGGTTTGGCCGCAAGCTGTGGTAATTGGATGCTAGTTTCACTGGACTTGTGTTTATGCTCTTTTTTCTTCGGAAATATGTTTGAGTATTTTTGTGGATGTTTTGCACACGGAAACGGAACATTACATAAAGTTTGTTCAGTTTTTTTGTTTGTTGCATAGTTTGACGACCTTGAATGTCTTGGCTATTTGGGCGTCGGCGAGTTTTGGTACAGTGCGCAAGCCCTCATACGCATGCAGTCTGGGTATATAGGTAGCCACCTGTGCACTAATCAATTGAAACAGGAAATTGATGGCCCAAGCCATCAGAAGCTCAGGGTTTTGAGGTCTGTTCACACTAACTACATGAGACTTTTGGTATTTTTCTGCGGATTTCTATCTGAGATGCTACTTGCCAACATCCGGGCGGGTTAAAATGGTGGCATTTTGGCGGCATAAGCTGCTAGTAACTAGCACCAGCCCTTGCTTGGCCAGTTGAGAGGATAGAAATGGATGGAATATGATAGAATCTATCAAGGAGTCCGGAAGTCCGGCATGATCCATGAGCGGCAAGCTTACCCTCAGGTAATTTAAGAGGTTGCTATGGAACATCACAAAATTTTGAATAGCCACAAAAATTCTTCATTGAGGGATTGGAACTCAGCCTCCAAGTGCATCCCCTTCAAGAAATCCCCAGCGAATCAGGAACCTTACTGGAGATCAGCAAGTTGGAGGATGCCCACGTCACTCGACCTTCCCCATGGCGTCGCAATGTTTTTTTTGACGGACATGATGGGACCCTGAAAGGGAGTACAGTACAACCCAGATCAGGATTTGCAGGTTCTACGATCTACATCTAGCATGCCATTTGAATGTCATTGGGCATGGTGGTTTGAAACATGTCTTTCTCGGAAAGCTGAGCTACATTGAGCTACAACCTTGACATACTGTGGTCTTAGAAGAACTGGCGCATCGGAAGGGCCTGCCAAGCCGTTGATGATCGTGAAGGTCAGTTTTATATGGCTATTGGCCAGCGTTTCTTTGGACCTTGGATACCTTGGCGGTCCCCATAGCCCAAAAACTATGGCTACCCCCAACTCATCATACTCATCCATTTGATGTGAGGATGTTCCATTTAAATAACCAGCGTTTGTGGGATACCCCCAGGAAAGCCGAAAAAATATGGCAAGTAGGGACGCCCCTCTGAGGTCCGACAGCTCCGGATTGCGCACCTCCGCTTGGAGCACGCCAGATGTATTCTGAAAGTCAGGGGCCTCAGGGGTCCACCGATATGATTGTGTTCCATTTTTTTGGGGGGAATATAATGATATGATATGATATGATATGAAATGATATGATATGATATGATATGAAATGATATGATATGATATGATATGATATGAAATGATATGATATGATATGATATGATATGATATGATATGATATGATATGAAATGATATGATATGATATGATATGATATGAAATGATATGATATGATATGATATGATATGAAATGATATGATATGATATGATATGCAATGATATGATATGATATGAAATGATATGATATGATATGATATGAAATGATATGATATGATATGATATGAAATGATATGATATGATATGATATGAAATGATATGATATGATATGATATGATATGATATGAAATGATATGAAATGATATGATATGATATGATATGATATGAGCCACTTCCAAAACCCCCTTATTCATTTTTAGTAAGCGGCTTTCAATAAGAACCTAGCGTAAGCAAAACCCTGGTGTGCGCAAGCCCGCGTAAGCATTAGCGTAAATACCCGCGCGGAAGCCAAAACTGCGGGTGTGTAAGCAGCGCGTAAGCTGCCGCGTAAGCATTCCCTTAGCGCCTTCACAAGAACAAGACCTTTTGGACACAGCTCATATGAACATAGATAACAATCTCACTTGAACAAATCCCTATGGATCCAAACACTGTCTGAGAAGCTACTTAACCCCCTAAATCATACCTCAAGTACTTCCTAAGAATGTACTTGGATCCATAGGGACTGGTAAGTGAATGGTGGTACCATGTCGTATACGAGCTCCCGAAAACTGGAGCAGAATTGGTGGCTGGATATAGAGATCACAAGCGAAACAAGGGTGAGTTTATTTTGGGGTTCGGATGGACTTGCTTTCAGTGGATCAAGCAAGAGTGCATAAACACACACACACATATATGTATATATAGTATACATATATAGTACATTATATATGTATATAAATATATACATGAATACAGTATACAGTATACTGTATATACCAAAGATTAAAAAAAAAATGATAGTAATTTACGCTATCTAAGTCGATCTAGCTGTCGCAAAAAAAATGATCTGATCAGATTCCCGGATCGATCTCCATTCAATTCAGCGGTTTGATCATGTTCCACATGCTAATCAAGTAGGATATCCCCCATCTCGAGACAGCCATCTGCTTCAAACCATGAGCCTTTAAAATGTTCAAACATGGTCAAACCGTCAAACCGATGTTTTTTTTTTAAGATGAGCCACAACCAGGGCCCCTTGTGATACGAACGCGCAAATCGGACTGCGGTGGTTTTCGGGTGAAGAAACAGAGTGGGGATGGATTATCCCAGCGTTGCTGGGATAGATAGCCATCGGCCCCGGTTGGAGATTGTCCCACCTTGGCCCATGGTTGGCTTTCCCAGGTGCAAAGAGAGATGGAACCGCCTCGTGGCTGCAAAGCTGGGCTTGAAACAAGATGTTGAAGTGTCTTTATCAATGCCTGGAACTAGGGCAGTATCCCAATGATATTTTGGGGTTACTTTGGGACTATACCTTTCTGTCTTTTTGTTTTTGAGCAGACATGGAGTATCTACCATGTGCATGGGGGATTCAGTGCACCGATGGTAGGGATTCTTGAAAGCATCCCACAGATTGCATGGCCAAAGAACGGAGAATCAATTTGGTGTCACTTCTGAAGTACCCAATTTTCGGGCTAGCTCTATCCCAATTCTGTTTTTTTGTGTTGCTTTAAAAGACAAAATAGGAGTACGTACCCATATGCTCCATGTATGGAATATTTACCCACATTTGCCCTAAAAATCACCCAAACGTAGGTAAATATATACCGTACATGGAGCGTAGAGAAGCCTCGATATTTTTGCCAGCCAAGGTCGAAAAAGCGCCTCACGCGCGCCTGGGGGCCCGGCGGGGCGGGGGCCCGGCGGGGTGGGTTGAACGATTTTCTCATTTTCACCGAAATAAAGGATGATGAGACTAATAATAACTCAACTAGGTGATAACATATTTGTTGTAATATGTTGTAATAACTAATATATTAGTTTATAATGATAATAACACCTATAATAGCTATGATATGTTATAAATAAATATAATTACATCTATAATAAGTAGACTAAATACATTTGTTGGGCGCTGAGAACACCAACCAGAAACGGGGTTCATTCCCTTCTTACATATGTATGAAACGAATGGATTTGGCAACCTGCTGTGCACCAAAATTGATGGGTGATTTGGATCTGAGATACATCGGCCTGAAGATGGCTGCGATTTAATCGTTAAAAAGTCATGTTACGCACGGCCTGTTTAGGTTATTCTGTTTACGCCATGGATTATTCGATTGTGTAATAAGCTCCAGGTTTTTGAACTGTGGATGGAAGAAATCCTGCACCAGTCTGTAGACGGTTTATCCACGTTAATCACATTGCAATCCCATGATTTACAGTCTTTCAATGTCTTTCATACTTTCCAATGGCTACCAACTGCGAAGCCCACCCCACTGTGGGCATCCTGGACTTCGCCGCCAATGCTCAGGACTTCTCCATTTCTACCGTTGGAGATGAGCAAGACATGGAGGGAGCCACTGATCCCAGCAACGGGATGAGCTTTGGTTCCCAACGGTGGGAAAAAGTGTAGACTTGGAGTTACTGGTTAATAATGGTTAGTAATGGTTAATAATGGTTAGTAATACCACTATATATACATATATATATATCATATGTATACAGTATCTGGTTGGTGCCTTGGATTTTTTTTTTTCCATCTGTTGGGAATGGAATAATCAATTTCATCATCCCAACTGACGATTCGTCCATCATTTTTCAGAGGGGTAAGTATACCACCAACCAGTTCTCCCTGAGCCCTGCTGAAGCATGACACAGATACCCTTGAACCATCTTGAACCCTTGAAGACTTGCTATTGGATCTGATAAGCAAATCGTACTGGGTCCCGCGGATTTTTGTCAAGAGTGCCTCATGTGAAAACTGTTCTGGAAAGTTTTTTCCCCACCTGCCAGGTGAGGGTTGTTAGATTTTATGTCAGTTGCCTCCTCCTCCTCCTTCTCCTCCTTCTCCTCCTCCTCCGCCTCCTCCTGCCTCGTCCTCCTCTCCTCCTCCTCCTCGTCCTCCTCGTCGTCCTCGTCGTCCTCGTCGTCCTTGCTCAACTGCGACCCGCGATCCACAGTGTTCTCTGCCGGACCTCAACCACGACCATCCACGCCCAGTGTTCCCTGCCGGACCTCAACCACGACCATCCACGCCCAATGTTCCCTGCCGGACCTCAACCACGACCATCCTCGCCCAGTGTTCCCTGCCGGACCTCAACCACGACCATCCACGCCCAGTGTTCCCTGCCGGACCTCAACCGCGAGTATCCACGCCAAGTGTTCCCTGCCGGACCTCATGTAGGAAGATATGGGACAAAGAATGTGCAGAAGAAAGTTAGAAAGAATGTCAGAAAGAATGTCAGAAGATATGCAAGAAGATATGCCAGAAGATATGCCAGATAGAATGCCAGATAATATGCCAGAAGATATGCCAGATAGAATGCCAGAAGATTTGCCAGATAGAATGCCAGAAAATATGCCAGAAGATATGCCAGATAGATATGTCAGAAGATATGCCAGAAGATATGCCAGAAGATATGCCAGAAGATATGTCAGAATATATGCCAGAAGATATGTCAGATAGAATGCCAGAAGATATGTCAGAATATATGCCAGAAGATATGCCAGATAGAATAGAATGCCAGAAGATATGTCAGATAGAGTGCCAGAAGATATGCCAGATAGAATGCCAGAAGATTTGCCAGAATATGCCAGAAGATATGCCAGATCATATGCCAGAAGATATGCCAGATAGAATGCCAAATAGAATGTCAGAAGATATGTCAGATAGAATGCCAGAAGATTTGCCAGTAAGAAAATGTATAAATGTCATGGTGGGGATCACACGAAGTAAAGTAATTCATTGTGGCAAATTGACTTGAGACATCTTGAGACTATGGCAAATTTGATTGCATGCAGCATGCAAGAATATACCATCCGTAAATTAAACCATGGCCACTGTGAAATGCCCCTGAGTTGTTCTTTCTTAACAAACAAACCGGTACTACCCTCTGGTAGACTAACATAGCCATGGAAAATCACCATTATTAATGGGTAAATCAACTATAAATGGCCATTTTCACTAGCTATGTTAGATTACCAAAGGGAAGTACAATTGCCCATAATATGAAGGAACCTGTCCAAGCCGGCCCTTCATTGCCTCATGAGGCCTTGCTGATGATTGAGAGAGTGATATCGCTTTTGGAGTTGGCAACCCAGTGCCGCACGTCCAAAAGCTTGGAACCCTGAAGTGTTACCCTCTGGTTATGACTAACATAGCCATGGTATAAATGGCCCATAGAAATAGATGGTTTACCTATTACAAATGGTGATTTTCCATGGCTATGTTAAATAACCAGATGGCATCATTTTTTCAAAGTAATGTGCTTAAAACAATAATAAACCACCGCATTTTTTGATGGTTTAGACAACCCATTTATGGTGATTTTGGGGATGGTTTATTTTTGTTTTAACCACATTACCCTGCATTTGTTGCCATGTGTTTTCTATCGACTGGATTTCGACTACACCGCTGGTGTTTCTGTTTATCCACAACCGCAACCAATGGGGTGTGTATAGTTTGCACATCAGAAGTCTGGCAAGTCATTTGTATTTGCATCCTCTATCTATCCCAACCTTGTAGTATCTGTATCCTAGCCATTGAGCACATGTTCAGCCGCCACCCAGGCAGCATGATGTGAAGCCAACCATCTTTGGAGTTTCTTGGCCCGTCCTCATCGAACAGTGTTCACATCCTTGTTTGTTGATGTTTGTTGGCGATTAGTTCCGGGGTTATATTATCCGATAGATATGTTTTTTTTTGTTGTCGTCGTCGTCGTCGTCGTCGTCGTCGTCGTCGTCGTCGTCGTCGTGGTGGTTGTTGTTGTTTTTCTTTTTTTTTTGTTTGTTTGTTTCTTGTTTGTTTCTTGATTGTTTGTTGTTTGTTTGTTGTTCGTTTGTTGTTTGTTTGTTTGTTTGTTTGTTGTTTGTTTGTTTGTTTGTTCGTTCGTTTGTTTGTTTGTTTGTTTGTTGGTGTTTGTGTTTGTGTTTGTTGTTGTTGTTGTTGTGTTTGTTGTTGTTGTTGTTGTTCTTGTTCTTGTTTTTGTTCTTGTTCTTGTTCTTGTTCTTGTTGTTGTTGTTGTTGTTGTTGTTGTTGTTGTTGTTGTTGTTGTTGTATGTTGTTGTTGTTGTTGTTGTTGTTGTTGTTGTTGTTGTTGTTGTTGTTGTTGTTGTTGTTGTTGTGTGTTGTTGTGTGTTGTTGTGTGTTGTTGTTGTTGTTGTGTGTTGTTGTGTGTTGTTGTTGTTGTTGTTGTTGTTGTTGTTTGGTTGTTTGGTTGTTGTTGTTGTTGTTTGTGTTGTTGTTGTTGTTGTTGTGTGTTGTTGTGTTGTTGTGTGTTGTTGTTGTTGTTGTTGTTGTTGTTGTTGTTGTTGTTGTTGTTGTTGTTGTTGTTGTTGTTATTGTTGTTGGTTGTTGGTTGTTGGTTGTTGGTTGTTGGTTGTTGGTTGTTGGTTGTTGGTTGTTTGTTGTTTGTTGTTTGTTGTTTGTTGTTTGTTGTTTGTTGTTTGTTGTTTGTTGCTTGTTGCTTGTTGCTTGTTGCTTGTTGTTTGTTGCTTGTTGGTTGTTGGTTGTTGGCTGTTGGTTGTTGGTTGTTGGTTGTTGGTTGTTGGTTGTTGTTGTTGTTGTTGTTGTTGTTGTTGTGGTTGTCGTCGTCGTCGTCGTCGTTGTTGTTGATTTGGTTGTTGATGTTTTGTTGATGATTAGTCCTTATTTGACAAAGTCGTTCCTGTTTTGGGAAAACAGTGGTTCCACGCGGGGGAGTGTCTTGCGAAAGTCGTGCCATGTGTGCCTTCAGCAAACTCTGGAGTCTGGATATGTAACCCGTATTCTTATGTTATAATGTTAGTCATCATTATCTCCCTGTGATTTTCCATGGCTGGGGTGTATTAGTTAATTGAATGTAAGACAAGTTGATTTACTTGGATGTTGCAGTTGTGTTGTTCCAACCGCTATGATCAAATGGCAAAGGTGAGACTTTTCAATTCGGGTCCTAAATCTTTGGACAATGCCGCTGGGCTCTGAGTTATATAAGAATCCCCTTCCCCTTTTTTTTCATACCCCCGTTGTGGGCCTCTAAAATGAATCAATCCACTAAACACATGTTTTTAGAGGGGTACTTAATATCAAGGGGATGGGATTATTGCTAATTGCGCCTGTTTCCCACTTTCAATCCCCTGGCAAAGATAAAGAGCAAACATACCGCCCTATTATCATCGACCACCACGAAGAGATGATCATCAAGTGGTTACGTGTGGTTTCGCTAAACTATGTAATGTCATGTAGTCAGTCCTTAGTCTTGAGGTATCGCAACTATCTGCAACTACTGTATACAACTTTTAACATTTTTTTTTTGCCACAGTTGTCACATTAGTCGTTCGTTACTGTATGGCCCTTGCCGCAGTGGGCTCATTGCAGTCCCTTCATCCTGCCGCTGCCAGGTTGAGATTGGATCCAAGTCCTTTCAGGCCGTTCTTAGAGACGGAATGAGTAGGTCCATACCTGGACGTCTAAGTTGTTGAAAGGTGAGTAGTTGCATCTGAGATCATATGGGGGTTTCTTACAATGGGGGATCCCCAAAATGGATGGTTTATTTCATGGAAAATCAATTTTATAAATGGATGATTTGGGGGTACCCTCATTTTAGGAAACCTCTATATGAGTACCTCTATAGATACCATTAGCATAGTTGAACAGGCTAGCAACGACCGATTGAAATTTACCCGACAGACAGCTGCATCTTGGTACCACTAAAGGGACACAGAGCAGCCAGAATCCCCACTTGTTTGTGGATGATTTACCCCTCAAAAAGTTGAAAAGATGGGTGTCGTTGTTGGTGCAGAGAGTGTAGAATGATTGATGTCTCCAGTATGCCGGCAAATCATCTTCATGGATAGCCTGGATTAGGAAAGTGTTATGGCCTTCCAAAGTCTTGACAGCATCAAAAAAAATGCGAAAAGACAAAAACATCCCAACTCTTGACTTGCAAATTCCGCCAACTGTCCATTCTCTTCCAACCTCTTGGGTTCTGTCATTTTTTTGGGAAACTGACCCAGACTGATCCTCAGTTTGGGGGTCTCCGGGATGACCATGGCACATTTGGCCCATAGGTGGTCTATGCTGCGCTGCTCTCGAACCTTTGGCCCCCCGGACGTGTTTGACGATAAGTAGAACTCTCAGTTGGTTAGTTGACATATCCAAGCCACAAGTACAACAAATATAATTTATGAATGAATATGAATCTACAATATAATTCATATATATATATATTATACATATTATGTATATATATATATATGTATATATAATATACACATATGATATATATATATATATGTAAACTTTGCAGCAACATGCAGCAATCAAAGGACGGGCTTGAATCACAGTCAGGCTCAGTTTGGATAAGACCAAGGGTCAGTAGGCCGCCACAGACACGGTCGTAGAATCCAGTGCATGAGATGGGCTGAAACCACCCAATGATTTGTTTGCATGATCAAGCCTTTACCACTCACAAAATGAGCATCAATGATATGTACATCAATAGCTGCGCCATGTTGGAAAAGGGAATCTAAGATTGGCTATTTAGAACATCATTACCCAGCCCAAAAATCATCTGCTTTTGACATCATCTCACCGTATCTCACCTGTGCCAGGTATCTTTTGGTTTGGGGCGTGCTGATTCCCGTGATCAATGCGCACGACGACTAGAGTGACGTGACCAGTGCCAGCCGCGGGAAGATTAGAGGAAAAATATAGATTTTAAGCGCATCCTTTAATGATATTTAAAGTGTCTTGGGTCAAAATGAGTACTGTAGTGGATCTGAAGAATCTGAAGATTCTTTGGTTCAACAGTAGACCTGACGAAAAAATTCACGTCGGCCCAGAGAGCGGGCTTCACATTTTGACCCACACTCTACTAGCAAAAGCGTAGTTCAAATTGAAACACACCTACCAATGGTCTGTTTCGTTTCCTAGTCTGTGACTCGTTTACCCAGGGCAAAGTCCCCTGACAATCCCTGGCAATACAATCACTGGCCATGTTTGGCTCTATGGTCAATGGTGTGCCAAAGTTAACTTGTGTTTCTCACAGAGGTCTGGATGATCTGAAACTCCGAGAAGTGGATGATGGAACATTTACAGAAAACCCTGAAGACTAGATTTAATGACACAGCAAGGAAAACCACGGGTTTCCTGTACATAGATTTTCCCTTAAATCACTCCATTGATATTATTTGGACGTAACTCTCGACTCATTCATTGGCTAGAACATGCTAGAACTACCCATGAACTACCCTTTCAAGATATTTCAAGATTGCCTCTTGGAAATTGTGAGGATTATCATTGACATCCAGTACATCCTGGAAAAACTGTTTTCTGTTTGGTGTTTCTAGCAGCAGCCAACCACAAGTGAGGTCTCCACCTGCCTTACATCAAAGCTTTGGCTCAGATGTGACAGCCTGCCATCTGAAAGCCTTCCATACTGTGAACACTATGATCCTTTATGCCAAAGTCTGAGTTTATGAGGTTATGAGTCTTAAAATGTGCTGCCCATGAATTCTGGCAGAATCAATTAGCTGCACTTTATTTCCTTGGTTTTAGACCTCTTGGTGATGTTGGTGTGTTGATAACCCAGTTGGTGCTGTTTGTTTGCCCGGCATGGGACGGACAGGCGAACTTGAGTAATTTGAAAGCAGAATGTATGCATGAAAGAACCTGTATAAGCCCCACCCAAGATTGGAACACTTTTTTTTTTCGCCAGTAGATTTGAAATGGCTTCGAACAGTGTCGCAGCCCCATCTTGAAATTCAGATGTGCCCCTCCGGTTGTACCAACGAGTTGTTGAGCCCCACGATCCACATGGTTTATAGTCATACTGTACGGGCCACAAATTGGGTTGCTATAATGGAAATATTTGAAATACAGGTTAAAGTGGCCATATTCCCATTGTTTAGAATCCAGGTCTCCAGTGGTTTACGCCTTTCGGAAGTGGCCACCCCACCTCCGGGTGTCAACTCCGCCGATGGCGGCGCTCACTGCGCCGGCGGCTCTGGCTGCGGCCGCCGCAAATGAAGCGGCCAGCGTCAGTCAACAGCCTCTGGACCTGGAATTTGCCATGACCATGAGGCAAATTGAGCTGGCGCTGAGTCCTTTGGGCTGATCTGATGATTTTTTGGGCCAAGATAGCTAAGTTATGCTGAGTTACGAAGCTGTTTCAGAACTACTGGGGGTTGTGGGACACTAAGTACAGTGTAGATGACCTTCATTTTGTCTACGATGTGGGGGCCTACCACCCTGTTGTTCTGTTTGCCAATGTCCTTAAAAACCCATCCAACCATAGTTTATAGTTTACGGTATCATATACCGTAGTAAACCCTATAGGTAAAAACAGCTTATCTATCTAAGGAGTCCACACAAGGTACGGATCTAAAGATATCCAAGTAGCTTCTGATGGAGAAGGAAGTATCTGGATCCATAGGGTGGAATGGAACATACGCCGCACCAATTATTGAATCAATATTGAATAGAGTTTCATTTTTGGGCAAGTAGCATGAGATGTCCATGGATTTTCGATTGGTGCTCTCATCTTTGCTGAATAAGTCGACTGTTTACGGCACCGAGGATTGTGAACAATATCTGACCGTCAGAACGGCTGTGAAGGCCGTAAGAATTGGTGCTGGTAGGGCTGGTAACCGTTTTCATAGGGATAATAATGATGAAGCGCTGGATTCAATGGATTGGTTGAAGGGAAAATCTACAGGAAGCCATGGTTTTTACCATCAAATATAGGGGTTTCCTGTAAATTTTCCCATCATCCAATTCTATGATGGATCGAAGCTAAATTTTCAGACTGTTTTTCTGCTCCTCCCAGTAAATGGTGTTGGTAGGTCGGTAGTTCCACCCAGTGGGCCACAAATTATTACCCCACATCATACATTTGGACTATTGAGAGAAACAAAGGCCTAACCTAAGACAATTGTGAACCTCATACTCGTAGGATATCATAGGATACAGTATATATATATATAGGTATCCTGCAAAATATTCATATTATATCCTATAATTTTCCTATGATACCATTCATATCAATGGATATAAAATCCTATTTGATATCCTTTATAGTAGCATGTTTTTCTTCTCATATAGGATGACATCTATCCATGTCATGGCCATCGCCGACGGAGTCACAGCGTCATGGCTGAGGTATGGTGTCAGATCGACACATGCGAATCCGAGGTGTGATTCCGCCATCGGAAATGCTGGGATTTGTCCCCAAAAAAAAGCGGAAGAGGGGAAGTGTTTAACCCTTAGGATCGTGATACGTTGATTGTTTGAAGTTCATTTAACTCAGAAATTTGGGTGTCATGGGATGGAGCAAATTTGAGAGTTCCATCCATGTCGGTGACCCCAACCACCAGCAACCAGGCGAATCCAGCAGTTGGGGGTCATCGCGAGCTCCAACTTTGGTGAACTTCGGGGAATCCAACTTTTGGCGCCACAACAAAGTTGGGATTGACTACCACATGATAGACATGTTTTTATCCACGAATATCCACGTGTCCTAAGCAATGATTCACCTTATGACCTTGAGACTTGGAAGTAAATCAAGTGTGTGTTCATGCTTTTCTGCGGTTTCCAACTAGCAGCTGCGGTTTCCACATCAACCAACTGGTCATTTGCAACGCAGTTTGCGATGACGCAATCGTTTGATGATCCCCTTAGTGTCATCATCCATTGGGGTAACCGGGGTAGACCCACATCATCCAAGTCATGGATGACCATTTTACTATGGAAAGCCATGGTGACGACTGGGGATCTCCCGTTTTAAAGAAACCACCATTTACATTTACCCTCTGGTAAACATACAAAAAGCTATTGAAAATGGTCATTTATAGTGGATTTTCCCATTGAAAATGGTGGATCTTTCAATAGTTATGTAACAGTTTACCAGAGGGTATCACAACCAATTGGATGTGGTTAAAGCCATTTTAAAGCCACCATTTTTCATGATAAAGCCATCATCTTTTAAAGAAACCACCATTTATCACAAAAAAACATGTCACCGGAAACCACTGCAGCGACTACCTGGGTATGGGAGGTGAGCAATGGGCGCAGCGCCTGGGACTCCTAGCCAAGCTGCGGCAACCGTTGTTTCAAAAGGATCCTTGGCGTCACCGAGCTCCAACGCTGTTGGCAGCTTCGTTTATCGGAAAAGATGACGGTTTGGCCTACTAGAAACCACCCGGTTTCAGTGGAACATGACTTGCTGGAAGATGATTCTTCGAAAACTGGGCTTGTCTACTTCCAGAATTCTTTCAAATGAAAGTTACTGGGAGCCTCAAGCAGCTCAAGTGCTCCAAAATATCAGTTAAACATATCAGACAATATGTAGCCGTAGCTTAAGTATAGAATAGATATCAGGCTGAAGTCTTGATATTGATAGACTTAAGCCTAGGCATTGCACGTTTCCATCTTCTCCTTCGTTTGTCCCAGGATCGCAACTTGCACGCTGATTTGTTGCTGAAATGCATCCAGGACGGGCAAAAACAGTGCAGTGGGGTCAGAGGTTGAATGGTTTCAGTGACTGGTCCGTTTAGTGGGAGGGAACATGCATCATTACAAATTGCATCATTTATATAGTTTTTTGCTAACTTAACTACATCAACTAACTTAAGTAACTCAACCATATTAACTTTGCTTTGCTCAGCTCAGCTTAACGCAACTGACGAACTAGCGCAGCGAATTAACTGAACTAACACAACATAACACAGCTTAACTTAACTTCATTCCACTTCACCTAACAAACTAACATACCAAAGAACTACCCAACGAACATCAACTAACATCAAGAAACTATGGTCATCCCCCCCTTGAATCGCAGGAGAACCATTGGTCAGAGCCCATGGACAAACATCCGCCCGAAGGGCCCCTGCCCTCGCTGCCACGCCACGTGGCCTGTGCCCTGCGCCGCGCTCGCCTGGAGCGGCGTCACCTGGGCGCTGGCCCAGCGCTTTCACCGCGGAAACGGCAGGAGGAAGGCGAGGGGCGGCCAGGGCTGGGGGACGTGGTGGGACGTGGTGGAAGATTTGGGGGGGTTCTTGGGACCCACAAGTCACCAGGGGTTTTTCAAGTTTCAATATACTTGAATGGTCTGACTTGGATGATTGGGGATCCGCCATTTAAAAAGAAACCTCCAAGTAACTTTGAGTTGGGGATCAAAACCATTCAAAACCTATATCTGAATTATGCCATATACTTAAGGGCAATGAACATCCATGCCTTTTTTGAATTCCGGAGAATTGGAGAATCATTCAGGATAGCTCAGAGATTGTTGAGGCCATGACACAGGGTATTTCCAGATGTTTTTGTTAACATCCTGATGAGCTATAGGGCATAGAATCTATCAATCATATATATGTATATATAATATATCATATATACCATCCGGTAATCGAACATGGCAATTACAACATATTACAACTCCTCTTTTTTAGTGGAGGTTTTAATATGTTTTGATATGTTTTAATACTTCATGGGATCAACTTTAGGTGGGATCTTCCATTGCCATTGAATGTAGTTCGTGCCAAATCTTCAACACCTCGATATATACGCATGGCGCCTATGGTGCAGAATCAACCTATGACTTGTTTTGGTGGTAGTGCTTCTAGACCAGTCTTTCATCACTGTCCAACTGACAACTCCACAAAAATGTACCAGCTTCCCAGGTTGAAATTCCTCATCGGTCGATATCCGGAGTTGTATTTTGTCATGCTATCCCTGTGATACTCCCACATGTTGTTGTACTAGTTTCACATGTGTCGAGCTGAAAATGACTGGAGCCAAAAATATATTGCCATATACCCACCATTAAAAAAGGTGAGCAGTACATTAAAAAAGAACGCTATAGATTAAGATTGATTGTCATGGACAATTTTAGGGGGTTATAGGAGGTGATCATAGCCCATGAACTGTGAATCTCCTATGAATTAGTGTAAATCGACCATGAAAAAACATTGATATTTTCCAATAGGATTTAGTTTCACCGCTCAGGCGTTCAAACCGACGGCGGCCAAACGAGCCAATCCCTGGCCCATGCTGCAGCCACTGCTGTGAAACCTGCCACGAATCTGGGTGGCTACGGCTACAGCCGCGCATTGGCAGCACGATTGGCGCGCTTGGAGCTGCAAAACAAGCGACTTGGAGCTGGGATTGGCCAGAGACCATGGTTTCTCGGTGAGTCATCCCACTGAGTAGATAGGTTATAACACGTTATACAAAAATCCTCAAAAATCCCAAAAACCAGGGATATCTACTGAGCGGGATGAGCCACCGAGTAGTATATACTGTAACTATAGTAATAGTTACTATATAATACTATATATATATATGTAATTATAATGCTTCACCAACATGAAACAAATAAATACATAAATAGATAAATGCAAAAATGAATACACATTATAATATAAAGAAGGCAATTTGTTTGGGAGGTCGTTACCCTCACATTTCCACACATTTCCATCATTCCAGTGAGGTCGTTAGTACTTCTCATTGCTTTCACTTGTGTCCATAAGCATGGTGTGAAACAGCAAAGTCTTGCGGTCACTCCAATACTTCATGTATAACTGGTTGGTGGTTTGGAACATGTTTTTAATTTTTCCATTCCGTAGGGAATTTCATCATCCCAACTGACGAACTCATATTTTTCAGAGGGGTAGGTCAACCACCAACCAGTTAATTGTATTGACTCGTATTCTTGTTGGCCATATCACTTGTTGTATCTTCTTGTGATGGCTATGCACCCCATGATTGTTGAGCATTTCTCGTAGATCCAAGTGTGGACCTTGGCTTCAACCAAGGTTGGTCACCAGGCATTTATATAGATTTCTGTGAAATTAGGGTACCCCAAATCCATCGGCTTATCACATATCAAGGTCTATGTTTATCATATTTTTTTTCCATCTGAGCTGCCAGAAAAAAAGGGCAAATCAGCTATTTGGAGACATAGCTGCTCGATAATATCCCATGTATATCCCATTTATCCCCGCAATCTCCTCATCATGGTCGGTTTTATACCGCAAAAACTGTTGCTTGAATCCCCCTGTGTTCAAAACACAAACACACCTCGTCGGGAAACTCTTAGTAACTTCTTGGCTTCCCTTTTTTGGTTGGAGATATGGTACACCCCTAGCTCCTTAGGGCGCTTCTTAGGCGCTCCCTCCCAACCCCAGTAGTGAGGCAACTTCGAAAGCAACTGGACGCGGTGGTCCAGCGCAGTCGTTCCACCTCCCCTGGCCGCGGCACTGGCACCCTGCACCGCGCCCGATCGCGGGAGACGCTGCCGGGGTCACCCACCATGGCGCGCCCGCGGTCACCAATGGTGCGGCCAACGCCGCAGATGGCAGAGATGGAGCCGAGTACATTAGTCTCACATGCTGAAGTTCCTGCAGATACAGAGGCATTCTTGAAATATTTGGATGTCTTTCAAGCGCAGGCAAGGTCGTTGATTCGATTGAATGCATAGTGGAAAAAGGGACGGACTGGAGAGTGTCTTGTCCAGTTGAAGGTGAATGCAGCAGCAAGATTGAAACAGAATAAGGGTCGTCCCATTTTTGTTGCCCCTGTATTTGAGTATACGGATCGGATTGTAGTTGACTTCGTGGAAATCAACACGCTATGTATACAGGTCTTTCTGTTCTTACAATTTCTTACGCACACTTGGAGTATACAGCATTGAGAGTTTGTGTCTCGTGTCATGGAAGATCAATTAACATCACCGCCGTGGGTCTAAATGTGTGATTGTTCATAGCAACCTGTTGAATTACCAGAGGGTGAGCTCCGTGCATTAACGAAAATCATCTCTGGGATTCCAAAAGGAGACTTTCTAGATGTATTACATGATATAGATATGATATACCCTCTGGTTATTTAACATAGCCATGGAAAATGGCCCATTTGTAGATGATTTTCCCATTAAAACTTCCATTTATAAGGGATTTTCCATGGCTATGTTAAATAACCAGATGGTATCTCCCAGGTGATTTCAAGGTGTTCACCTCCCTGAAGAACCCGATTTCTCAGCCAAGCTCACTCTGGGACGGTCGTTTGATGCTTGGGTGACGTCCAATGTCTGTGCCTCAGGTCGGCTAGTGGGATATTTCATGATTTCACATAATCATACATAATCATACAGATACATATATAATTAATCATACATATGTCATATATGTCATATATGTCATATGTCTATATATGTCTACATATGTCTCAAGTCTAGATATGAGATTTCAAAAAGCACCCTAATTACGCATCAATTCCACCAGTGCTGTGTCCAAAACTGGTGGCCAACCACGGCGTCCGGGAGCCGTGCCATGTTCGATTTCGATGACCTTGAGACCACTGCACCTTGGATCCGATGTGGGCTGATGGGGTCTGATGGGACCTGAGGTCATGGGGGATCGTCACCATGGGTTACCCTCTGGTCAACTAACATAGCTATTGAAAATGGCCATTTATAAATTAATAGTGAGTTTTCCCATTAAAAATGGTGGATCTTTCCATAGTTATGTGACAGTTTACCAGAGGGTAACCTACCTATTTGCTGATCATTCATGTTGGATGATCACTGTTGGTATCCCCTATGACAAAACTGACACCTCCAAATGTTAGTGGAAAGAGCATGAAAGAGCAAGACTTCGGATATCTTCGGATACAATGATACAATATGATACAATAATCGGAGGATTTTCTGAACATCCAACTACACCAGCCGACTAACCATACCCGTGGCAAGGGAATATCTCTTATAAATGGATGTGTTAATGGAAAAACCCATCTATATGCTAGAATTTCCATTGCTAGGTTTGATCAATTACCGGAGGGAACATCTATATTTCGAAAACATGGGCACTTGGGTTTTGACCTCTAAATCCAAGAAAGTGACACCGGGTGTAATATGTTTACAAGTCCTTCTATACAGATCCTTCAGTAGCCTCCGTTGTAATTTGTTGATTCAACAAGACGTGAATTCTTTATGAATGTTTAACAATATGACCCGAACACTGGTTTGAAGAACACTTGAAATGCTGAACATGAATGACAAGTCCTTCAACACAATTCTCACATTGATGAATGGTCAAACCATGTAAAACCATATCGTTTCCTGCTGAAAATCATGTCTTCATCGCTCCCTGAAGTCCATTGAATCCAACTCCTGGGTGCAGTGATGGACCCCCGGCCCCAGGCCTCTGACGCCGTACGCCAATATGGCCACATTAGGGGGGTTCTTAAAACTTGGGATCCCCAGTCGTCATGGAAAACTCAATCCCAAAAGGGTCCATGATTACTGGATGATCTGGGGTACCCATGACTTAGGAAACCTCCTGGATGGTGGTTGGGAACACGATTTTTTTTTTCCATTCAGTTGGGAATGGAATAATCATCCCAACTGACTTTAACTCCATCATTTTTTAGAGGGGTTGAAACTCAACCACCAACCAGATTATTATAACCATCATTAACCAATAACCATTAATAACATTTAATAATAACCATTAATATTAACCATTATTAACAGTATATTCACCACAACGGTAGGTCAACCACCAACTTATGCCATACTTTCAGGATCCAGCGGAGTCTGAATCTGTCGAGGTACGGCTGGGGAAAGCGCAGGGGCACCCACTGAAGTTATTATGGTTCATTTAATGGGGATTGAATGCTGATTTAATGGGGATTTGATAGGATATCATGGGATATCATGGGGATTCAATGTGGATTTACCCTCTGGTAAACTGTCACATAACTAGGGAAAGATCCACCATTTTTAATGGGAAAACTCAATATAAATATGGCCATTTTCAATAGCTATGTTAGTTTACCAGAGGGTAGTTCCTAAATTTGTTGCTAAAATGTGAATATTGTTAACTTAAGCAGCAAAACTGTTCTTTTTCTTTTGTAAGGTTGGCCATGATGAGTCTACTATTATTGAAAGTGGCACTTGTTAGATGTGTTCATCCATTACAAAGTGTGTTTGGACCAAGGTTTACGATCCGGAATGGCCATGTTCATTCATTAATCAGGGATGCTTGCTGCTCTTTGGAACAATCATGGCTCTTTGAAGATACACTCTGGAGACTGGAACTGGGGCTTCTGTGCATATGCAATTTCGGAGGTGTACGGATTGCTGCTATTCGCAGGAAATGGCATGCTTAGAGCCAATCATTGCTACTGAAAAGATCCCACTGTCATCTACACACCAGGCTATATTTAAGGGCATCAATTCCATTTCCCTTCATAGACACATGATTTTGTGGGAACCCCAAATTATGAACAGATCCAATACAAAAGGTATGCTGTAGTCTTGATAAATATCATTCAATAATACCCATGCAAGGTGGGGCACCCAGATGTTGTTAGTTGGTTTGTAGCCCCATGAATACTATTTTGTTATATCCTCCAGAAACCCAAACGTTACCTCACCTTTATACAATCAAAGTCTTCATTTACAGTTTTCATGGATTATTTTCCCATCCCATATGCTCCATGTATGGAATATTTATCAACATTTATCATTTACCCCATAAATGAGCCAAATGTAGGTAAATATACTATACATGGATTATTTTCCCATTCAAATTTCCATAGCTGTTCAAATCCCCAAAAAAATCCCATGATCTTCCCATCCAATCCCATAAAAAATCACCATGGCTTGGACCATTCGACCATGGTTTTTCTTTGCAAATTTCATCACTGTAGATTCACTATAAAATCACTATGAAATCCACCAGAAATCCCTATAGATCACTATTAAATCACTATTTAATCACTATTAAATTAGATCCACTATGACATCACTATTAAATTAGATCCACTATGACATCACTAGAAATCCCTGGGTTTTCCTGGTTAAAACCATGGCCTTTTCCTAGTTTTTCACCCGAGGACGTGGCCCTTGCTGCCTCAGCAGCGGTGGCGTTGCGGAGCGAGGCCGGGACCCGGGAGGCTTTTCCGTGGTGACTTCAGCAAGAAACAGGGTGATTTAACCAGAAAACCAGAGGAAAACCATAGGAAAACCATAGGAAAACCATAGGAAAACCATAGGAAAACCATAGGAAAGCCATAGGAAAACCATAGGAAAACCATAGGAAAACCATAGGAAAACCATAGGAAAATCCTAGGAAAACCATAGGAAAACCCTAGGAAAACCGTAGGAAAACCATAGGAAAACCATAGGAAAACCATAGGAAAACAATAGGAAAACCAGAGGAAAACCATAGGAAAACCATAGGAAAACGATAGGAAAACCATAAGAAAATCCTAGGAAAACCATAGGAAAACCATCGGAAAACCCTAGGAAAACCATAGGAAAACCCTAGGAAAACCATAGGAAAACCATAGGAAAACCATAGGAAAACCATAGGAAAACCATAGGAAAGCCATAGGAAAACCCTAGGAAAACCATAGGAAAGCCACACGAAAACCATAGGAAAACCCTAGGAAAATCATAGGAAAACCATAGGAAAACCATAGGAAAACCACAGGAAAACCATAGGAAAACCCTAGGAAAACCATAGGAAAACCATAGGAAAACCAAAGGAAAACTATAGGAAAACCCTAGGAAAACCATAGGAAAACCCTAGGAAAACCATAGGAAAACCATAGGAAAACCATAGAAAACCATAGGAAAACCATAGGAAAACCTCAAAACCCTAGGAAAACCATAGGAAAACCAGAGGAAAACCCTAGGAAAACCATAGGAAAACCATAGGAAAACCCTAGGAAAACCATAGGAAAACCATAGGAAAACCCTAGGAAAACCCTAGGAAAACCATAGGAAAACCACAGGAAAACCATAGGAAAACCCTAGGAAAACCATAGGAAAACCATAGGAAAACCACAGGAAAACCCTAGGAAAACCATAGGAAAACCATAGGAAAACCATAGGAAAACCCTAGGAAAACCATAGGAAAACCATAGGAAAACCATAGGAAAACAATAGGAAAACAATAGGAAAACCCTAGGAAAACCATAGGAAAACCATAGGAAAACCAGAGGAAAACCCTAGGAAGACCCTAGGAAAACCATAGGAAAACCATAGGAAAACCATAGGAAAACCCTAGGAAAACCCTAGGAAAACCCTAGGAAAACCCTAGGAAAACCATAGGAAAACCATAGGAAAACCATAGGAAAACCCTAGGAAAACCATAGGAAAACCAGAGGAAAACCCTAGGAAAACCATAGGAAAACCAGAGGAAAACCCTAGGAAAACCCTAGGAAAACCTTAGGACAACCAGAGGAACATGGTGACTTAAATCAAGAAAGATGTGGATTTCATGGGCTGTGTATGGCTGATTGATGATCGCTAAGCCGCTAAGCTGGTTTATAACTCCGACAGGTGCGGCTGGCAATACATATATGTGTATAGACCAACTTGTTACTGAGGGGCCCCACATTGTATATGGGATTATATACAATTTTCCTATTCATGTTCCAGACCATATAGTGTATCAGACTTTTCAATATATGGTAAGCCATGTAATGATATGGATCACTCTTGGTCGTAATGCTTCCAAGACTTCTGGGATATGGTATGCGATAATAGTGGGATTATGGAATATTCATGGAGTATTGAAGGGAGGGATTATTTATGGTTATATATATGTAGCAACCCCCAAATCGATAGAACAGTTGGAAAGGTGGAAATGACGTCGAAAACATCATCAAACTACCATCCTGGGAACACCATTTCGGCATTTTTTTTGGGCGGATTATATACTAATGGGATATGTATATATATACACATAATTATATATATACACATATAATTATATAATTATACGTACATATATATATATACGTATAATTATATATATGTACGTACATATAATTATATATTTGCATAATAAGTGGGAATGTAATGATGGGAACATATCATTTATGGACACACAGGGGAACACAACAATTAACTTCTGAGGTATTTGGGAGTATATAATATAATATTGCAGAATTGGAGACTTGGATACTCATAATGTATCATAGTTTTGAGATTAACATACGGATATAATAGGAATGGAATGGGACACGGATATAATAGGAATGGAATGGGAATATCATTGGAATACAGTGTGAACATAATGGTAAACATTATGTTGTTCATTTGTTTGGATATGCAACTACTAATCCAACCAAATGCAACCATTTTTTCCATAGCAATCCTATGGTGTTGGACCATTTTCCAGGGTACAGTCTGGCTTCAAAATTACTTTATGCGGTATGTTATGTCTCTTGGTTTTCATGCTAGTGTCTATCGATTGAATTTGAATATGTTGTTATTCGGAATAGTCCATCTCTTAGTTTACCTGTTAGCTACTTTGGCCTATTCTATCTCTTATCCAATGGGTTTTTGAATATTCTATTTGCTAGAAACTTTGGTACTATTCTTTTTGCTGGCACTCTTGGACTATGTTAAGCATACCCCGGAATCATGATCCGGATCCGGCAGTAAACTTCAGACATGGAAATCCCCTAAGTTTTCTTGGGAAAATGGAGGTGCATGACCTAAAAATCCATGGGGTGTCCATATGGCAGTGTGTCAAAACCTTGTACCCCTGGTGAACATCAAAATAGCTGGTAAATGGATGTTCATCCCCCTAAAAATGGTATTAATAGGTATTGATCCATACCCCTATCTATGTGAGGTTTCTGGAGGGTCATCACCCATGGAGTTATCAAAAATGGAGCTACGGCCATCAGGTGAACGTTGAGCCAGGGAAATGTCCAATTCAATGGGGAAATCATAGATGACTGGATGCCAATGGATTGGTTTAAGGGAAAATTTACAGGAAAGCCCCATATTTAATGGGAAGATATATGGTTTCCGGTTAAGATTTTCCCTTAAACCAATCCATTGAGGATACCAATGGTGATCCTTTGCCAGCTTAGATTCTAGATGACTGGAGATGAACTCATGTGATCTTAGGCAGAGTGGTATTCTTGTGCTTATTGCCTGTGTAAATTATTCAATGTGAATGATGATATTCATATGAGGAACGACCCAACAACTCTAATCTGCCCACAGCTTTGATTGGACGCGCATCCCAGTTGGCAACTATACCATGGTGCATACCTTCAAAACTCTGATAAAAAGCAAGACTAAATAACTTTATATATATATATATATGTATACAATTATATATATATACATATGCAGGATACGGATACTATAGGAATGTGCAGTAATGTTCATTCAGGATAGTATACACCAGGTTTATAGCACCCCGAATAGCACCAGGCCTTCACCGAGCGCCGCGACGCCTGTCGTGTGCTGGCGCAACTAAAAGAAGCAGCCAGGAGGGGCGGCCGCAGTTGGTGTTGTGCATCACAAAAATCACCTTGGAACGTCACGGAACATCACAAACCAAATGCGGGTTTTCCACAGCACCCATCAATAATTAATCCATTTTACCAAATTATATGTGCTTGATGGTCAAACTTGAAGTGACCAGAATTTCTTTTGGTCCAACCCTGAAGCCTTCGCACTTCGCCTGCGTGCGTTGGTTTAAGACAGCTATACTGGCTGATGATCCTCTATGGCTACATTCAATTGACATTACCGATATACCCCTTTCCACATATATATATATTACATATATATATATGTATATTACATTTATATATATATATATATTATATACATATGTATATCCATACAATCTGTACGTCACGGTGGGCTGCAGGCCACACTTAGCACAGCTGCTCCACATCTCTGAGTCCGATGAAGACTATGAGGCTCTGGCCTCCAGCAGTCCTGTTTCAGGATAGCTAAGTTGGTTGCACTAAGTGAGTTAACTAGGATTTATATTGATTTATGGTAGATATTTCGAACTAGTTGATGGGGGTTATAGCTATAGACCATTTTGTACATGCGGGCACCCCGCCAATCCGCATCCAACACATTATGTCCCTGTTGATTGCGTCCCTGTTGGCGCTTTGGCCGTAGGATACATTCCAAAGGGTTGTTGTGTTTTTCCCCACACACCCTGTTCTCTCAGTATCCATCAAAATTTGAGGGCACCAAATTTTCAGACAAACCCTTAAATGGGCAAAAAATCAACACAAACGGGGACATTCACCAACAAATAAAGTTTTTTTTTTTTGTCGGAATATGGTGCTAGAAACGGATAGCAACAAACATTGGGGATAGCTTTACCAATTAATTATAGGGATGCTTGTGTAAACCAGACATGATGGAACTCATCCCCACGGTGATATCGGAGCGGTTTTTATTGGAGGGTCGTTAGGACTGAAGCAACAATGAGACAATGTTGAAGAAATAAAGTTAGGGTGCAGGGCATAAATGAAGGGTTTTCTTGGTGGTAGCCATAGGAATCATAGGAATGGGGATGGTCAACATCTATGACTTTTCATGACTTGAGGTTTAACATCCACGATTTGTTTGGCCCTTTTAAAAAGCATGAAAACCCAAGGCACCGGGGTTTGAACCCATACCCAAAGTGACCCAAAACTGGGAGATTCGCCAAGATGAGGAGTCCAGGAGTCCAGGAGCTACAACCAGTAGGGGAACCTCCCAAAGCCACTGTCCCTGTAGGAATATAACAAGTTTTTTGGTCAGTGACATGCCACTATTGCTTATTTGATTCCGCTCACTCCTGTCACTATAGCATCATTGTTGGTTCAGATGGATAGTAGTCCACTTTTACAATCGTTTACACATGTTGTAGTGCACAAACACAGCACACATACGGATACTAATGATACTTCTCTAGATAGATGGGTAGGTGCATATCTATAGAATTATATATATATGTACATATGTTACATATACAATCATAATATGATTTCATATTATCATATATATGTATATATATATATATATATCCCAGATGCTCCATGTATAGTATATTTACCTACATTTGGCTCATTTATGGGGTAAATGATAAATGTTGGTAAATATTCCATACATGGAGCATATGGGATATATGATATATATATATACATATATATACAAAGAGGTAGATGAACTACATTCCTTAAACCCCGCCAGATCTTTTGGATCTCCTTCATATCTTCATCACGAGGTGCAGAAGGCCGCCAAGAACGCCCTGCGAAGCTTGCGACGCCAGGGCATTAGCCCGGAGGCAATGGACAATCCCTGGGGCCCTGGTTCAACCCGGTGGATTTTCCATTATTTTCCCTTCTGAAACCTCATTCATCACCATTATTATCATGATTATTACTGTAATCACCATTATTAACAATATTATTACCCAGTATTAACCATTCAGAATCACCAGTCATAGCCATTCTTTTTGTGGATTGCAAGAGGAATCTGATTGGGCCATCGCAGCCATCCCATTTTGGGCGTCTGATTGGGCCGTCTGATTCCCATGATTCCCGGGGATGGAGGACCTGGAGGATCATCCCACGACTAGTAAGTAACTTTCGGTGCTTGGATTTTTCACGATGTGAAAATAAGTGGATGATCTATGTTAACTGATTTGAATAGGTTATAATAACTTAAGCTAACTTATGTTTTTTCATGTTATATTATAATAAGTCAGTGAGATTAATGGCATGACCTCACGATTATTCGGGTTAACCCCTTACGAGGACCGTGGGATGATCCTCCAAGCTGAAGTTCTCAGCATTTGTGTTGATGTTATATGTTGTTAAGAACAAAGCCGTAAGAAACTGTTGGAAAGTCGGCAATAAGCCGTATATTCTATAACTGGTTGGTGGTTTGGAACATGAATTTTATTTTTGCATATATTGGGAATATATAATAATCATTATAATCCCAACTGACGATTTGTCATATTTTTCAGAGGGGTTAGCAGCAACCACCGAAGCCATGCGCATCGTGCCGGGGGATGAAACCACATGGACCCTTTGTGGCCCAATGTGTCGAGAAGTGTTTCATCCTTGGAACGGGGATGGGACTATCTTGGAACAGTCGGCATACCCATAGGATCCATGTATGCTATATATGCTAACATTTGGGGTATATTGATGGTAAATGTTACCATATATAGCATACATGGATCCTATGGGATATGGAACTGCTTCTTGAATTGTTTTCTTTGAGAACTTTTAGAGGCAGCCCAATGAAAGTGATTCTTGCAAGGAAAATCATGGGTCTGGCAGCTCACATAGTGCTAATTCGATGGATTTCCTGTAGATGTTCCCTCACTCTAAACGGATGGCAAACATTTCGTTTGTACTTGTTAGTAACCATTATTAGATCAGTGGCTGGTGTGAAGAGTTTCTTTTCAGCTGCAATCTTCGGATAATAGGATCATCCATCCCATCATTTGTAATGAACATTTCACATACGAATAATACATATGATAAATAGATGCTATATCTGATTGGTGCTTTGGAACATGAATGGATTATGACTTTCCATTCAGTTGGGAATTTCATAATCCCAACTGACGAACTCATATTTTTCAGAGGGGTAGGTCAACCACCAACCAGATATATAGTGTATAATTCATTATAATTCTGTATAGGTAAACGCAGAAGGTGATGCGCCATCCTGTCTTCGGTCAGGTGTCTGATCCAGTCCCAGTGATTGCAGAGAAGCAGAGCCTACAGAGCCGGCGGGAAGTGAAAGAAGAGGTACAGTGGGTGTCAAAACCTTGCAGCGGGACGTATTCATGGGTACTGTACTGGACAATGGATGATGATGGTGCAATACCATAAATATGGGAATTTGTAATTAGCGATATGATACAATATGAGAATTTGCTTGTCTTACAGTAAAGAAAACACACCAAAATTGCTGTTTTAACGCGAACATTATGATCACAATCCATTGTTTTTTTTGGATATCTACCCTATTTTGACTGGCGATGGCTGGCGATGAAATATGGTTGTAAACTCATAATATGGCCATAGTCACAGCGGTCTTGGCCATTTTTGTGGGGCAGGGTATCATATGTGAATCAAAATCTCAATGTTTGTGGGATCCCGTGTTGCTATGCACCCGGAAGTAAATGATACAACCTCAACTTGAGCCCTCATGTTCATACACACTTTAGTACATTTGCCTAATATGGAGAACCGATAAGCCCGATAAGCCCCAGGTTGCCCAATTTCACCAGGTGGATGGTGAAGACAAACAGGGGGGTAACGTCTATTGCATTGAGTTTACCTGCGTAAGTAGCCCATCAACGTCTCAAACCCACTACAGCATCGACAGCCAGGGCAGTCCGGATCCAAGCGTCAGCCTGTTGTGTTGCCTTTTTTCCCTCCAACATGTCGAATTACAGACACTTTCTGTATCTTTCTGTCCCTAGTCACCTTAGTCTCTAGGTCCGCCGAGTTTCCTTTCTAAGGTGATTTTTGAACACTCTGAACCAATAGCTTCGTGTTCGTGTTTGTCAGGTGAATGTGAATACAGCTGGCTACGGAGTGTAAAGTTTGTTGAAAGCCGAAGAGATGGTCCAATCCCGTGTTGTATGCCCACAAGCAATTGGGGAAGCCGACATGTTGAGGCCACATTCATCAACTGTAGAAATACGTGAGGACCTTTTTGTGTTTCACAATATGGGTAACTGCTGCTTTGCCCACCATTGTAATTTTGCAACATTCCGACTTTGGTTGTGCAAACTTGTTCCAGGAATGGCAGGGTTGTAGTACTTTACCTCTTAAATTTCAACATGTCCAGCGACTCGTATAGTTTTGGGTTTGCCGTAATTACGTTGCCCTAATTGTTCGAATATTGAATGAAGATGAATATGACGGAGTATATGGGCACCAAGACTAACACCGAATGCCGATACTGAAAACCAGGATATCGAAAAGTGATTCACCACAATTTTACTTTACTTAAAGTATAGAAACGTAATTCACCAATTTTGCATACTGTGGATGGTTGCAAAATCCTGCACCAGTTGATGGTAAACATCCCATTATTTATATTGATTTATAGGGTTTCAACTAGTTCAACCATCCGTTTGGTGCAGGATTTCGCAACCATCCACAGTATGTTCTAGGTGATTCACCACTTACCCTCTGGTAAATTAACTTGTTGACCCTGAAAATCACCAAGTTTGATTGGAAACTCATCTTTCAACCCCCACAACTGGCAGGGTCCAACTATTAATTTACTGGAGGCTACCCTCTGGTAATTTAACATAACTATTGAAAATCACCATTTTTCCCATTTGTTATGGGTAAATCAACTATAGTATGGCAATTTTCACTAGCTTTTTGTATGTTTACTGGAGGCTACCTGGGGGGTTTACCTCCATCCGGCTCCATCCCGTTTCGCTTGCTCCTGCGAGGTGCCCAATGACATCGATGTCGCTGATTGGCTCGGGCCAAAGGCGCGGAACTCTACAGTGAAAATTGTGGTTTAACCAAGATTTCAATGGTGATGTCATATGATTTCATGGGATTTATAGCTGATTTATGATAGCTAAGTTGAACAGAATTCCAATAACTAGGGCCGCCCGGGTTGATCGTAGATATATCATGATATATCTTTATAGTTGCCATGATTTATACACCAACTTTTTATCAACCAAGAAACATTCTTATGGGGGCACCACCTTATCGATACCTGGATCTTGTTGGGATCACTTTCCTGTTTCCCATGAGGGCTTTACTGTTCGGGCTTTCGGTGGGCTTCAGGGATGTTTACATGGTGAATTTTATGAACTCTGATGGTAACTTCAAATCTCTTTTATATTGGATGCAATGATGGATTCCTATGTGTCAGTGCCGCATTGAAAGCAGTGATCTTGTTACACTTCTTGGCAAGCCCGGAGGTGCCAATGGCATCACTGAAGGAGGTGTGTTTAAACTTCTTGGGACTTAATATAAAATAATGATTGTCAAAACAGGAGCTCTGCCGATCATGCTGTCTGTATTGATCTGCATTGGCTGCTTTTCAGGGTGGTTAGACGGTTAGACTGGGTTAGACTGGGTTAGACCATATGAAACTTCAATCTTTGGTGGTTTAATAGTTTATATAACCTCGGATCCTTTAGTAGTACTAGGCAACGCCCCGAAAAAATCCTGGTAAACAAATACCAAACTCACTGCGATGTCACTCGAAACATGGTGTAAGTTAGAGGTACTGGGTCCACTTCCCCACATTGGTTCTACTTTTCAGGTTGGTGAATTATTCTAATCACACCAAAATACAAAATCATTATATAACCATAAATCTATTATATTCCCATTATACCTCCCCATCAATTGTTGGTTATATCATCGTTTCCCCCATGTTTACAATCGATCCTCATATTGCGGGGACGCGACAGGCGCTGTTTGACATTAACGGACAGATTCTTGAGATGAGCCTGGAGAACCAGGCTGGACACTGGAGAACACAGGGTTTGATTTGATGGGGGAATCCTTTACTTGGTGAATAATGGGAATATAATGGGTGAATGGTGGCTTCGTAATGGTTGGTAAGGCTTGTTATATATTGAGTATAACCATCACAACGTCATCGATGGTCATACCCAAAGCCTTGCTCCCTCTTGGGCATTCCGCAACTGGATGCTCAATAGCAAAGACATACTAAAGCATCTGTTTGTCTGAAAGTATGGGATATATACCGGAGAACATGATGATAGTCTGTTGGAATATGGGGTACACTATTTTCAGACAAACCCACATTGTTGTTGCTTGGGTTTGAATCCGTGACCCGCAGTTCAGGAGCGTCAAAAATTGGATCGCGGGCTATCATGGACTTTCGCTTTCCTTGTATGTTTCCTGTAACGTTCCATCATAAATCGCCATCAGTTAGTCTTATGTACTGTCTTATTTCCTATATGGCATGGCTCAACGCTTATCGGACCAAGAACCAGAGCTATTCTGTTGTGAAGATTCGAGTGCCATGACCCCATGCCCATGTTCCTTAGATTGCTGCGCAGTGTAATTTGCAGGAAAACCATGGAAAACCCCATATGTTTTAGATGGGTACAGGCAACGCAGAAGTGTTCTGTAGGTTTTCCCTTCAATCAGTCCATCGGTGGTTGTGACATGTGTTGGGATGTGTTGGATGTTGGTGGGTTTCATGATCCATCCTTGCTGATTCAAGGTCTCCCGTCGCCCCGATACCTAGACGCACATCACCTGATTGACTGTTGGGTTTATGAAGGATCTAACTACAGTAATTATTCATGAGGCTTGTAAAATGTTAACAAAAACAACTAAAATAGTGTTTTCGGGATGTGATTCCGGGTGCCACTTTGTATATTGTTCTCGCTTCGATCCCCACATGTTTATTGTCACCAACGTCTATCCTTCGCGTCCAGGTGACGCCAAATGACTTGGTCCAAATCTGGGAGAGGCACCGTGAATTCCGCGCCTCCGCAACGGGTTGGAGGTTCATGGAGGTTCCAGGACAATGTGAGGCCCCCGGCCACGAGAGCGTTCAGTTGGGGTTCACATAACTCCAATTTCACTATGGTTTATGGTACGCAAATAACTATAGTTACTGGGGCGAACCTAAACCAACGTTCACACTGGGGGGCCTCACATTGTAGTTGTACAGTCATGTAGATTTAGCATGATGATCTGACTATTCGATTGATAATAAACACATATTCTTGGGATATTTTGACATGTGATAATAGGAACCACATCTGCAACTTAGCCACTGGCAAGAACAACGTGTTGACTGTTTATTTTTCTCCGGATGGGACTTTCCAACGGTTTGGACTTCTTAAAGGAGGGCTATTGATTTTTGTTCTGTTTTTTTTTCACGGCAGGTTTTGGATGTTTTTTTGGGTTCCTGGTTCTATGCTTTCCTGCTTTTCTGCTTCTTTGCTTCTCTGCTTTTTGTTTTTCCTGCTTCTCTGCGTGTCTACTTCTCTGCTTCTCTGCTTTTTGCTTCTCCTGCTTTTTGCTTTTCCTGCTTCTCTGCTTTTCATGCTTCTTTGCTTCTTTGCTTTACCTGCTTCTTTTCTTTTCTGCTTCTCTGCTTTCCCTGCTTCTTTGCTTTTCTGCTTCTGTGCCTTTCTACTTCTATTATTCTACTTGTTCTTTTCTTCAGTCACCTGTTTTGCTGCTCTACTTCCTGCACCTCTGCTTCTCTGCTTCCTGTCTTTGTTTTTTCTTTTCTTTGCTTTATTCTCTCCTGTTTCTATCCTAAATAAAACCCTAAAGACCCTAGGTGAAACCCAAAGAAACCTTAAAGAAATCCTGATAAGAACTCGTGATAAGAAACCCCTACATGAAACCCTAAATGAACCCTAAATGAAACCATAAATTACAGCAACCCTAAAGACACCATAAATGAAACCCTAAAGAAACCCTAAAGACACCCTAAATGAAACCCTAAAGAAACCCTAAATGAAACCCTATAATGAAACCCTAAAGAATCCCTAAATCAAACCCTACATGAAACCCTACAGGAAAAAAACCTAAATGAAACCCTAAACAAACCCTGAATGAAACCCTAAAGAAACCCTAAATGAAACCCTAAAGAATCCTTAAATGAAATCCTAAATGGAACCACAAGAACGTTTGGAAATTCCTGATAAGAAATCATGATGAGAAACCCTACATGAAACCCTAAATGAAACTCTAAAGAAACCCTCAATCAAAAGAAACCCTAAATGAAACCTTAAATGAAACCCTAAATGAATCCCTACATGAAACCGTACAGAAACCCTAAATGAAACCCCAAATGAAACCCTAAAGAAGCCCCAAAGAAACCCACATGAGCGTTTGGAAATCCTGATAAGAAGTCCTGCTAAGAAACCATTAAATTAAACCCTAAATGAAACTCTAAAGAAACCCTAAACCTAAAGAAACCTTAAATGAAACTCTAAATGAAACCCTAAATGAAACCCTAAAGAAACCCTAAATGACAGCCTAAATGAAACCCTAAATGAAACACTAAATGAAAGCCTAAAGAAACTCTCAAGAAACCCACATGAACGGTTGCAGTACCAAAATGTAGCAAATACCATGCAAATGAGAGGTTGAAGTGCCAAAACGTCGCAAATAATGCAAAATGGAATGCGAACATTGCCAAATGTAGCAAATACCATGCAAAATGCAACGTAACCATGCAAAAATCTAGCAAATACAATGCAAAATGACAGATTCTAGTCCAAACTGTTGCAAATACAATGCAAATGGTACCAGGAAAGAAAGCCAAAACAAAATCCAAAACCTGAGCCAAAAAAAACAAAAACTATTCTGAACCCCTTCTTAAATGGATAGATGTATTGCAGGTGATGCAAACAAGTCCAAGCCCAAAGGTCCAAGCCGTCACGACGCTAGGGCAAGGCAGCTGTTTTTGCTCGCAGTCAGCAGGATGCGTTCGTTAGGTTGCTAGATATATGATGATATATGTATTTGCTGATCACTGATCACATGGCAAAGCAGAACGTTTTTGAAGTGATATTCGGATGGGGAATGAACATGAATGAACTACAAGCCAGGACACAAGTTTCTTGCACAGATTGATTGGTGCCTCATGCCTTGGCTGCTACCATCTGACCCTGTGGACATCATGCAGGGGTTAACGAACAGTTGGAGCCACCGACCCGCTGCAACTTTTGTGGGTGGTACCCTCTGGTAATTTAACGTAGCTATTGAAAATGACCATTAATAGTGGATTTTCCCATGAAAAATGGTGATTTTCACTAGATATGTTAAATTACCAGAGGGTATCCACATGTTTTTTGATTTTCCCTGTTTTGACAATCCCAATACCACCACTACTTCATATTGGACGATGAAGTACCACTCACTTTGGGATAAAGATTTTGGGACAGTGGAGTTTTCTCAATTTTGTTGGTATCATCCATTTTCTGGTTTGTGGCTTCTAACATTGTTTATCTTCAACCATATAACTATATAACTGGGATAAATCAGATGAATCATCCATTTTCTGGTTGATGGTTGGTGGTTTCAAAAAAATGTTCGTCTTCAACGTCTTCAAACCATAGAAATTTGGATGATGAGCCCCCATGACTAGAATTCTTCAGATGGCTTGAAGCACTTGAAACCCATGAGTTTTTCAGTGAATCCTTCCATGGCACCGCGCGCACGGCCATGCGTGCTCTTGGCTGCTGCTGTGCTGCTGGCAGCTGTTCATTCTGGCTCCTTGGAGTGAACTTGTTCCTGCTTTGCCGAGGATTTGGGTGAAAATAGGGCACCGGCACCTCTCAATTTCAATGGATTTTTGTCATGTTCCCTGGAAAAAAAAACGGCCATGAACTCGGAATGGAAAAACCACGATGGGGCTCTAAAACCAACAGTAGGATCTATTGAATCACATGAACTTTTATTCTCTCACCCTTCCAAAAAATGATCGCACGTGTACGTGTTGTATTTTTGAGAAGCTATCCACAAACAGCTCCCTTGCCTGAATTCGCATCACAATCCATTCCCAAGCTCCATGGTCAAACAAACCTTGTCCCAAAATCATTTTACCACCTTCCACAACATTCAAGATTTGATCCCCAAAACATCGCAGTATGCACGATGATATGATGATATCTCTAGATTGAGTCTCTGAAATTATCCCATCCACATCATCTAATCTCTGTTCCCTGTTACTAAAACTCCCCCAATTAATAAAAAATGGAAGTGGA